CTGCATTGGTCATGATGGGGTTGGTAGGTGTAGAAGCACCTGTGTTTAAAGGGTCCATAGGAGACCCAGGCAATGAATTCTTTTGAGTATTTAAGCCAAAATAGAACGAACTGGATGAAGAAGAAGGTGGAGGTGAAGTAGGGTAATTGTGTTGAAGTAAAGAGGGAGTTGTTTCATTGTTGGCTGGGCTATTGGGTTGATATATAAACAAGTCATTTGGATGAGGCTGCATAAAACGAGCAGGCATAGATTGACTGAGATGATGAAAGTCGTGCTCATCTAAACCATAAGGATCAATGTCCTTTGATTCTTCTGTCAGTGATGGTATTGTAATACTGTTATTTCTCTGACCATATACATCTATACTTTTTGACATAGACTATCATATAATAATAAAAAAAAAAAAAGTGAGTGTGCTATATAGATAGATAGAATTAGAATTTTTACTGTGAATGGAATCAGGTTTTGATGTTGACAAGGTGGTGGTTTGTGGTCAACTTCCATTGTATCTTCTGGTGACTTTTTTGTGAGTTGCATGGCCATCATTCGCCAAGTAAGATTTTCCATACGAGAACCATTGGGTAATGTATCTTTTGCTTTTGTATACATTTGCCATACTTTACTGGCTAATGGGTCCTTTTTCTCTTGTTCTGGGTTATCTTGTCGAGTTGGAAATAGTGAATCAGAAAGTAATTGATCCATAATAGAAGGAAGTTTTTTATTATTGTTGTTCAATGACATGAAATAAAATAACTAGAAGATGAAAATAGGTTTTTCATATAGAGAAAAAAAAAAAGAAGAGAGAGAGAAACAAAATAATATGACGCGAAAACTCTTTTTATTGTAAGACAGGCACCATTTAGTTGTATGTATGTATATATATATATATATATATAGCTGGATCGCTGGTCGAATCAAGGCAAACTCTAAATTACCTAATTTGTCGTTTCTCATGCCATTATCGCATGTAACTGGTCAATGCCTATCTATAGATTGATATATATGTGTATGTGTATATATATATATATATATATCTTTGTTTAACACTGTATGTCTATAAAATAGACCTTTATTCTTCACTTGTCTATTTTATATAGATCTCAAGCCAATCATATACTTTCTATTATCTTATATGAAGACAAGAGTTAAGTCCAAGTTAATGGAAAGTGTAACCCGGTCACTTCCGATAAGCATTGTACGTCATGATGTCTATAGGGTGTCAATGCATCCACATATATATATATATATATATATATCTTCATTCATACTCTAGTGCTAAAATTGAGTTTATCTTGTCTGTATCGATAAGATTATCACCTTTAGATATAAACATGTATATATGATGGATTCATTCGCTTGAATGATAATGAATCCTTATCTTTCTTATTTCTATAAATGGAATGCTACTTGACTTTTAAGCTTTTTTCATTGCCCGTTATGTGATATGCACTGAAAATGTGCTGCTGAGGCTTCCCCCCCTTTTTTTTTATTATTGTTATCTTTAGATAACAATTTTCCTTTTTTGGGTCTATTTTAGATAGCATGTCATAGTGAATATGTTGGTCCGTTCATTTTACATTCGATTTACACCAAAAGAGATAAGACCATGTGACTCATACGAGAGAATACATATATATGTATATGTATGTATAAAGACAGAGACATATAGAAATAGTTCCACTTCAATAGATATACATAAAAAAAAAGTGATACGAAACACATATTGTATCTTTTTATGGGCATATACATCTACATGTTTCAATATCTATTAAATAGAGGTAATACAACTACCAAAGAATCGTCGAATCATTTCACGACCATAAGGGATATAACTAGCACTAACAAACAGATCAGTGAACCATCATCTTTTTTTTTTTTCTTTTGGTCATGACTTACGAATACCACACCAAAGCACTAAACTGAATGATGACCAAGATCAACGAAAGAAAGAATTTGGCCAACTATGTATATATACATCATGGATGAGAATTACTGTGATTGACTGAATGATTATTGTTACTTGCCGTAATGGATAAAATGATGGTCAATACAAGTAAACTCAAATAAGTCACAGTGGCCCAAAAACGCACTAGATGAAAATATGAAAGGCAAGTTTTTTTTTTTTTTTTTTTTTTTTTTTTTACCTGGTGCAAACATCGTTTTAAATTGCTTCTTGAGACCAATAATAAATGTCAAACTAATTCTTTGTCAGCCTTGTATTTTTGTTTCTTGAGTTACCTTAATAAAGAAACAATGTTACCGAGACTATAAAGAATAGCAAATGCAGGGACACTCGAGATCAACACAATAGTAGCCTGTCCGTGTTAGTCTCTTAAATACTAGAACAAGACTTACAAGGATCGAAAGTACAGCGCCTACAACAAATCTATCCATCCTATATTAGCTTATATGGAAACACGGGATGACTTACGAGATGCCAAATGCATAGAGACGTTGTGTCTTTGAAAGGCCAAAATATTGCCAGTTGCCTAGACAAGGTTAAAAAGAAGTAAAGATATATACACTTTACCATCATCCATAGTGCCTTGATCTTCATATTGTGATGAAAAGAATCCAAATGCCATCTTGCTAGAAAAACAAATAATTTAGAAAAAGGTTTTAAGCGTGTATCGGAAATCAAAAAAAGGTACAAAGAAATAGGGCTGAGCAGAAAAGAAAAAAAAGAAAAAAAAATAGATGTATAAGCTTACCATGCATCCTTTAAACCAATATTCACTATAAAGAAAGACAAGAATAAAGCAAAAACATAGAAAGATAGTCTAAAGGATAATAAGAAAAAAAAAAACTATTTTTGAATGAACAAGGCTTGATTGGCTGAGTCAATTCGAAATTTACAAAAAAGGGGAAAAGACAAAAGAGAACAATAACCTTTTTTTTTTTTCACTAATGACTTTTTCAAAAATGGAAGCAGCTATGGAAGATGCCTTTGTAGAATGGGTATGTTTTCTATATATATATATATATACCTCCATGAGGGTTTATGTGTTCATCATGACATAGATAAACACATTTGAATGTAAATCATATCCTATAGACACAGTTGTGGAATTAGCAGATGGTGTTGTTCTTTCTGATATCTTATCAGACATGTAAAAAAAAAAAAAAAAAAAAAAAAAAAAAGCATAAACATCAAACATACGCATGTTACTTATAACCATAGTGATGCCAAATGGTTCAAACCCATTAAACCAACAGAAACAGCGACTAATTGGGTTGTTCGGTTCAATAATCAAAAGAAACTTCACAAGCTCATTACGCGTTACTTTGAAGATATTGTAGGGCAGGACCCTGAACTCTTACCGAGTGTGAACTTGACGGCTATTGCCAAAGATGCCGACCTGCATGAACTCTTGCTCATGTGTCAGTTGGTAATGGCCATTGCTGTTCAGTCTGACAACAATAAGCGGTATATTGAAATGATTCAAAGTCTGACACAAAAGAGTCAACATGCATTGATGGTCTCGATTGAAGAAGTCATGCATCATTTCAATACTGAACAGGATTATGCGTCCAATCGCATGTCTTATTTGTCAGGCCATTCAAGCACCAAAAGTTTCCAGTTGGAGGATATGCCGTATCGATATCAACTTGAATTCGAAAAGATCTTGTTGGAAAAGAAACAGTTTGAGACATCCCATAGTCAATTATTAGGTGAATACGATGCACTTCGAGAACGATTTGTAAGGTATAGCATGGATAGGTCTATTGTACTAATGGTGTATTAGGAAGATTTATTGGCTGAAAAAGAAGATTTAAAGACCCGTTTACATGATATGGATGAAGCCATTATGCAGGCAAATCATACAGGCAAAGCAGACTATGTCATGCGTACTGAAATTGAACATTTAAAGCAAGATTTGTAAGTAAAAGTAGATTTGGCTTTGGTTGATGTCTATTTTCATTAGAGAACGCAGTGAAGATCGACGTCAAGAGACAGAAATGATGATGGAATCTCATTTGGCTTCCATCAATGAACTCAGAAAGAAAGTAGAAGAATTAACCATTCAAGCAGAAGAAGCTTCTGTACTTAAAGACCAGTTGGAGGAATACAGACATGCTTATGAAAAAATGCAAAAGATGGAAACTACATTAGAGAAATACAAGCGTAAAATGGAAGAATCAGCTGATCTCAAACGACAAATCAAAGCATTAGAAGATCAGAATTCAAGCCTATTAGAACGTAGTCATCAAGTGGAAGATGAGTACCGTAAAGTATTGGCTTTCAAGACATTGATGGATTCCTATAAAGATCAAGTACAGCAATTAGAATCAAGTAACCGAGACATCTTGAAAGAAAAGTCTCGGTTAGAAGATGAATTGAGCCGTATGGCTGATACCTGTGCTTATTTAGAGACAGAAAGGGATCGAAATATGGAACAAGTGCAGTTATTAGAAGAACATATTAAGGAACTTGAATTGGGTGATGGACAGACATTGGATAAAGTAGTCAGCCATCGTGCAAGTGTGGTAATTGAAGAAGATGGGCTACAGGAAGATGGCAATACCATGGAAGAAAACATGAAAAAAGCCAATGTGACTGAATTGTGAGCTGTAGGAATCCATACACTGTATTCATCTTTTGTTATTAGGCGCTTAACAATTGGAAGACTACAGAGACAAATGAAAGAAATGGAACATAGACCAGAAGAGATACCAGAGCAAGGACAACTTCAAAAGGTAAAAAAAAAAAAAGTGTGTGTGTGTACAGGATAGTTGTTGATCTTTTATAGGATTATGAAGATGTATTACAAGAAAGAAATCGATTGCGACAAGAACTTGCACAGATTCGAAATGGTATTCCTGACTCATTACTTAACCAAACACAGACTATCATGGCATTCCGTTCACGTATTCTAGACTTGGAAAAAGAATCCAGTAGTCTAAAGGAAAGTACTGTTCGATTAGAAACCATTGTGTCTGAAGGGACACGTAGTGTGGCCAAAGACAAGACAAGTCTAGAGAATTTTGAAAAAGAACATGCCAAGATTCAAGACAGAGTCAACCGACTTGAAGATATCACTAAAATGCAATTACATGATATCAACCGTATGCTTGTTGAAGCCAACTATTTGAATGGTATCAACAATAACAGACAAGAAAATGAATCGTTTGAAGAAAGACCAGGTTTAAGCGAGTAAGTCAACCAGATCAATAAGACATACTCATAATATGTAAAGTCATGATTTAGAGGTCATTAAAGAACAAAACGCAAGCCTACAAATCCATGTTCTTCACCTTCAAGAAGAAATCAATGAGACACAAGGCAAGATACGTAAAGTCAGAGATGTAAGTGACAAGGCAACTCGCTTCTAAAATGTTAAGCGTGAAATAGATGATCAAACTCTACCATCAATTATTACAAGAAATGACAAAACGATTCTCTCATGTACGCCCAACAGATGAACCTACAGGACTTGTGAGTCGAACACCACGTACAAAAGAAGAAGAACAAGACTTGCTAAAGGTAACTTATGTCTCGTTGTTTACAACTTACTTATTGATCTATAGAAACAAATTCATGATGTGCGTCAACAATCCAAGATTGAACAACAATTGATTATTTCAGCTTGGTATGATCTCGTACGCCGTAATGACAGAGGTGCTTCTCATCTTGCTGTTCGATCTACACCTTCATCATGGTTAGGCAGACAACGAAAAGCATTGGATGTTCATCTAAGACAAAGACTATGCTAACAATAAATATATTTATTTCTCTCTCTTTTTTTCTTGTTTTATTTTATGACCATGCCAAAACAAGTTGTGATGCCAAGTAAAAAGTCCAACATCATTTATGAGAATTGGAAAGTGTATTCAAAACACCACAAACTCATGTTTCGTTGTAACGAGTAAACACATACGCACAAAGGGAAAATGGCACACTGATCTGACAATAGAAAAAAAGCACAATGGTACTTGAAAAAGAATTTAGCTGTTCTTTTACCTGAATCACGCGCTATTCAACTCACATTTGAAGCCAAAGGCGATGGACATCAACAAGGAGACTATATGGTACAAGATCGATCAAATACATGTGTTGCTTGTGGTGGTAATACCTATTTGACCATGCATCATGTTGGTAAAATGACACATCCTTGATTGACTTGTGACTCATGTCTGTAGTTCCTGAAATGTACCGTCATTGGATGCCTTTAGCTGTCAAATCCAAATCAGTAAGTACATGTGACCATACCAAGTCCTTGACATGTTTCTATAGAGTCGTGATTTACTCTTGTTATGCAAGTATTGTCATGATCAGTATGAACAGAAAGCCACTGCCTTTAAAAAGCAAGGTGTAGCACGATTTGGTATTTCGCTTGAAGGCAGAGGATGGATCACATTGCCTCATTACAAAAAAGCCAAAAAAGCAGCTTCTGCATTGCTACGATCCTCAGACAAGATTCCTCTTGACCGACAAACTGTTCTTAAAGACATAGTCGTTCAATTCTGGCAAGAAGAACACCCAGACGATACAACCACTGATTTTGATTGCCTCCTTCGTGAATGCAGTGAATTACAAGACCATTTTAAAGGCCCTGATTTTATAGAACACGGACAAGAAGCCATACGACAATTAACACAACAATGCATCATCAAAGACAATAAGGAAACATGGCCTGATTTAGAAAACTTTATCAAAGAATGGAGACAACATTTCTTAGATCATGTTCAGCCCAAGCACCTAAGCCCTTTATGGACTGTAGATGCTAGTATTTATACACATAGTTAGACAGATAAATAGTCCATAGATAAGCCACAGATCTGAAAGGGTTCTATCTGTTGTTTGATGAACGTAGCCTTGATGGCTCTGAAATAAGGCACAGGGCATTGGATACCCAGCGTGATGCGATCTGTGTCAGGTACTGTTTGATCTGTGATTTTACATTCCACCCATGTACTTGCACTCTGAAGTACAGAGACACTGAGCTGTCTTTCAGGATGTTTGATCTTTTGAGGTGTATGGATAACGAATGTCTTTGTGTTGGCTGTGCCTACTAACATTAAACCTAAATAATCTCCTTGCTTGGGTTCTATATATATATATATATATATAGAGAGAGAGAGAGAGAGAGAGAGAGAGAGAGAGAGAGAAGAAGAAGAAAGATCCATCAGAACTGTCTTTAGATATCACAGTGTACTTACCATAAATTGTATGCCAGCATGAACTGGGATCATTGTCTACTACTCTATGGAACGAATGTTCATTCCATTCAACAAACGAAGGCATGATAGAATATTCATCATAAGCATCCTCTAGTTTAGCTATCGAAGTCATGTTTTGATAATCAAACTCGACTTGTTCAGGACGTACAAAAGGATCCATGTTGGTCATGAAGAGACAACGATCATGAGCACAAGAAGAACGTACATCTCTGTACTCTAAAGAGGGTTGATCTTCTATTCTTTCAAAGTAATCTTGAGGTGCTTCTGATTGATCTTGAATGAGCGATCTTTGTAGATGACGCACGGCATCATACTTGATGAAAGTGAGTAAATAAGTACTAGACAGATAGAACGTACCGTGTAGTGATCCAAAGTGGAAGGATAAGCAATGTCTTGATCTGTTGCTTTATCTCCTTTGGCTGTATAAGGTGGATTACATAATAACCAAGGATATTGATTCATCCAGATAGCAAAATAATGTTCAGCCTGTCGAATACTGTCCTTGTTCAAGCCTGATTTACCTAACTGAGTCAAAAAAGTCTGTACTTTCCATCGAGGTACAAAGGCACCATAACGGAAATCAGCATAACCTGTATGAAGTCGAATGGCATCTTGATGAAATCGCCATTTTAATTCACGTTCATAATGAGAGGGTTTAGCATTCGCATGAATCAAGGTAGGAAAACGTAAAAAGTTGGTATATAAAGAATCCATGTACATGTTGAGGTAAGTGTCATCTTGGAAATAGCAGTAAAGACGAGAAGCAGTAGCGCATGTTGTAAATCGAGCCATACTGCTTAAATGTTCATCCGATTCAAGGATGTCAATATGAATATCGACTTGAGGATCCAGTTGAAGACTCTAGAGAATATATATATATAAGCAAAAGGGATATGAAAGAGACGTATGTTACCTGTCTGGTTAATGGTCTATGCTTGACCAAGTTGTGAATATAGATATCACTAATAAAAGGATACTTTAACAAGTGTTTGACAGTATAGACAATGCTCTCATCATCATCTGTCACACGTAACAATACAGCCGAGACTGGATTGAATTCGTTTTCTTTCAATGCTTCTGGTGTAAAATAAGTTTTAGGGAAAGCACTTTTGCCTGTTCTGTCAGATAGACTAGGTGCCCAAGACAAAGGATTCACATTGTAATCTGCTGACGGTGTACTTGGTGTGTATTCCATAGAGCGAGATGAATAAAAAGAATACAAGATGATGAACCCAACCACTACTAATGCAAGTAGTTTTCGAGATGATCTTGTTTCTTTTTCTTTACGTTGATGAAGTGGCAACATGCTAGATCCCATCTGAGAAAAAAAAAAAAAAAAGGAGAGAAAGGACGAATATGGAGTTTAAAATGATAAGTTTATTATTATTATTGTTATTATTCTTATTTAAGGATCTTCTTCTTCCATCATCATCTTTCGATGTAATGGAGGTGGCTTTGTGAAATAAGTTGGTATGCGGGATTCCAAATTGCCTTGAGGAGCATACCAAGTATCTCGAATCCATCCTGATTTCCTACTTCGATGGGATTTAGTGTGTTTAGGACGATGGACAGGTTGAGACATCAGATCAAGGGCAAGTCTAAGTTCATGTTGCATTTTGACTAGATCAGATATACACTGTCCAAACAAACGAACATCACTGAATGAACAAGGAATAACAAAAGAGTAACGAGGTATATGCACATACAATCCATTGGCCAATAGTTCAATAGTAGATAGAGTACAAGAAAGGCCTGTTTCCTAGAGGTGAGCTATTGTATGCAAGTAGATATACATTTACCTGTGATATGGATAAGCCATGTCATACAGCGTGTATCTTCAGATAAGCCAGTTAATTGTATCATATCATCCAACGCTACTTTGCCTTTTCGTATCAGTCTGTCCTCCACAGGTGTATGTGTTGTACTGCATTCACCTACAGCCAATGAGATCTCTTTTCCTTCGACTTGAACAGCCAATTTAAAACTAAAAACAGTATTGTTTGGATGATGATGATCTAAATCACCAATCTTGAGTCGAATCTTTTGAGCAGCAGGAAATAAGAGTTGAAAGATAGTAGACCATAGACAATGAAAATACTCAATGTTGGACATATTAGCTGATCCAGACAAGACAGAATCCTTTTGTCGCAACAGGGTTAGCCAGTGTCGCAAGATACGCCATAGATTCGCAATGTCAAAAGGATTTGATTCACGGGCTGTCTTGGACTGAATTTCATGGTATACACTCTCGATATTCTTTCTGCGACATTGTTTATCATAGAGTAATTTGACTTCGTCTTTTGTGACCGAGAGGGGTGATTTGGCCATCAAGTCTTTTTTTATCATGGGCCAATCCAAACCAAACAAATAGCCATGGGAATCAGGTTCTCGATAACCTTGTCCCAGATCAAGCACAGAAGAAAGTGCAATAGCCATATTTCGCTTGGCCAAGTCAGATACAGGTTCCTTATGATGATAAAGAGCTGTGTGGACTGTAAATGCCCATCGTTTAAGAATGGTGCCTATACTTCGACGTTCTTTGTAAAATAGCATGTCTACTTCAACAATATCTTTTCTCTGTGCTTCTTCCTGTGTTCTGGTCTTCTTGGTTGAATCTGCTAATTTGATGTGATGAATCTTGTGTTTTTTAGGTACCTGAACAACACTTTTTTCTTTCTCTTCATTTTGAAAAACGGCTTCTTTTTCAGTAGGAGGTGTCGTTTGTTCTTCTTGCTCTTTCTCTACTTCCTCTTCTTGTTTTTCAGTTTGAATTGTATTTTTCTCTTCCTCTTGTTCTTCTGTTATCATTCCTTCTTCTCTTTCAATTGTAACCATAGCCTCTTCTTGCTTTTTAGTTTGAAGCATAGCACTTTCTTGTTCTTGAATTCGATAGAGCATTTCTCCCAAGTCACGATGAGTAACAATATCGTTTTCTTCGGTTTGAGCTGTTGTCTCTTCTACTTCCTTTTCAGTTTGAGATGTAACTTCTATTTCTTCCTCTTCCTCCGTCTCTTCTTCACTTTTAGTTGGAGCTTCTTTTTCCTCTTTTTGCTTATTCTCTTTCTTGTCTTTGTCCGCTACTGTCACGGTTAAACATTGGCTAGCAATCATAGGTCTAGGCGTAGATCTGTCTATCATGATTGAGTTTTGATCAGCCCTAATAGGTGCTTGATGAGCAGAAGCCTGTTCAGTCACGAATGATGAAACAGGCTGTTGATCAGATACTGTGGCGAGATCATTGGGAGTAGAAGATGCTTGTTGGTCAGACGTGGAGGGAACAGTCAGTTGGTTTGTAGTATGACCATCATTGGATATGTGATTCATATTGACTGTTGCTTGAATAATCTTGTAAAAGCATTCACCAGGAAAGGCAAAGTTGGGTTGAATTGAGTGATCAGTCTTTGAATCAGCTGTTGTCCCATGCAGTAACCTAATATTGAGCAAAGGAAAGAAAGAAAGAAGAATCCAAAGAAATAGGATAAGTAAACCATAGCGTTTATTGATTGAAGATCAAATTCACCTTGTGTCTACAGTGCTTTGTTGCTGATGCTGAATCGTTTGTTGTTGTTTCTGAATCGCTCGTAGTTGCTTTTTAATCGCTTGCGGCTGTCTCTGAGTCAATTGCTGTTGTTTCTGAGTTGCTTCTTGTTGGCTCTGAGTCGCTTCTTGCTGATGCTGAGCAGTGTTTTCTATACATCTTCGTTTGGCTTGTGGAGTGAAAAAATCATCAAACGATCGCTTTAAGGATAGATGTAGTTTTTCTGCTGCTTTTCTGACTTGGTTCTCAATCACCAGCTTCATCAAGTTCTCACTATGTTGAGCCCAAAAATGATCAAACATACGCTGGTCTTCTGTGAATGCCTGGCGTATTGACCTGATTCTCGCTTTGTATTTATCTTCTTTTCGCATGTTCTTCTCAATCGACTTTAGATCTTGAATAAAAAAGTCTGTGACAAGACTTTTTGTTAAACAAGGATTGAGTTGCAATAGGTTAATAGTGTATTGAACAGGAGACCATGTCGTCCAGTGCGCTGTCTTCCAATAATCTATATGGATTAGTGATGGTTATTCAAAGACGCGTATACCTGGGTTATTTAAGGATTCAGTTTGAAATGAAGGAAATGAAGTGTGGCTATAAGATTGTGTTAATCCTGGAAAGACCATCTAAACTGAAGAATAGGATTTTTTTTAAAAAAAAGAAAAAGGAAACAATTGCATTTTTATCAAAAAAAAAAAACAAAAGAAAAAAAAAAGTCAGCATACAGGCTTCTTCACCCTAATTATTGTTCAATAAGACAAGTAACACTACTTCTTTAATAAAAGGGATAAATACCTATTCTTTAATCATAGATTGCATAAGCATGATGAACAATAAAAGCAACAGAAAGGGTTTTCAACCAATCTCCGCACTTTTTTCTCTCTTTTTTTTCTTCCTTGTATTTTTATCATGGGCAACTCCATCTCCAAAAAGAAGGAAAAACTTCATAAACACAAACAAAAGAAACATACTTCATTACCTCCTCCACCTCGTTTAGATGTTACGCATGCAGACAATGAAAACAGTACCAACACAACTCAATCTGTGAATTCCATCCTCATGACTTCGTCACAACATCGAAAGAGTACACAAAACACGCATTCAACACTTTCTCAACTGAATCCTGACTACCCTGTTCGGAATGAAGACGATCAACAGGACACTATTCAAAATGATGCTTATATGGGCAAAGTAGAACACCCTCAACAGCATAAACTATTAGCCCAGTCTGATTTCTGGCCACCCAAGAAAGCAGCCAATATGGACCTTGATGTCGATTCAAATCAATTGACAGTATCTTCCATGAACCAACTAACTATGAATTCAATTTCGAGTTTCAATCTACAGAATGCGAATATTGATGATTATATTCGTCGGCTTTTAGATGCTGGCTATGCTACCAAAGTACCAAAGCAATTGTGTTTAAAGCAGTCCGAAGTCACAGCGATCTGTCGTGTGGCTATGGATATATTTCTAAGTCAGCCTGTAAGTGTCTATATAGCATATCCCCCTTTCTCACTGAATTATTCTATGTAGTCCTTATTAGAATTATCTGCACCTGTCAAGATCGTAGGCGATACACATGGACAATATACAGACTTGATTCGGTTGTTTGAAATGGGTGGATTTCCTCCAAATTCAAACTATTTGTTCTTGGGTGATTATGTAGACCGAGGAAAGCAAAGTTTAGAGACATTTCTGTTGTTATTGTGTTACAAGATTAAATATCCAGAGAATTTCTTTATCTTGAGAGGCAATCATGAATCTGCTAATGTAACTAAAGGTAAGTTACGATAGATAAACACAATGTGCTTATTTGAAGTCTATGGATTTTATGATGAATGTAAACGTCGTCTGAGTCCAAAGAGTTGGCGTACCTTTGTCGATGTGTTTAATACGTTGCCTATTGCTGCATTAGTGGCAAGCAAGATATTCTGTGTCCATGGTGGTCTTTCGCCTTCTTTACACAGCATGGATGATATAAGAAATATTCAGAGACCCACTGATGTACCTGACTATGGCTTACTGAACGATCTGTTATGGGCCGATCCAGCCGATATTGCGGTGGATTGGGAGGACAATGAACGTGGCGTATCTTACTGCTTTGGTAAAAAAGTCATTAATGAATTTTTGGCGAAATTCGATTTAGATTTGGTTTGTCGAGCACATATGGTTGTTGAAGATGGCTATCAGTTCTTTAATGACCATACATTGGTGACCGTATTTTCTGCACCTAATTACTGTGGTGAATTTGATAACTTTGGTGCCATTATGAGTGTGAATGAAGAATTGTTATGTAGTTTTGAATTGCTTACACCTTCGGACCACCCCTTAGCAAAGCGAACTTAAAATTCATTCTATTTCATTCTAAATAAACAAATAAATAGAAAATTTATTCTATTTTGTTCGATGTTCTTTGAGCTTCTGTGTATAGTTTGTTTGTGGGGGCGGAGTAGGAAGAAAGCCGTGCACACACTTGCTTGTGCTCTTGGAAGTCAATAGAACAAAAAAGCTTAATCTACATTTCATATTAAATCACTTGTTTTCTTCTCTTTTTTTTTTCATTCTTTTTTTTTTTCTTTTACTCTTTTTTTCTCTTTGCTCTCTGTTCATTCTTTTCTCTTTTTATGTTACTTTTTCTTTAAAAAAAAATTAAAGTAAAAGTAAAGAAAAAGAAAAAGAAGAAAAAGAAAGAAAGATAGCGTCAATGCTCTACACGCATGTTATTATTTAAGGGGGGTTTAATTATGTTTTGACTAAAAAAGTCAAAACAGAACATCGTTCATTTTATTATTATTATTATTATTACTATTATTATTACTGCATTATTGATAAACCAAGGTAAATATGTTATCTCGCTCATTTTATTTTCTCTTTGCATATAGGTTTATAAAAACAAAAAAAAAAGAATGACATGCGGATCATATTATGTCATCATTTGCAAGTATATATCTATTGCATTTAGGGGTTATTACTTGTCATGATAAAAGATGAAATCATTGTTACTTCACTCTTTAGAATTAAGGAGTGTCTGTTTCTTTTTTTTTTTTATTTGAGTTATGTATACAAACAACTAGATTGAAATATCTGGAACAAAACACTTTCGGAGGAGAAAGGCAAACAAGTTATTTTCCTTTTTTAGATTTCCCCTTTTTTCTTTAAACATTACATGTAAATGACAGAAAAGTGATATTCCAACCCATTTGATTGGTTGGACTAAAATTGGGCTGTTCCATAAAAAGGGAAAGCGAGAAAAAAAAACTCCTTTTTTTTTTATCTTGTTCGCGTCATGCTTTTGAATTGGAACGAGATTTGCTTGATTTAGTCTTCTATTTGTTGTTCATAGTCACCTTTGTCCTACTGTCCCCCCCCTCTTCCTTCTTCTGTTTTCTCTCTCTTTCTTTTTCTCTCTGTGTGTGTGTGTTTTAAGCTGATCGATTTACGCGCACACCATGTTTGACCATGCGTGACTAAATTAACTTTATTCAAACTGACAAAAAAAGGGGGTCAATTCGATGTACTTGCCGGAATATTCGCGTGTATTGAATAATTTATATATAAATTTCCCCTGATAATAGCCCAAGAGCGAAAATTAAGGGGGAAGAAAGAGAGACAGAGGAAAGAGATGGAACAAAAACAAAGCAAAGGGTGGGGGGAAAGGGGGTGTGGGGTTTCTTGCAGGTTTTTTTCTATATAAACCCTTTTGTGCATTTTGTTATTTTTTTTTTTTGTTTTTTTACTTTTCTTCAAATGTATTATCCTTACACAATTGAAAATATGCCTTCTTTCATGATGGTCCCTAACAAGCAGGAATCTTTTTCATTTGCCGACAATCATGGCCATGAACTCTTGTTTTCCACTTTTGCTCCTGTGGTTGATTACCAGTTTATTGATTCAGCATATTTCGACTTTTTGACGCCTTCTCCTCCTCCTTCATACGACATGATCTACAACGAACCTGTTTACAATGGGATCCCTATGCCCATCACAACAGAATCATGTTCTTCTCTGTCTTCACTATCTTCTGGTTCACCTGTTTCCTCACCTCTCTGCTTTGATAAACCAAAGAACCGTAAAACTAAATACCCCAATGATAGACCTTTTTCTTGTCATCTATGTCCTCGCGCCTTTGCTCGTAAACACGATCTACAGCGACACATTCGTGTTCATACAGGTGATAAACCTTATGTTTGCCCATGCTGTAAAAAAGGATTTGCCCGTACAGATGCTCTCAAAAGACATTTACGTGTGGAAGAACAATGCCGTAAAAGTAATGAAGTACAAACCATGAAAGAAACAGGCAAAAGACGATACAAGCATCTGTAAACATCTCTCTTTCTCTCTCTTTCTCTCCTTTTTTTTTCCATTACTTTCCTTTTTGTGTAAAACATTCATTTTGCTGAAAAAGTTACTGTTGACAGTAATATTTCATATTTTTGCCCTTTCCTCTTCTTATATATATATACGCACAACTCCTTGTTTTTTATCATCATTATCATCATTATCATCATTATTTTCATCATTTCAAAAAAAAAAAAAAAAAAAAAAAAAAAAAAACATGCCTCTTTTTTTTTTTTTTTTTTATTTATTTATGTTCTTCTTATGTATTTTTATTTCTATTTTTATGATACAAGGGGAAATTTGAGTAGACAAAGTGACAACATGATACCATAATAAAAACTAAAATAAAAAGACGTTTATTTTTTCGTGTTATAATAAGCTTTAAGCATGGCGCCTTTTCATTCTAATTTAAACAGGTTTTGATCTAAATAAGGACAAAATGAACCGAATACTTGGTATTTTAGAAAATCGATTTCAAAGACTACTAAGGAGGTGTGAAACAACAAGAAGGTTTTAAGGAGAGTTTTAGTAATGCAAGTGTAATATATAGATGTGTCTATTCCATGGATATTTCTGTAGCAGTGCCATCTGAATCTTGATCATCATTGTTTGTGTTGTAACCTAATCGAGGCAACACTAAAGACTTGGTAGCTACTCTTTCTTCTTGTTGAGGACTATGGGTAATCCAGATACAGGTACGTCCCTTTAAGGTTCTTTCGACTAATAAGGTAGATTCAGGATCCAAAGCAGAAGTGGGCTCTACAGGATACATATGAGTTCAAATCGAATAAAGATGCATACCATCTAAAAGTAAAATCTCTGGATTTAAGGCCAATGCAATAGCCAGGGCAGCGCGTTGCATTTCACCGCCCGACAAATAATTCCAATGTTCATGAAAATGAGCTTCAGACAAGTTCCAATCCATCCCAATCTTAACCTAACAAAGAAGAGTAAGGTCCCGTATTATCCACTGAGAGAAGAAAAAAACGTACGGGGTCATCAAAGTATTTTCCTTTTTGTGAAGCATATTTTTTTGCCATGTTAAACAAGTCCATGGGTGTACCAGGATGAATTGCAGGTCTTTGAGGTACATACATGACTCTAGATCGCCAAGTAGGAATACCGAAATGTGAAGGTGATTTACCGTATAGACTGGATTGTCCTGCTGTATAAGGTGTCAATTCTGCAAGACACTTTAAAAGGGTTGTTTTTCTATCATCTGATAAGCATCTATATGGCTTTCCCCCCCCCTTTTTTTTGACTTACCCTGCACCACTGGGGCCTCGAAGTACTAAGGTATCTCCTTTTTCTAAAGTAATATTGACATCTTTAAACAACCAGCGATTGTCACCTAATCTCATAGAGATCCCTGTTGCTTCAAACATAGCCATTTCAAAAAAAAACACACACACACACACACAAAAAAAGGGAAAGAAAAAAAATAGGAACCCGATTATAAAAAAAAAGAGAGAAATAAAACGAATAAGCTTTGCGCTAATAAAACTATATTTGGATTACTTTTTTTTTAGCCTCAAAATATTCTTCACAATCAACTCCTTTAGAGAGAGAAGTATATAAAATCAAACTTGACTTGCAGGATTATTGCCCATCATGCATGTATAGCGGAGAAGAGGGATAGACTTTAAGAGCTGAGCCTCGTTTACTGTGCTTAAATAAAAAAACGGAATTTGGCTTATCAGATCTTACAGATGATTTTAGCTTGTCAGATTAAATGAGACTCGGTGACGTAATAACAAATGATTGGTTTAAAACGCATCAATTAAAAGCTTATACATCTATACAAATGTATATTACTATAAAAAAAATCCTCTGTCCAAAAAGCTAAAAGTTGAAGAAAGCTAGACTACGAAAACAGCGAAGCTAACGAAAAAAAAGTTTGTAAAAGGTAAGAGGAAAAGAGTCGGAGACATTGTTATTGAGGAGAGTAGTGCCAGTAAAAAAAAAAAAAAGAAGGCAAATATTGTATTTTTCAGCAATTAAGAGACAGTCTCAGAGAAAATAAGAGAAAATTATTGGATAAAATAAGAGAAAATTTTAGATCAATTAAGAGAAAACTGACCAATAAAATAAGAGAAAAACACAGGAAAAATTAAGAGAGAAAAAAAGGGGCAATTAGTAGAAAGCTTATTTATACTTTAATCTCATTATAAGTTTTTCTCCAGGGCTAAGCACTTTTCAAAAAATCCGAGGGAATGGTGGATCCAGCCTTGGCAGTCTTTCTTGGTTACCTTGGAGCAGGCATCCATGATTCTGGGTGTGAGTGTCTCACCAGTTTCGAAAGGTTTTCTTTTGACACCATACTTCACCTTCGACCAGAATAGCTCAATTGGGTTTAGGAATGGTGAGTATGGTGGAAGATATACACACCTATAGCCTCTGCTTTCTATCAAATTTCTTACTGTAGCTGGCTTATGTATGGGAGCATTGTCCATTACCAAGTAAAAACCCCTCATGTTGTTTCGGTCAAGAACATCCATCACATTACTCAAGTAATTTAGATAATGCTCGGCCCTTGTTCCAACTTTGGCTGTTGTTGTAACAACCTTACCATCTACTCTTCTCTTCTTAGCTCTCGAAACCATTATTGGCTTTCTCAAAGAAATGTCAATAACGCCGGCACTTGAGATGGCACCAAGGATGGTTATTGTAGTGCCTTTTGAAGCAGGGACAGTTGTCTTAGCAGGTGCTCCCTTCTTAGACCAGCCACGAGTGCGTGTCATGTGAAGATTGAATCCTGCTTCATCCAAAATACGCAATTGTTCTCAAAGTCAATTTCTCTATCAGCTAGCCATTGAAGGATGGTCTCCTTTCTCTTCTTCAAAGTTTCTTCTGAATTTCTAGCAACTGAAATCTTCTCCAACTTCTTCATAGATAGTGCACAGCTGGTCCTAAGATGTCTGTATACTGCGGATGGGCTTGCAGAGAGACTTGGAAACTCTATGATCAATGACTCGTGTATTCCAGCTACAGTTGTAGTTGAACGCTCATCAACAAGGTCGATAATAAACTTCGAGTGCTTCTCAGTAAGCTCAGAGACAGTTCCCATTCTGCGTCCTCTTTTCTTCTGTTGAGGTACCTCCCCAGTTTTCTGCCACTGCGATTTGAAACGGTAGGCTGATTTTTCATTTATTCCTGTCTTTAAAGCTGCATCCTTTATAGGTACCTGTTCAACTAACAGAGCAATAAGCTTGTTGATATCCTGCTGAGTGTATATACGTCTAGCATTGCTAGCGTCGTCTTTTTTTTCAGTCAGGTCTCTGAGAGGCTTCTCTTCTTTCAAATCGCTCTCACTACTCTGCACATCAGCTTCATTTTCCTCCTCGTCCGAGCTATTACTGGGCTCATCACCCTCGTGCCCTTCCTTCAGTTCCATCGTCACATCTTCATCTAACTCCATGGCTGATGCAGTGATGTTATACTCCCACTTCTTTCTCATCATCGACATTACACTGACAATAATCTCGGGTACAGCTTCAATATCTTCGTCGCGTAGAGAGATCTCGTTCATATCATAGTCAATATCCATTTTTTGTTAATAATAGTGAGAAAAGTGCTTTCTACTAATTGCCCCTTTTTCTCTCTCTTAATTTTTCCTGTGTTTTTCTCTTATTTTATTGGTCAGTTTTCTCTTAATTGATCTAAAATTTTCTCTTATTTTATCCAATAATTTTCTCTTATTTTCTCTGAGACTGTCTCTTAATTGCTGAAAAATACAATAGCAAAAAAATACGACTGCTCATTTTGTGAAATTCATGAATGAACTTCTTGATATCATGGACACGGACAAAAGCCTTGTTGGCAGTTATCTTGTAATGAATAACTGCACTATTTACAATTCGTATCCGATGACAGGAAATATTGAAAACAAAGGCTACAGATAGACTTATGTATTTGCCCCCTTATGCACGAAAGCTGAGGTGTTACAGGTTGAAAAATGAAGAAAATCTGTCGTAAAGAATTGCCGCCTTAGTGATCTTTATGGCTTTTGTAGGCATTTTAAACGGCGAATCGTCGCTTGCTATAATTTTAGATAGCTCCTTTCTTCAATAAACATTCATTTGTACGTAAATGACAATTTGATAAAGAAGTTTTTCTGAAAGATAGAGTAGATTTTTCAAAACTGAAAACCATTTCATAACAAACTGCCAATCATTTCTCGGCTAGTACCATTCATCTTTCGAAACGGACAACATTTACCTTCCGTACTGTATTGCATTAACACACCTCTCAGAAATAGAGTTACACAAAGCGCATAAATTCAACGGATCATCGGAAGAGTTTAGCCTCGGGAAACGTTATGCATATTAAGCTCTTTGTCAAGTGTATATAAGCTTGCTTTTTTTCCCCTCCCTTTCTTTTTTTTTTTTCTTTACATTTTATTCTACTATGGGACAAGACTACGAATACCAAGTAACGAATACAAAATACTATGCGCATAATTCACTGATCCATATTAGCATAAATACCCTACTGAACCACAAGATGGTTCAGATTCTTATGACCCTACTTTTACTCAAGATGAAATTGAACGCCCTAATCCCAATTACCCTCAGCCTCCTTTTGTTTCAGAGAATCAACCTTCTACACCAGGCAAGTTGACTTGGTTTCGGCTAAAAGGAAATTAATGCCTGTTATTCTAGTACCTTATGGTGAAAACACGGAGAACGAAGACAGTGAATTTTATCTACATATTGATCCTAAAGTGAAAAAACATGGGACACCTCATTTCAAATTGTCGAATTGTGAGTTATAAATACAATGGCTTTTGTCTGATTTCAAAAATAGGTCAAGGAAGAAAAAAGGCCTTGTTGATTGGCATCAATTATTTCGGTACAGACCATGAATTAAATGGTTGCATTAATGATGTGGCCAATATCAAGGATTTCATTTCGAGTCTATATGGATTTCAAGAAGAAGACATGGTGATCTTGACAGACGATCAAGATCCTGACAGTAGATTTTATCCTACACGAGCCAATATTCTTGCCGCGATGACATGGCTTGTATCAGATGCTCAGCCAAATGATTCGTAAAATCACGCATGTTTGTCATAGACGCATCTCATTCTGTTTGATAGATTCTTTTTTCATTACAGTGGTCATGGGGGTCGTGTCAAAGACTTGGATGGCGATGAAGAAGACGGTTATGATGAAACTATCTATCCCGTTGACTTTGAACAGTTTGAAGGTACCTCAGGCCAAATCATTGATGATTTAATGCATGATATTATGGTGCGTCCCTTATGTGAAGGATGTCGTTTGACATGTATCTTTGACAGTTGTCATTCAGGCACAGCGTTAGATTTGCCCTTTGTGTATTCGACCAAAGGTGTTTTGAAAGATCAAAACCTGTTCAAGGACGCTGGTCGAGGCTTGTTATCGGCTGGTTTGAAATATGTGTCTGGGGATCATGAGAGTGCGTATGCCTCATTAGTTGAGTTGGGTCGAGAATTAATGAACGCAAGAGACGTTGAAGAAGAACTTCGTCAAAAGAACTTTTCACCTGCGGATGTAGTGCTGTTTTCAGGGTAAAACGTGTACATGGCATAAAGTTACTTATCGTACCTATAGATGTAAAGATGACCAAACTTCAGCAGATTCAAAAGAAGCAGGCAAAGCAACGGGCGCCATGAGCTATGCATTTACAAGTACACTTCGAGAAAATCCAAATCAGTCGTATCAGGCACTGTTGAACAGTGTACGTGATATTTTGCGAGACAAATATGATCAGCGTCCTCAATTGAGCGCTTCTCATCCTATTGATGTCGATCTTCAATTTGTTTGTTGAAAAAAAAAAAAAAGTTTCTTTAGAATGTTTGCAATAATAACAATAAAAGGTTAACTTGTCGACAACGAAAACTGCTTAATGGGTTTTGTTTGATTATTTCTGAAATCAATGCACCAAGAGAAGCTATGCACTTTTCCTATGAATATCCATATATATTATATAGAGCATAATATCCTTTTCATGATTTAATGGAACCAGTGGCACTTTGTAACTAAAAAGAAACTAGCTTATCGTGTCCATAGGCTCATGAAGAACGTCTTTTCTTGTTAACTACGTTTCTTTGAATGATCTTCTTTATTTATTTTCAACTTTTCATGCACTCTTGATATTAAAAATAAGCCCTCACAGCATATCCTATTTTACATATAAATTAAATATACTTAGCATAAAGTTATTTTATTAATAAAAAAAAAAGGGGGCACTTTGTTTGGTTCTCAAAGACAAGCTTTGATACTAACAGGATCAACCACGAGAAGGTAAAAGTGCATCTGATCCCAAAAGGAATGAAGTTATGATTGCTTTGTAGGGTAAAATAATGTCCTTGCATGACTTTACCACGACCCAGAGAATGCTTTGCGTAGTGTTGAGTCACCAACAGCTAACTTACAGGAAGACATTCCCCAACTTAGGCACCAGAAAACTCGATTCAATTGCTTTTGATCTTGATTGCAGTGGACCCAGTAACCACAACCAACATCGTTTGGCATCACCCAAACGCACCAAGAAACAACCAAATCGATGCCGCCTTGCAAGTGTACTGCGCCATAAAAGAGACAGAAAAGAGAGAATTGATTTTTTTGATTCACTTTGTAGAATGAACAAGACAACGTCAGACTTTAGGCTTCAATATCATGACTAACCAGTGCTTAAAAAAAAAAGAAAACCAAGTCGGATCCGCCCATAACATCAATTAGCCGCAAACAGCCCAAAGTACAGAGAAGTCAGGATATCACACCATGTCCCTATACCGACATTTCAAAGACTAGTGTTTCATAGCTTTTGGCCATTCCCTAATGGAAATGTCTACGCAGCAAACCAAAGATAGCCATCAGGTAGTGAACCATGACCCACGACTTGCCCCGGCTGACCGGTTTCATTGATGATTGAATATACAAGTATACACTGGCCCAAGTATATAAAAAAAGAGGGTGTCAAGCTTATCCGCATAAAAGCAAGCCCGCCTTGACTACGGTATTGTACTGGACGAGTAGGGAATCTTGTCAATCCAGACTAGCAAAGCCAGACTAGACGAAGCGCAAGTAACCAGCAAGTCAACTCAAGTACCCGTCAGCTTTGCCGTGAGGCTCCGCCCAGACGGCACCAGGCCCCTTTTTTCCAGCTAAGGACAAGTAGGTATACGAGAGCAGCTTCACTCGCTTTGACGCACAATAGAGGGGTTCAGACACAGTATACAGGGTATACCATGCTTGCTCCTGTATCACAGCTACACTTGATTTGCAATCGCTTTACCACGTTCCACCTGATGAGGAAGAAGACATGTGCAAAACTATGACGAAGAAAATCCCCCCTTGCGAGAGAACATAAACCAAATGAAGACGATCCAAGCATAACGGCGAGGATTGCAATACGGTGTTAGGTAGAGTGTGGCCATAGACTAACAGAGTGGTATCAAAAAAGTACAATCACCAAGAAACTGAGGTCGACACGTGTACATGAGGTGATTCTAATACACAGACGCGTATAGGAGACGGTTAGGCGTATTGCAACATATAAAATGAAGCAATATTAACCCCAGTACAGACACGAAGCGAGAGACTCCCTCTTTGTAGAATATGCACATCCCTTGAACGTTGCTGTGGCGCGGTGTTCGCAGAATATGCTGCTGCCACACAGCTCTACCTCTCATTGAACTATAAAAAAATAGCAATCGCAACAGAAACTACTTGAGGAAGGTTTGGGGGGTTGAAATGCCTCAGTCTATAATCGCACGTACAAGGACCTAAAGACCACAAGTACATGATAGACCTTATCATTTCTGTAGCAGTTTCTATAAGGAAAAAGAAAAAAGACTTTTTTTGCTGCGCGTTTGTTTAATGCGTCAGCATTGTGTGGCGGTGTTTATAATTTTAGCATGTGATAGAGATGGACTTTTGCATAAAATAGATGAGATTATTGCTCAAGGTGTTTCAGCACTATGAATATAAGGTAGTACTACTGTCTGGGACTACTTTGGCATGAAAAAAAAATATATTTACTAATGAAGGCAAAGGACCGTTAGAGCAACGACTGATAGAGAAAAAAAGCGTAAAAAGAAAAATATGCAAGCCCTAATGGAGGTAATGAGCAATGAAAAGTTGTCTGATTCAGCTGTATTCTTTGTATAGTGCTACCAAAGCATCCATTGACCTTGTGCATCAAAAAATCATACATGTCAATCAACTCTTCTGTAGTACGATTAGAAAATGATCAGGCAATGTTTACTAATATTCATGTCCAAAATGGTCAAAATATGCCTACGGTCCAAAGGGTACTGTTCATGAAAATCATCAAGCTGACAGCTCTCTGAGCTTCTTTTTGATGCTACAAGACAAAAAATAGAGCTATCGACAAGCTTAAATACTCAAAATGTACGCAATACGCTCTAGTTTTTGATCAAAGTGTTTGCTTGCTACTTGCACTATAGCAATAATGAGATAGGAGCAAAAAACCTCATAGACATCTTTGCCTATTAACTCGATATTTTACAGTACCCTTTGGACCATAGGCATGTTTTGACCATTTTGGACATCTCCCTTTTTTTTTTTTTTTGGTCCATATCGACTTCAAAGGTACCATCAATGTTAGTAAACATGGTTTATAAGTATTTGAAACATTTGTGCTTGTATAAACAGACTTTATTCTACCTTCATATCATCTAAGAAAAAGACGAATATTTGCATGAATTGTTGTCTTTTTTCACTGTTAAAGCATCTATTTATACGGCGAGTCTGGTGAGTTTGATGAAGAACGGATTTGACAACCTTTTTTTTTTTAGATACATAATTGCGAGTTTCTATAATCATATTCACTAAATGGATGAAGTTCCTACTTTGTTGTTCTTAAAAGTTTAATCAAGAAATTTTTCGAAAAGGGACACTTCAACATAGTCTTTAAAAAAAAAAGCATTCCCATGGTTAAAGGCGACTTCATATCTAGTTAGAGGAATTCATCTCTGTTGCCACTTCCTGTAGAATTAAGTTGATGAATAGCGAACAACTTCTGCAATTGACCTGGTGACCTATTCATGTTTTGAATTCGAGCAATAGCATGTACTTTACTTTCTATATCTGTAGGTATTACCTCTTCTAATTGAGTAGTATCAAGATTTCTTTTGTACAATACTTACCTTTCATTCTAGAAGCACTTGGGTTTATTTTTTGTTTGCATAAACGTACTTCATTTCCGTGACTCCTTTTCCAAGCAACTTGATTAACGCTCCGGGGCCCAGCAGACGATGTTCCACTTTAATGAAGCGGCGCGTACAAGGCGTGTCCGATACAGCACACTAAATATTTTTTTTTTTTTTTTTTGCTTGTTGTCACTAACTGTGTAGACAATATGGTTCCACATCAACATGACGACTTTTTAATTGTACGTGCTTACTTGTTGATTGTCAAAATATTAATGTATTTTATAGAATGAGCATGATATGCCTTATGAAGAAGAACTTCTTCGAAGTCCTTTTTCAATCCGTACTTGGATTCACTACCTTGATCATAAACGAAACAGCTCTTATTCAGAATTATGCTTTGTGTTTGAACGTGCTCTTAAAGAACTTCCTGGATCATATAAAATCTGGAAACAATACTTGGATGTACGCCGTGAAAAGCTTAGAGGACTTAATGCTGTTCGACACCAACAACAATACCAAGCCGTGGTTGCTCTTTATGAACGCGCCCTTGTCTTATTGAACAAGGTAATAGGTGGCAAAGGAATAAACATAGACTGATTGTTTGTAGATGCCACGCATTTGGCTTGATTACCTCTCTTTACTGACAACGATGCCCGTGATCACCAAAACTCGACATGCATTTGATGATGCTCTACGCGCCCTTCCAGTCACACAACACGCTCGTATTTGGGAGATTTATTTACAGTTCGCCAAAGCTGCAGGTGGGGAAACAGCCCTTCGTCTCTACCGTCGATACCTCAAGGTAGATTTGACACATCACGTTGATCATGTTGTACTCATGTTCATTAGTTTGAGCCTTCTTTTGTAGAAACCTTTGTTGAAAACCTGATTTCACTTGAACATTACGATGAAGCAGCTCTCAAGCTTGTTGCCATTGTCAATGATACCAGTTTCCAATCATCTAAAGGCAAATCACATTATCAGTTATGGCAGCAATTATGTGATCTTGTAGTCGAACACTGTGAAGATATTCATAGTCTTAAAGTAGAGCCTATTATTCGCAGTGGTATCAAGCGATTTACAGATCAAGTGGGTTTATTGTATTCTCGTCTAGCCATGTATTGGATCAAAATGGGTCAATTAGAAAAAGCACGTGATATATTTGAAGAAGGCATCACGACTGTCATGACAGTAAGAGACTTTACCGTCATTTTTGATGCCTATGCAGAGTTTGAAGAAGAAATGATTACAACCAAGATGGAAATGGCTGCAGAGCGTGAAGCTGCTCAAGAAAAAGACGAGGAAGAAGACCTTGATGTTGATTTAAGACTGTTACGATTCGAACGTCTAATGGATCGTCGTCCTTTCTTAGTCAACGATGTCTTGTTGAGACAAAATCCTAATAATGTATTGGAATGGCAGCAACGTGTGCTTCTTTGGGGTGATAATAAAGAGAAAGTGGTGGCTACTTATACACAAGCAGTTCAGACCATCAATCCCAAAAAGGCGCACGGTAAACTGCAAGAACTCTGGAGTAAATTTGCTCGATTTTATGAAGATGGAGGTGATTTAGTATCTGCTCGCGCGATATTTGAAAAGGCGATCAAGGTCAATTATAAGTCTGTAAATGATTTGGCAGATATTTGGTGCGAATATGCTGAAATGGAGACACGACATGATGCCTTTGATACAGCTATTCAAATTATGGCAAGAGCAACACAGATTCCCAAGAGTTTGGATGTGAATCCCAAGCAAGTTAACTTTCATGATGAATCTATTCCTGTTCAACAACGGTTATTCAAGAGCTTGCGTTTATGGAGTTTCTATATTGATCTTGAAGAAAGTGTGGGCACTATGGAAAGTACAAAGGCAATATATGATAAAGTGATGGATTTGCGTATTGCCAATCCTCAAATCATTGTCAACTATGGTACCTTTTTAGAAGAAAACCAATACTTTGAAGAATCATTCAAGGTCTATGAAAGAGGCATTGAATTATTTGGCTGGCCTATTGCTTTTGAATTATGGAATATTTACCTTGAACGATTCTTGAAGCGTTATGTAAGTTATTGTATGCCTTATGCTTTTTTGTTTATTTATTTTCTGATTAGGGTGGTGCTAAACTAGAGCGTGCAAGAGACCTGTTTGAACAAGCACTTGAAGGATGTCCTCCTAAATATGCTAAACCCATCTATTTAATGTACGGTAAGCTAGAAGAAGAATATGGTTTAGCACGTCATGCTATGCGTATCTATGACCGAGCCACAAGAGCAGTGGCTGATGATGACCGTATGGAGATGTATGAATACTACATTGCCAAGGCTACTGAATCCTTTGGTATTATGGCATCTCGCGAAATCTACGAGCGCGCTATTGAAGCACTTCCTGATAAGCATGTCCGTATTATGAGTCTTCGGTATGCTGAATTAGAACGCAAATTGGGTGAAATTGATCGTGCCCGTGCTATTTATGGCTTTGCCTCGCAATTATTTGATCCTAGAGTAAGTTGTATGATATGAACATAGTTGACTCATTGATTGTTAGACACAAACTGGATTCTGGAAGACATGGCATGACTTTGAAGTACAGCATGGTAATGAAGACACATTTAAGGAAATGCTGCGTATTAAGCGTAGTGTACAAGCAACTTATCCCAGTGTATAAACAAAGATGATCATTTGTCAGAAAATCAATTCTTTTTTTTTTTATTTTTACAAATAAGGAAAAAAGCCGGGATCCTTATGTCAATAAAAATGAAAGTTTCGTTTTTTTGCTATTCTTGTCATTGTTACCGTGATAGAATACAGATAAAGTTGAAGACAATGTAGGAGACAATGACGTATGGGATAAGCTGTTTTCTTCTTTTTTCAGCCATGAGTTAGGGAAACATAACAAAATGAATTGTACTTACGGTAGCTACAAGTGGTAGAAACTACTTCTTCCTCTTCATATTCGTCATCTTCAACCTCTTCTTTCATATCCAAAGTTGAATTTTCTTTTTGTTTTTTACAGAGTTTTCGCCAAACTAAGAACAATGAATTTAGTGCCACCATCTCCTTAACTTCTCCTTCTCTCTCTTCCGAATACGTACTAATTCCGCATGCATTGCACAAAGTACGAGGGCCTATCATATTTTGGTTAAAAAGAACTTTGAGTTTTTTATTATTATTATTATTATTGTTATTATTATTGTTGTTATTTACCTAAAGGACCTCTACGCCACTCGGGTGTTTCAGTACTAAACAATCGTCTTGTTAGAACAGAAAATAAAATCATATGAATTACCTATTGCATGAATCACACTGATGCCTCTTTTGTTGTTGTTTGTTTGGCTCAACCACCATGATCTTTTTACAATATTTGCCCTGTTTACTTGTCAGTTTGCTTTTTTTTTTTTCACTTACTTTTTTCTTTCTCGGTTTTTTCGATATGTTCATCTGATGTTTCTCTACAACATTCGTTTCGGAAGGAGTCCATTTAAGCCTCACATCATCTAGAGTATTTTTCATTCGACGTGCATGATCAATCATTATGTCCAACTCCTGAACGCCTGGCAAGCATGGTGGAGACGCAAGATCGTGAAAAGATGTTCCGGCCAGTAATAATTGGTCTGATATGTGAGATGCACGACGATAAACCTAAACATGGTATTCAGTACACAGTAAAAAAGAATAAAGATCCACATACTTCTTTAAATTCATGATAAATATTCTCTTGAGGGATCCTGTTTTACTTCAGCATTTAGAAATAAAGCTATCTTGCTTACCTTTTAGGCATACAATAGGGTTCTGATAATGGTGGTAATATAGTATAATTCATAGTGTTAGGCATATTTAACGAGTGATGTGGTGACATAGAAATTGAATATATATATATATATATATGAAAGAAAAAAAAAGAAAAAAATTAGAAAAGCCTAGATTTTTATACAATAGTGCAGAAAAAAGAAAGAAAAGAACAACAAAGAAAGTTGTGAAATACTCTAAGTTTTCTATTAACAGAAAGGAATACAAAGGCATTGTCACAGATTATTCGGATCCGTCCGTTCTTATTTTTTTTACCATATTGGTTTTTAAAACTGGATTTTCGGGTACGCAAATTTAAGTTTAGACATAGAAAATATATCATAGGCTTATAAGCAATGCAGTCATCTAAAAAAGAGGTACAGGATTTCTTCCAATTGACACAGTCTAAAGTAGCGCCCTTTTTGGCTGATTCAATTATTCTATGGCCGAGGTTACTCTTGGCAGTTAAATAATCTCTTTTTACAGTCGCCTTAAGATTTGACTAGAACAGTTCAATTGGGTTCAAGAATAGGAGAAAAGTAGGTTTGTAATCACGCTTTAGGATAGCCCTAACATTCATCACACCTTCAATAAACTCCAAAAGATGCTCATTGCGAGTTACAACTTTGGCAGTACTCCGTCAGGAGTGCCAACGCTTCTTTTTCTTTTCTTGTTCAAATCAACCTTTCTCTGGATAATCTTGGGCTTTATAATATTAATTCAATAGCAGCTTTTTTTACAGACTACTCTAACAATTATCGCCTTGATAACCTTACTGTTTCGGAGCTCAGCCTTTGCAGGTACATGTCTTTTAGATCTGCCAGAACTGTGTTTTATGTGCATATTAAAGCTTATTTCAACAAAAAAAAACCACAAAGCTTCTCCCAATCCATCTCCTTATCTATCTTCCATCGCAACACCTCTCCCTTTCTTTGCTTGACAGCCCTATCAGCGCTTCTAGTTTTAACTATTTTTTTTTTAACTTTTTTAGAGTTACACGGACATGCTTGGTCGAATGGTTATGCAACGCAGCAAGAAACTGCTTCAGTTCATATCTTGCTTCCAGTAAACAACAGTAACGTTCTTTTGATCAAGAATGCTGTGTGCTTGGCCTCCAACTTTTTGTTTACTTCACCTTTGATTGTCTTTTGTACACTTTGTAAACACTTCTGAACAGTGTCCTTGTATAGTTTTACGTATAAGAAAATACGGTTATGATAAAAAATTCAAAGAATGTCAAAATTCTATTGCTGGAGTGGAGAAAAAAGAAATGAAGGTTTGGTAAAAACAAAAGGGCTTTGTTATTTGGGCGACACCATTTAGCACTAATTGACTTTAACCAAGGATTTAAGATAGCCTCTAATTTTGATTCTGTCACTCAAGTTGTACTTTAACTTCAAGTTTCATTGCTCTATGCTTAAAAAGCAAGGTTAAAGCTTGTTTTTTTTTCAGTCTGTCTTGCCCAAATAACATATTTTAATTTTAAGTTTTGATTGGATAAGCGAATCCACCCCCCTTTTCTTTTTTAGTAATCTTCATCATCCCCTTTTGATCAATGATTTTTACCCCTCTCTAGGCCAATTCAGCCTCTTTTTTTGGCTGACCTATGGGTGTCCTTATTTTGAGTGTCACGAAGTTTTAACTTAATTAGACAAGCCACATAAACCTAAATTACATTTTATACTCTCGAACCTGAATAACAGTAGTTCCTCTCTATCTTCATCTTGATATGTCTACAGAAAACAAAAATTATGAACAAAACTACTTTAAAATTCAGTTTCCCAATGAGGAATATCAAGAATCGCTCAAAGTTTAGAATGAAAGTGCTGTTTTGTCTGATTTTTCTGCTTATAATCTTGATATTGGTTGGGCTTTAGACAAGGGAAATAAGCTAACTAAAGGTCTCCCTGTCAGAAGCAAAAAATGCTTGGGTACAGTATACTATACCAATGAGCTCTGTTCATTCCTGAACAAGGACATGAGACCAAAGAGCAGCATTCAATTGATCCAAAAGCAGTGATGCTTGCACTGCAAGGGATCAATGCAACACAAACGCTGTTCTGTCAGAGTTAGATACGACATGTACTTTGATTATACAATCAAAAAGAACATTTGCACTGTTAAGTGCAAAGACGTCCATTCACATGGAACGTATAAGCGAATTCATTTGTCTGGCGATGATGCAAAGGAATTCATCGAAAAAGTCAAGCAAGATCCTTTGACCACGCCTAAGAAAATGACAACTGGCATCTCATCTTGCATGGGAGAAATAGTTGGTGCTGCCAGAAATATTGATCCTGTTCTTTCAAACCAGGACAGAGTCAAATATGAAATGAACAAGGTTAGAGGACAACTCAATATCAGCAAGAGTAGCGAGTTCCTTGGAAAATTCACCAAGATTAGAAAAGAATTTGATGGATTTATTACCTATGCACAAGTTACCAATGAAAAAGGTTTTTTGCTTTCTTTCTCGCCTCCCGACATCAAAGAATTTGGAGACCAGTTTCATTGATCTTCAACTCAGCCCCAACAACAGTAGCTCTTCCTACATCGATGTTCCCTTTGAGCTTCTTGTAAGATGTGTAATACCTTACATTAAGAACTATTCTATTGGCACATGCGATCATGACAATGCATCAGACAAGACTCTCCTGAATTCTTTTCGTCTGTATGAAAAAGACAATAATTTAGTTGGCAACCAGTTGATTCGTGATTTGGTTTGGAGAAGTGAATTCCCTTTTGTTAGAGGACAAATGGACGGTACCTTTGACTACTTTAGCTGGATAATAGACAACATCTCTTCAAGTCTGAAAAGTCTTTTTTTTCTTTTGCTAACGCATACCAGTTCAGCATTTGCCAGAAAAACGAAAGTGACATATCTTTCAAAAAAGTTTCCTTACAATCTTTGTCATTCATTAAGAACTTTCCAACCATAAAAGAGTATTACACTGCCAAAAGACACAAAAAAGTACACTTGCAAGATGTCAAAATAGCTCTTTTACATGCTAAGTTTGAGCATAGTTTAAAACAGAGCTTTATTCAACAATTGCGACAAACAGCTTATTGCAATCAATACAACCAAAGGTGCACTATTGAATGCAATGTCTTGAAAGAAGAAAGCTTTTCTCTGTTTTTCTCTGCTGCTGACTCAACCAATTTTGATCCTTCAACAATCACCCTCAATTCACCATTACCAGTTAAATATACAATGCATGCAAGAATTTATCCTTGGTTCCCTAAAGGTGGTCATTTTTTGTGGTTGGTAAAAGCACAAAGTGCAATAACACCGAAGGTGTCTTTAAAATAGACAACCTTGATACACGCTGCGAAGAACTTACAGAAGCAAGTTCTAATGACCAGCTCTTTAAGCTTCAAACACTATTGTAGTTTGTTATAAAAAAAGCTCAATAAAGATAGTATTTTCTCAAATTGATAAATAGAAAGCACTTTTTTGTTTTGATTGTGATTAACCAACGATTGCTAAAAAAAGCTGAGGGTGGTACATTGAACATTTTTTATTTTGACAATATAGGCTAAAACAATAAAAAAAAAGTAAAATTGACACCCTAAAGACTCTAGCGACCACTTCACCTACTCTTTTGTTTGAAACTTCGAGACAACCAAAACGAGGACACCCAAATTATCCGACATCAAAAAATAACAGCCAAAAATTTATAGCCAAAGAAGACGATAATTTTCAGACATCAATTAGCATGCCTTTGAGGAATGCAATCAGAGCCACATACAACTCGAAACAGCCTTATGGGAACATCATATCATTAGATGGATGGGTGCGCTTACCCATTACACTGAGCATGAAGTTTACAGATCTTGAATCAGTTACAGATATTCTTTATTCCTGGGCCGAACAACAAAATATGATCTTAGTTTTTTCAAAATTCGAAAATCATAAAAGACTGTTTCTAACTTGCAAATATAGCAGTCGTTTCAAAAAGTGATCTCCCAACTTGGAAGCCGAAAGACAGAAAAGCACCTTCAAAAGCAATTGTCCCTTTATGGTCAGAGTCACTTACCATTTTCTGCGACTTCATCCCTTATGAAGAGTTTAAGAAAGCCGTCTGCTTCGGTATCACAGAAGAGATAGACAGTCAAGAAATAGACTGGTAATGTTTCTATAAGCCGCTCTCAATGAATGATGAAGTTGCTTGTCCACTTTTCTTTTGGCCCTCTTGTCTTGGCTATGCTCAGCTAGGTGTTGATGCTTTTCGCCGTCCATTAGCAGTCCATTCTGAAAGATTTCGGTCTGAAATGTTCTTTCCGCTCGTCAAAACAGACGAGTATCATAGAACAGTGGAAAGTTCAGAAGCAGCACTTTCTGCTTCAATGATTCTTCAGCAAATCAATGATTACCATTGGGTTACATTCGACGTCAAAAACCCAAGAAAAACTGTCTGTCTAATACAAAGCCATAAAACTTGGCGATTTGCTTGAATACAAGCAAAAAAAAAAAAAAAAAAAAAAAAAAAGAAGCTAGTTAGTGATCTCGCTAAATCGGCTTCCTTCATTTCGTCTCAAAATAAATTCAAAATTAAACAGCACACGATAGATAGTCAAAGTATTACATTCGTCAATAATTATAGATCAATCCTCGCTTTCTATAATCATATAGATTGCTTTTCATTAGGACTTGCCATAAAAAACTTAATATATTATCTCTCGCGCATTTCGCGTACGCATGAACATGCTAATTTTTTTTTTCAAATATCATGTTAAATTTTCTTTATATATATATATATGTATGTATGTAGGTTTTACCACAAGTATGCTAGACATATTTAAAATATTTAATAAACTTCAAGCAATACATTTTACACAAAAGAAACCTTTTTTTTTAGGGGACTGTATAGAGAGATATGTACAAAGCTATTCAGGTGGAATAATACCTGGAATACCATATTGTTGAACGCATGCCATGGCGCCTACTAAACACACCATAAAAATCGAATGTAGAATAGTACGACGCAACACACGCCCTTCCTGGCCTTGTAATCCAATCGTTGATACACCTGTAGTCAAATTTTGCGGGGAAATCATTTTTGATGTAATGGCCCCGCTTGAGTTTGTACTGGCCATCAATACAGCACTCAATCCAATCTGGTTTGCTGCGACCACTTGTAGATTTCCAAATAAAGAATTGGCGGAAGTATCACTTCCAGAAAGGAAACATGCCAACCATCCAAGCCAGGCAGATAAAAAGGGGAACGCTCTTCCAACAGAAGATAAAGTGAGCCCAACTGTGTAGACGATACCGGAATAATTGTAGAGATAAGCAAAGGCCATAATAAAGGAAACTGTCAAAACAGGCAGAAAGAGTTGTTTGGCTGTTATACGGAGAGCTATCCAAAACACGCGAGGGTGAGAACCGTTTAAAAGAACAAGGCCCATAAAAGGAATTGATGAAATCAAGATAGCAGTACCAGTAGCCAAGGGTTCAAAGGTCCAGATAGCATCATATCGTTTACCATACAGTGTCAAATAAACTTCTTGATGAAGATGGGGCCAATGGACGGCTATTCTTCCATGCGAAGGTGCTTTCGCAAATGTCCAACTAATACATGACATCAATGATTTGTTTGTTTTGGATAGACTTACATAATGACTACAACTACAATAATTAACCATGGACTCCAACCCAACATGGCTTCCCACAAAGTAGGTTTTTCCACTTCCAGTCTTGATGTTACATTTTCATCGTGTGTTACTGTCTCGCCCGCATCATGCTGCTTGTTCTTTTTCTCAGAGACTTCTTCTGTATGATGAATAGAGTCTCTGTCGACGTTGTTCTCTTCGTCTTCTGCTTGCGGATTAGTTGCAATCAATCTTGCATGATATTCAGGTCGATATTTGGGCTTCCAAAATTGTACAAACGCGATGATTGAAATTAAAGAGACAAGACCAGCAATTAAATCAGGAAGTTCAGGTCCTACCAAATTAGCAAAGATAGCCTATGACCAAAAAAATAAGTCGGATGATTGTCTTATTTTCCCATACCTGAATCACAGCAAAAGAGAGTCCAGCCACAAGTGCTGCTGGCCAGCATTCAACAATACCAGCTCGAAAGCCTGCATAGAAGCCAAGAGCATAAAGAGGAAGAAGCAGACTAAGAAGAGGAAGCTGGCGACCCATCATGGCAGAGAGGCTCATGACTGGAAGACCGGTAATGGTAGCTAAAGTTGTTACTGGGATACCCAAGGCTCCAAATGCGACTGGTGTTGTATCAAACACTAATGTATATGTCAAAGCATCTAAAGGATCAAAGCTATGCAACATATGAGCATCGGCTGTACGAAATCACATACATACCCTAAAGACACCATCAAAGAAGAACAGATGGCACCAGGAGTACCAAAGCCAGCAACACCTAGCTAGATATTAGTCAACTTGCTTTTAGAATAATAGATTTACCTTCTAATAGAGCACCAAAACTGTATCCAATAATAAGCAAGATAATTCTCTTATCGGGTGGTGTATATGTCAATATCCATCGACGAAAATAAGAAAACACACCAGATTCAACAGCTGTATTATAAATAAACCTAAAGTCATTTTAGTTTATGCTTTTTCGTTCTGACAAATGCTTACATGGCATTTACTACAATCCACATAATAGGCCAATTAGCAAACACAATACCATTTCCAATCGATTCAAATGCTTGTTGAGCAGGCATATGCCAGCCAAAGATAGCAATGAAAATACTACACAACAGTCAACAAGATGAAGTTTGCAATCATGATTACTTACCACACAATCAGTCCTGCTAAAGAGGAATAATGCGCTGGTAATTTAAACCCACCAAGCAGGACCAAAACTAATAACAATGGTATCAAACCGACAAAAAAAGAGCCTACTAGACTACTGCCAATGGGTGCTAGAGGTTGAACAAAAGCAACTTGATCTTCTATGCCTGCTGGTGCAACAGGAATATTCACCATGATAATTAATAAAAAAAAAGAAAAGGTATAAACCCTGCAAAAATTTCAAAGCAATTTGATCTTTATATACATGTGTTATGTGTACGCGTTCATCATGAGACATCCAGATTGCTCTTTTGTCAAGCAAATAAGATGGTTAAACTTCTTGAGAAAAAAATAAGTGTGGGGAAGCAGTAAGGATTTTCCGTAACACAATGCTTGCATAATATTTGAAATACTTTATGATTTGATTCATATTCTTTAGTCAAATTCAACATAAATTCATGTAGACACATGGACCGTGTTATTCATATTGTATCAGTCAAGAGGAACAAAGAGTTTATAATGTCTTGAGTTCATTATATGGATCATGCAAAGGGTACACAATGCGCTTATTTTCCGAGGATATTCTCCTTAAGGTTCCCACGTAAGACGCTTTTCTTTTTACCCAAAAGAAGCCATTTTTTTGTTTCTCTATGATGTGTTCTTTGAAGTAGCTTATAGACTCATACAGTACAGCTTGAGCTGAATTGTTGTTGTGTAGGGGTGTCTTTAAGCAGTGTTTTTCTGATCATGAGCCTATCCTAGGACAAGTATGTTACAGTAAACAAACAAATAGATTTGGATAAACAGAAAAAGGTCTGATAACAATAACACCATTTGAATTGTTTTACATTAAATTCCAAGTGCACATATTCTTGAGATGGTGCATTTTATCAAGACGACTGTCAAGGTTTTAGCTAATGCCACAATTGTATTCTATGAAATATGACTTGAGGATATACAGACATTTTTGCTAAAGGTCTGGCTCAAACATACTCAGTTGTCATTTTTTGTCGATCATTTTTGAAATTGAATGGATCAAAGCTGTTTAAGCAAAGAGAATGATCAAGCATGCTCAGTGGTCTCGTGTCAGTCAATCTAGGATGAACAGAATGAACCACACCTATATATCTAACATGAATGATATATGATTTTTGATTGCTGCTTCTATACATGTAATCACATTTTTGGTTTTTGTTTAGTTTTCTTTCATCAAAAATTTAAAACAAAAGATGCGATTGATAGTACCTAGTTGCGCTTTAGTTACTGCGAGTAAGTTTTTTTATTGGATAGAGTTTGAAGGGATTGAGATATGAGATGCATCACGTGAGACGATAGACAATGAAATAGCTTATCATTGAGAACTATTCACTGACAACTAAAAACCAGTTATCATGAAAAGTAACTTCATGATTGGTAGTATAATGAAAGCACTAACTAACAACAACAAGTTCTTTTTTCTACCATCATTCGTATTTCTATATTGCACCAATTGACACTGTATGTGTCAGTTAAGTATGACTTCATCTCCTTATAAAATTATTAGTTACACACATTGTTCTTTTTTGGTATTCATATGCAGATGCTGTTCTCCCTTTCCTTCTCGCTTACACATATACACACACGCACAAAGTCGTTCTTTATATGTACTGCATCCTATTCCATCGTTTTCCCTATCTTGGAGAGAAAAAAAAAGATCCCAGAACAGTAACCCAATTTTCTTATCAAAGCAAACACTCACGACCTATCATTTTTTTAGTCTATGAGCTTGACGTAATAAGATCAAGAAAGGTCCCTCTGGTCCCTCCTTGAGCGGGAGAATCCATAGTATCACAAAATCAAGCTGGTAAATTAAGGTTTCAACCAAAACAAAAAAAATTAACAAATTTATTCAGTGATACAGATAATATTACAATAAAAATACAGAGGGGGGGATTAAGAAAATAAGCAGATCTATTGCTTATTGCTAGAGTCTTTCTTGCTATCGTCAACATAGACTTCAGTTTGTTGAAGGCCAGGAAGGTCTTCATCGACGTATTTGATCAACTTGCAACCTACCAAGGCATAGAGTAAGACAACGCAGTAACAAATAAGAGGAATAATGAAAGAGAGATTGACGTTGGCATGGTCGTGAACAACACCCATCAAGGGAGGAATGACAGCACCACCAGAGACACCCATGATAATCATGGCAGAACCGCGCTTGTGGTTTCTACCTAAATCCTTAGTACCCAAGGCAAAGATAGTAGGGAACAAGACACTTTCAAAGAAGAGGATGACAAACAAGGCATAGGTAGTAGCAGGAGTCTTCATGGCAATGACAAAGATGTTGGCAATAATACAGCCACCAGCAAAGATAGCCATCAAATGGTCAGGACGAATCTTCTTCATCAATAAGGCACCAACGAAACGACCAATAGTGAAACAGGCTTGAGCAATAGAAAGCAAAATTGAACCTCGGGAATCAGGGAATTGGCCTACTTCGGAACTGTAGAACAGGAACATGGAAGCAACAGCAACTTGAGCACCTGTGTACAAGAATTCAGTAAGAGCACCCAAAATAAGGTGAGGGGAGAAAAGAGAAGCACGGCGGATGACTTCACCAGTTTCACGAGCTTCTTCAGCCATCAAAGCTTCTTCGTCAACTTCAGGAATGTTGGCAAAGCAAAACAAAAGAGCAATAACAGCAACACCACAGGCAACACCGACATAGGTCCACTTGACAGAATCCAAGCTCTTGGAGGAATCATCTTCAGTGCCACCAAAGAAAGCAAAGGAGGCAACAATGGGAGCAATACAAGAAGCAAGACCGTTGAAACTCTGAGCAATGTTAATACGAAGAGAAGCTTTGTTTCTTGAACCAATGATAGCAATGTAAGTGTTGGCAGCTAATTATAGTTATTAGTATAAAGAGACAAAAAGAAACGATAATAGAATACGTACTACTTTCCAAAGTAGCAAGACCAGAAGCAATGACAAAGAGAGAGGCAACAAAACCACCATAACTCAAGTTGACAGCAGAAGGGTAGAAACAGATGGCGCCAATGACATAAAGACAGAGACCAAAAACCATTGTTCTTTTGTAACCAAATCGTTTAGAGATCATACTTGCACTATAGTATATTGTTAGCAAATCAGAAACAAGGGATTTCAGGGATTACTTACGGAATACTCATAATAAAGTATGCACCAAAGTAAGCAACTTGCATATAAGTACTTTCAGTTGTAGCTTTAAAGAGAATTAATATTTTAAATCAATTTTGTATTTTACTTACAAATACCCAGCACGTTTTTAAAGTGCTTATTTAAAGTATCCAAAAGACCATATGAGAAACCCCATAAGAAGAAGAGAGTAGTGACAAGTACACCGGGAATCAAATAGCTTTGCTTGGGAGTAGTAGCTCTTTCTTCATCATTGAATGATACGTCACTGACAACATCACTAGTAGGAGTAGGAGCCTTTTTCTTGAATAGCATAATAATAAATAAAATAATTAGGAAAAGAAAAGAGGGGGAAAAGCTTTGTATTTATACTAACAGAAACCTGTCATCTTCTGTTTTTAGCAGTTTTTATCATCATGCATCTCCCTCCACCTTCCCTTCTTCTTCCCATTAAAAATTCCCATACTATTTGAAGCCGTACCTCTTTTTAATTTCACAATTAAAGGGGACTAGTTCTTGATGTTTTTCCCGTCTTTTTCAAATCTTGATCCAATCTCAGCAAGATGTTACATTATCCCATTGGTCTGGAGTTGTGTCATTTGTTTTTCCCCACATTTATTTCCAAATTTTTGTATCTTTCCTCGGGATGAAATGATTGGAAAAAGACAAAAGAGAAACAGAGCGTAGATCAAAAAATCATAGAGATTTCAATCAAGTGGGTTTACTTGTTTGATTTTCAGTGTTGCACACACACACACACACACACACACACACACACACACACACACACACACACACACACACACATACACACACACACTGTGCTTGTATTATATAATACATCATATGATATAGCTTTTTTTTCTTATGTTTCTAAACCGTCAAATTTGTGGTATTTCCCAATGATAACATACTCAGCAATTCTTTGTTTGAATCAACTTATAAAGAAAAGAAAAGACTAGCAATACCTTCAATATAACTCAAAATACTCAGATATCCTAAAAAAAGAATCCATGAGAATATGGGAGAAAATAATGTCTATTTATGAAAGCTAATCTCTTTATCGATAAAGCTTTCGACAAATTAGGCAATAATTGAGTTCATCTTATGCATATACAGTCGAGTTGCATGACAGGGTTGCATGAATAGATCTTATCTTGACAGAATCTCGACAAAAGATCTACCATTAGATTATAGTTCATGACAATAGAACTATAAACCTCTTATTCTGGGTCTATCAATGAAACCTACCAAGCTAACTGCCACCAATCATATTCCTTTTTAGATGTTACAGATACTTTCAGGTCTGTTTCGTAACAGATATGGAGAGACTTGGGGTTAATACCAATCGTTTCTTTGTACTCCTGACGATGAAACCCGAGGTTTTTCATACCAATAGTTTTAATATTATTATTGACAATAGCCTAGTACTTTTATAAGGAAACATAAGGCAATGTATAAGACACAGTTGTATGTCATCATTTCTGGTGCCATCCATAAAGAGTATCCATTTATGGACACTTGTCGCCTATTTAATACAAAAGTAGTCATTCAAGAAAAATCATGTGGGGGCATAAAATAGTAGGTGGGCAAAAAAATTAACTTTGTTCTTATAACACTATGGCCAAAGTACTCGCTCTTTCTTCTCGTAGTCCAGAATACAAAGCTATTGCAGGCTTAAATATTATTTATGAGGCTGGTATGTTATTCATCTTGGAGATGACCTATGTTAAGCTATTTTTAAAGGCCTCGATCGCGAAAGTCGTCCTATTCTTGTACTTTGTGCAGACAACTTGCCTAACCCCGATATTTATGATTATGATTTGATTTTATCGTAAGCTTATAAAAGTAATTTCATAATACATGTTTATAGTGTATTAGGTTTATTCTTGCAAGACTGTATGTATTATAAAAATCGCGCATATTATACCCATTGTCTTTGTTTATAGAGACGAATTTGTTGAAAATGACTATGTACTCGTTTTTTTTTCTTCTCCTGCAAGGTATCGTCCAGGATGGCTATGGTTATTAAAAGCATATCGTTCCCTTGATCGCAAGCAAGTATATTTATACTTGGAAACACGTATCCTAATCCTTTTTTTTTTTTATTTAGGTATAAAAAGAACTTGAAGGCATTGTATGTCGTTCATCTTACAAGAATGTACAGACTTGTGTTTGATTTTGCCAATAAAATTATTAGGTAAGTTAAATCTTATTGATACGTGTTTAATATCCTTTAGTCCTAAATTTGCTCGTAAATTACGTTACTTGTCTACACTGGAACAATTGAAAGAACATGTCGTTTTAGCACCTCAATTCATACCTCAAAGAGTCATTGAATACGATCAACAATTACCAGCTATCTATCAACCACCCAAGCCTGTCCAACCTCAAAAGAGAACTGTTCCTTCTTTAGCATTTGGAAGAAAGCTAGAAGATTTGGCAGCTATGGAAGGCAACACATCCAATGATTATATTCCAAGTTTTGTAGTTCAAATTGTCAATCATCTAAAAGAGCATGGTAGGTTATCACTCATCTCTCATATCATACCAATTGTTATTAGGCTTGGATAAGGAAGGTATCTTCCGAAAATCACCTGCAAGCGATGAATTACAGGCTGTCAAAAATGCATTGAATCAAGGTAACACGCACATATATATAAAACAAGCTTTTTTTTTCTAAGTCATATTCAATAGGTGAACCTGTGGATTTAACACAACATGACATTGATGTCTCTGCAGCATTACTCAAAGTGTTTATTCGAGAACTTCCTATTCCTCTTATCAGTCTCAAATTCAGCGAAGATATGGGCGCTTTACCAGGTATATGATTATTTTATCAAAATTTTTTTAAAAAAAAAATATATCAAAATTAGATGCAAGCATTTGTACACAAGGAACAATTGACAAGATAAAAAACAAACTCAGTGCACAATACAAAAACTCACCCAACTACCTTTCTTTACTCAAATATTTATGTGAGTTCTTGAAGCAAGTCTCTGATCATTCTATCAAGAACAGAATGAATACACACAATTTATCAGTTGTCTTTACACCCAACATGATTCGAGCAGAACAAGTCAATGCGTCTCGTTATGTGAATATGCATGAAACAGAACAAGCTGCACTTGCTGATGCAGCAGTCTATCTAAAACAAATGAATCAAGGTATGCAACTTGTTCAATTGTTGATTACGAAACACCAAGACATTTTCATATAAAATATTTATGCAATTATCAAGAGAAAAATGAATCTGAAACTTGGCCTGTCAAAATTCAATTGTCTGGGCTATTTGTTAAATTTTTTTTATTATTTTTACCTTGTGTGTTTATTTTCTTTTTTCTTTTTTTTTTTTATTGTCTTTTTTCATTGACATGTCAGAAAAAGAGTCAAAAGAACTTTCTCAAGCTGTCAATACAGCATTAAAATCAGAAAATGGTGCACCTGTACATGTATTTTCACCTGATGCACCACCTGAAGAAAAGAAAGCTGAATTGATGGACCATGCATTAACTGAAAACAAACCTCAAATTCCAGGTGGTTATGTCGAGAATCCTCTTTTAGGCTTACCAGACTGGGTTAAAGCAGGCTGGACTCGCTTCTCCAGTTTACCTAATCCAGGTGATGAAAAGGTTATGCAAGAGCTTGCTCAATCTTATTCGCCTGATCAAATCAATCAACTTTATCACAGTACACGTGCTTCCAATGGTGAATATCATCATGATTTGGTTGCTCAATTCGTGTCTGATAAATACTTTGGTGAATGGTTTCATAACTGTGGTGTTGTGTTTATTGCTATTTTCTTCACTTATGTATTGACAGTCTGTCGATTGGGTATCATGTCATGTTTAATTGTTGGTGCTTTTTTCGGTAAGTAGTACATACACGTGTCTCTGGTTGTTACTGACTTCACAAGCCACTTATTACCGCACATCCATCAAGCGAACAAGACGAAATGCCCGTGATGATATGGAACGACAAGTGGCTCTGAATAAATTGGAAAGTGACGCAGAAACAGCCGGTTGGATGAACCACTTTTTGGATCGTTTTTGGCTTATTTTTGAACCTACATTATCGGCTCAAATTATTGGTCAAGTCGATGCTGTCTTGAGCGAAAATACACCTTCGTTTTTAGACTCCATTCGACTCAGTTCATTTACATTAGGCACAAAGGCCCCTCGTGTCGATAGTGTCAAGGTCTATCCTGGATCTGCTCCTGATATTGTGGTATGTGTTTATTTAATTGGTGGATCAAAGCCTGACATTATTTCATATAGTGTATGGACTGGCAGTTCTCATTTACGCCTAATGATGTACTTGACTTGACAGCTCGTCAAGTTCAATCCAAAGTCAATCCAAAGATCGTCTTGACCATTCGTGTGGGTAAAGGTATGGTGGGTGCTGGTATGCCCATCTTATTAGAAGACATTGCATTCAAGGGAAATATTCGTATTAAGCTCAAGTTGTTTAATGAAATGCCTCATGTCAAGACAGCCGAGATTTGCTTTTTAGAGAAACCTCATTTCGATTATGTACTTAAGCCTGTGGGCGGTGAAACCTTTGGTTTTGATATTAACAATGCAAGTAAGAACATCATCACATCCATGTGTATTCATGCTTCTTTAGATTCCTGGCCTCGAAACCTTTGTGAAAGACCAAGTCCATGCTAATCTTGGTCCAATGATGTATGCGCCTAATGTATTTACACTGGATGTGGCTGCTATGATGGCAGGTACAGATATCAATGCTGCTAATGGTGTGCTTGCTGTCACTATCTATGCTGCTCATGGACTCAAACCTAGCGACTTGTTTGGTTCTTTAGACCCTTATTGTATATTCCGCGTAGGCGATATCCACGACCCCGAACAAGCCCGTACAAAAGCCATTGAGAACAACAACAACCCTCAATGGAACGAAACCCATTTTATCTTACTCAACAGTCTCAATGACACCTTGTGCTTCCAAATCATGGATCGTAACACAGGCCGTAACGATTCGGATGTGGGCGTGGCTACATTGGCACTCAAGGACGTGGAAGAAAACCAGAATGCCTTGGAAGGTTTAAGCTTGATGGTGTTGCGTAGTGGTAAACCTGTAGGTGAAATCAAGGCCGATGTGCATTATTTTCCTGTCTCGAAACCTGAAAAGAACGAACAAGACGGAACAATCGTTCCTGCTGTTGAATCCAATAGTGGTGTCATGCGATTTTATATTCAAGACTGTCAAGATATCGGTGGTGCTGTGAAGCAGAAAAAGGGTGGTGTGCCTCTTGTAGGAGGACTGCCTGTCGTAGGCAAAGTGCCTATTATTGGTCAAGGCAGTACGAGTGTCAATTCATATGCTATCCTTAAAGTCAACGGTCAAGAGAAATTACGTACAAGTACATTTAAGCGAAGTGTGAATCCTCGCTGGAACAAGTTTATTGAAGTCTTTGTGGCTGATAAAACCAACACTCATCTAGAAATAATCTTGATGAACGCTGTTGATTTTGGAGATGACGATAGGTTGGGCCGATGGTCTTCTAGTTTGACAGACATGGAAAATCAACTCAAAGACAACAATGATTGGTGGAATGTTCAAGATGGTACAGGCAAGATTCACTTGAATATGACCTGGAAGCCTGTACTAATGACCGGATTCAATGCTGCTTTGACCAAGGGACAATACCAACATCCTATTGGTGTGGTCCGTATCCAACTCAACAAAGCTACCAAGCTTAAGAATGTAGAAGCCTTGACGGGTGGTAAATCAGATCCATATGTTCGCGTCATGTCTGGTTTACAATCAAGAGCACAAACAGAAGCTATTTTGGATAATTTGAATCCTGTATGGGATACTGCTGTGTATGTGCCTATCCATTCTATGCGAGAAGATTTAATGCTGGAAGTCATGGACTATAACGATATTCAAAAGGACAAACTGCTTGGCATGTGTGATTTATTTATCAAAGACCTTGTTGAAGAGAAAAAAACAGACGATCAAGTCGTATATGAACCATTGCCTGCTGTGAAGAGGTAAGCATCAGCAATTAGTATACAACACAATTCATTTTTTCTATATAGACAAGTTGAATTGATGAACAATACAAGAAAGCCAGGAAGAGGTCAATTGGATTATGAGGCTTCCTTTTTCCCTACACTTGCTTTAGCTAAACAAGACACTGAAAACGAAGAAGCACCTATTGAATATCCCAAGACAGATTTACACGGTGAGCTTGTTCGTTACACACCCGATCACAAGATTGATCTCTTGAGCTATGCTTCTGGTGTGCTCTCTGTCAAGATTCATGATGTTGATCTCCCTCAAAAAGCCAAAGCAGTCGTTGAGCTCTTGGTCGACTCAAACGATGCACAGTACCGTACTACACCTGTCAAGGGCACCCATCTTACTTTTGATGAATTTGGTGACGCCTTTGTGAAAGAAATGGATTTCTCCCGTCTTATTGTACGTGTACGCGATGCTAAAGATGATTATAAGGATGAAGGCCGTATTGGTTTCTGGACAAGTACGGTGCAGGATATCATTCAATCCATGACAGAAGATGAAGCTCAAGAATATCGTTTGTTGGACTGCCAAGGTGGCATGATTCGCCTCAGCTTCAAGTTTGTACCCGTTGTCAAATTCACATTGGATCCAAGTGAAAGTTTAGAAAGTAAGTTGAAGAAATATATGTTCGTCAAACTCATATGAGGCTAGATCAAGGTAATCTGACAGTCTCCCTCTTGTCTGCTTCTGGTTTAAAGGCCGCTGATAAATCAGGCACCAGTGATCCATTTTGTGTCTTTACGCTCAACCATCAAAAAGTCTATAAATCACAAACCTACAAGAAACAACTATCGCCTGTCTTTAACAAGAATGAAGTCTTTACTGTCCCTGTATTAGCACGTACCAAGGCGTTGTTTGAAGTCAAGATATTCGATTGGGATCAAATCGGTCAAAACGAATTACTAGCTCAAGGTCCTATTCCCATTGTTTCACTTGAGTCTTTTACTGCTCAAGAATTAGAGGTGCCATTGGAAGGAGGTCTCATTCGATTGCGCCTTAAATGGGAGCCTCAACTGTTGGCTCGTAAACGTGAAGGCACTTCCTTGTTAGGCTCAACGACCAAATTGTTATCGACAGGCACAGGCCTTGCAGGCGATGTCGTGGGTTTAGGTGCCGGAGCAGGCAATAAAATGATTTATGGAGGTACCAAAGTGATAGGTGGCGGTACTAAACTCGTAGGAGGTGCTATTGGAGGTGGTGTGGGTGCCTTGGGTCGTGGTTTTAGTAAATTTCATGGCAAGAAAGGAGGTGAAGACCATTTGGATTCAGAAGAGCAAGAACAGCATGCTCCTTCGCTTTTGTCTTCCAATGAATCTACGACTCGACCCAAATCTATCTTTGAAGACAAAGATCGTAAGTGATCATTGCTCTCATGTGTTACTAACTCTCTGTTTAGGTGTTGCTACAATTAAGGTTACTGTGCTTGAGGCACGAAACCTTAAAGGCATGAATCGAGACAAGACAAGTGATCCTTATTGTCGTGTTCGTCTTGGGAAGCATTCTATTCACAAGACGAAACATATCAAAAAGAACTGCAACCCACAATGGTAAAATCTACATATATAAGCATGAAATCAAACAATTCATACCATCTATAGGCAAGACTCATTTACAACTAAAGTATTTGGCACTTCTGTGCTAGACTTCCTTGTTCGAGACCACAATACATTATCAGATAGTGATATTGGTGAAGTCACATTTAACGTATCAGAGCATGTAGATGAAGGCAAACCTTTTGATGGTTGGTTGCCCCTTACGCCTCATGGACATGGTGAAATCCATATTCAAGTTCAAATAGTCTAAATAAAGTTAACAGTTGAGTTTAATTGATGGTTACACATAAGCGGCGAGGCAATTACCTCATATGTCCCACAACATAAGATAAAGAGCAAGAAACTAAACGATAAAGAGCACAATAAAAAGTAAATTATAAATTTTGAAGTGTATCATCAGATCTGATATGTTGATTTGTATGCTTATCAGATGAAAATATAAAAAAAAAAAAGAAAAAAAGAAAGCATACATCCTGTTCATGTGACTGGTTTCAACCTCTCTTTCTAAACCGTATCAAAAAAGGGAAGCGCTCATCTCTTTTTTAATTATTTTCTTCTTTTTCTTTATTCTCATAAAGACACCATCTCGATCCTAGTGAGCATGTCTTCACCAAGCGATTCTAATGGAGGTCTTCATCGATCCTTGTCAAGTCATCTTCAAAAACTCAATATGCGTACTGCTTCTGATAGTAATATTCATAACGCACCTGATATTCCCGAGAAAGATATTGGTTTGTATCTTATAAAATGACAAAAAGATGTTTATGATTCGATAGGACGTAAGATGACATCACCTTCAACACAGTCCTCAGGATCATTTCTATCAAGAACATTGTCTTCTAAGCGTGATAGATCCAATTCAGTCGGAAGAAACCGTCCCTCACCTCCTTTACCCCATACAACATCTTCACCACTATTAATGCGAGCTCAAAGTGAACGATCTCCTACAACACAACTACAAATGAAATACACACCCCCACAACAACCAGACGATAGCCTGACTGCACTACAAAACTTGCCTAGTGGTGCATTTGGTAAAGCAAGAGATCGATCCACATTTAAAGGTGTCTTTGATAAATTTGTAGGCAGTTTCAATGGCAAGTAAAGACACGCTTGTTATACAATCGACTCATTATCTGAATAGAACTGATCAATAAAGACAAACAGTCCAACAATGAACAAGAAAAAGAAATGGAAATTTCAGGTCCATATAACGCAAAGCATGTCACACACGTTGGATTTGATTCGAGTACAGGTGAATTTACTGGTTTGCCTCAAGAATGGCAGACATTATTACAGCACAGTGGTATTTCTAAAGTGGAACAATACCAAAACCCACAAGTAAGTTTATAAGGATCTATTCTATTGTGCTTACTTTGAGTTTAGGCTGTGTTGGATGCCATTGGTTTTTACCAGGAAAATCGTGACCATGATGAATCTGTTTATCATAAAATGGAAAGAGCCCACGCGTTAAACGATGATTTACCAAGCAATAAAAACTTGACTCCGCAACATGAAGAAGAAGAAGAAGACTATGAAGAAAACATGCCTTCAAGATTACCTGAATACAAGGTAAATATAACCCTGTTGTATTGTGTCACTCAAATGAGATAGAAACCATCTCTTTCACCACAAGAACAATGTAAGTGAAACACAATAATTTCTACGTGTGTAACTCTATATTTTAGTGTACCACCTTCAACAACAAAAACAACAACAATATGAACAATATCAACGTCAATTACAGCTACAGTTACAACAAGAACGTCTATTGTATGAGAGTGCATCTCCTTCTTCTCATGCTGCCCGGGATTATGATATTAAGCGTAAATTGAGTGCTAAACAACGTGAAAGACAAGAATCTCCTTCTCTTGCTCAAAAATCACCACCTATGATGTCTCAACAGTCTTCATTAACAGGTTCACCCGGTACTGTCAAACAACGTGTCAAGGAACGCAAACACCAAATGAAAGATGCTGAAGTGGTTGCCAAATTACGCACTATCTGTACAGAAGCTGATCCTAGTCTTGTCTATCGAAATATGCGTAAAATTGGTCAAGGTGCTTCAGGCGGTGTCTATATTGCTTATTCAGATGCCAGTGATTTCCCTGTGGCTATCAAACAAATGAATTTGGAACAACAACCCAAGAAAGAACTGATTATCAATGAAATCTTGGTCATGAAGGAAAGCAAACACAAGAATATTGTTAACTTTATTGACTCCTATTTATGGCGTGGTGATCTTTGGGTGATTATGGAATATATGGAAGGAGGCAGTCTGACGGACGTAGTCACAAACAACATGATGATGGAAGGACAGATTGCTGCTGTTTGTCATGAAGTATTAGAAGGCCTTCAACATTTACATTCAAAGGGCGTTATTCATCGTGATATCAAGAGTGACAATATTTTATTGAGTTTATATGGTGATATCAAACTAAGTAAGTCAATCACATCTTTATGATTGAACTCACATAATCCTTCCTTTCTTAAGCTGATTTTGGTTTCTGTGCACAATTGAATGAAATGCAATCCAAGCGTACTACTATGGTGGGCACACCTTATTGGGTAAGATCAATACTAGGCTATCTCTTGAACTCACCCCTTGCTTGCATTGTTAGATGGCTCCTGAAGTAGTGACACGTAAAGAATATGGGCCAAAAGTAGATATTTGGTCTTTAGGTATTATGGCTATTGAAATGGTAGAAGGAGAACCACCTTATTTGAATGAAAATCCTTTACGTGCTCTTTATTTGATTGCCAACAATGGTACACCCAAACTTCAAAATCCAGAAGCACTTTCACCTGTATTTAGAGACTTTTTAGCTAAATGTTTAGAGGTCGAAGTGGACAAAAGACCTTCTGCTTCAGAAATCTTGCAACATCCCTTTTTACGCTTAGCTGATCCTTTACCTTCTCTTGCTCCTCTTATTCGTGCAGCTCGTGATGCTGTTAGAAGAGAGGAATAATAATAAAAATTATTTAATACTCTTTCTTTTTTTTTTTTTTTCTTTATGTCTCTTTTGAATACAACCTGTCCTGATCTTTCAGAAGTAATCCTTGTCTTTGATGATCCATAAACTCACTCTATTGTATAGCTTGCTGATGCTTTAGGGCCACATTGTGGTATTCATTCGAAAAAAGTATGTAAATTATTCTATCATGTTCTTACACTCAATAGACGCAACGCTCTTTATGCGAGAATATATTTGATGTCCAACGAGGAGAACTGTTTGAAGTACTAGAGCGTTTACGTGATGCCTTTTGGAATGACCAGACGAGTTTTGAACCTACAACAGAAACACCAACAACGATAATACCACCATCACCTACATTAGAACAGCAAAACTTGAAGCGAACAAGGTCAGAGCCTGATCAAGACACAACATACCAACAACAAGAGAAACAAGAGGATCACTCAAAGAAACGTATTCGAAAAAACACACCTGAGGTTAAGCCAATCACCAAACCAACCTATGATTTACACGCTTATGCTTCATTATGGACACTAAAGCAATCTCTCATTCGACAAATCAAAAGTTCATCTTTCAAAGAATCGGAATTGATAGCTTCTCTTAAACAGATCTACAAGACAAAATCGATAGACCAATCACGGCACTTGTCTTTGTACTTATTGCCTTTAGCACAAGCTATGAAAAGACCAGCTGTCATTCAACTCTTGTCAGAACATCAATAAACTTTTTATTTATTTATTTACCCAAAAATCATCTTTTTCATAGAAGCGCGGTTTTTTGATTTAGAAGAAGATGGATAGACATCGGATGGAATAGAGAATTGATCTATGGTATCTGTCATGGCTTGTCCAGGTGCTAAATGTCTTTTGATTTGTTCTCTGTCCAAGATATGCAACGACTTTTCTTGCATTATCATACTTTGTTGAGAAGGCACAGGCGACGCAAATGACCTTGTACTGGGCTCAACATGTACAATTGACATTGGCTGTACTTCTTCTAGACTGGACGAATTTAAATCCATGGTAGAGACATCGGTGTTTGAACAAGTAGCAGCACCACCCGTTGCTGTGTGTTCATCAGGAATATGATCTTGTATCCATTCTCTCTGTTTTCGTTTGGCTTCTTCAAACATACAGAACCAGTTACTCGGTACGCTCACTTTAAGGTAACGAGGCCATAAATGAATAGGTGGATTGCCTGCTTCATCAAATGCTTCAAAGGCATCGAAATCACCAGGTAATTGTCTATGTAACATTCAACATGTACACAATGTCATTATGCTTTTACCTTGCTGATGACCATCGTAATGGATCTACTTCAGCACCTAATGATAAGATATAAGAGCAGGTAGTCCTTTATTATGTACTACTTACGAAGAACTGAAAAACAACACATATCGTCATTCCAACCTATTAAAATACATAAGACACTTTATTCATACGAATGATAGAAACCTTCAAATAAAGCAAGGCTGACTTGTTTGATTTTTAGAATATAGAGTAATCCTTGTTGGAGTTGATCATGATGGACATGAACAAAAGGTGCATCTTGACTGAGTGGTGGGTAACTGTGTTTGTTTGTTTCCGCAGAAGGAGTCCAACGTGCTAATTTCTTAAGTGTTGTATTGCGTTGTTTGTATTCTACCATCATATAAATAAATTAATAAATAAAAAAGAGAGAAAATAAAAAGTTGTTTATATATCAAACGTCTGTGTTACATGTATTGTAGCATAACATTTATAAAAAATAAGAGCAATTTGAAAGGCATGTTTTTACATTGTACAAGTCAATTGCTTTTCCAGAAATAGGCCTGCTTTTCTAGCTGTCATCCTTAGAAAAAAAAAATGTCAGAGAATAATTGCCCCTTTATATTTCTGTCAATTGAACTCGTCGTTTTCAAGTTTTACTCTATGTCCATTCGTTTGATTCTTTCAGCTGACATAAAGAAAAAAAAAAAGTTTTTTATCGTTTCTTTTATCTATGCATACAATTACCAAACAGGAAAGAAGCAAGGAAAGAGGAGTGAAGAATGAAACACTGCCACCTGGTTTCCTTTTTTGGATTTCATATCACTACCAGTTTTCTATTAATGCTAAAAAAATACATTCGGTTTTTTGAATTAATTCAATCAAAACCATTCAATTTGATATTAGATTCAGTACAAAAACTCAATAGGTACTTTTTTTTTTCACCCCAATTAAACTCAAGAAAAATGAGCTCAAACGAACTGCATTATAATAGTGATGATGATTTTCAGGAACCTGTTTCTGTAGTCCTACGCAAGAGATGCAATGTTTTCAGTACGGACTCTAATGACACGGGTGGCTTCATAGAAGAACTTAAGCAACTAGAGGGAGCAGTATCTTTGTCTGTCGCCTGGAAAATCAAGTTCAAAAATCTCGAAAATCTGACAGATAGACTCGAAAACTGGGCCGACAAACAAAATATTTTTCTGATCCGCTCAAGAATGGAAAAAAATAAGAGGCTAACTTTGACTTGCAAGTACAGTGATGGAGGTAAAAAGAAAAAAATTAGATGTAATCCTGATGGAAAGAGATAAGGAACGAGCTTCAAGACTGGTTGTCCCTTCATGATTCGAATTGCCTATAACTCTTCAAGAAAAAGAAAGCTTTTAACTTCTTCTGACTATTCTGTGATGACTGAAATGCTTCAAAACGCCTCTAGCATTACTGAAGTAAGAAAGAAAATTACTACTTTCAATGGAGTCACAATCTATAACTACCAAGATATTACTAATTACCACAATCAAATCAAAGAGACTGGGAAAGCAAGCAACAAAACAAATGATGCAAAAGTCCTTGTTGCTCAAATGGAAGACGCTGGATATTAGGTTCAGTATCAAGTATCTCAAGAAGAAAATGGTACGCCTGTCATGTTGAGAAACATTTTCTTCGCACACAGAAGCATGATACACAAGGTAAAAACGTTTAAGGATCATCAATGCAGTCAGTACTAACCATCTTGTATTGCTATGGTTTATTTATGAACTTGAAAAGAACGAAGATGACATCTCTTTGGAAAGTGATGAAGTAAAAAAAGAGAAAAACAAAACAAAATGTTAAAGGTGCAAAAGAAAAGTAAAAAAAGTATTATTTCGACGAAAGTAACTCAAGATTAAAAAGACGTAGCTGAGACAAAGGCCTCTCAATCCAAAAAAGAAAAAGAGTCACCAGTACGACTAAAGCTGATGCCTTCATCAATGTATTTGAGAATCTCGAGAAAGAAAGAGCTGAAAAAATACCATGATTAGACAAGAAAAAGGTAAATACTAGAAGCTAAATTGATTTTTTCTGTGAAAAATGACTGAATAAAACAAAGAAAATTGTATATTGAGTGAAATGAGTAACGAGATCCCTACAAATGTTTTTACAGGTATTATTAATACAAAAGACGATGGTTTTTTGTGGCTTCCGCGCCTTAGCAGCTCAAATCTTTAAGGATGAAAGCTTCTTCTTAGAAGTAAAGGTTACTATGCGTGATTAGCTGCTGTCAAACTATGACATGTACACAAAGGTTTTTGGAGAAATGCATAGTATGAAAAGCTGCAAGGATCATATTTGTTTTAGAACTAAAGAAAATGTTGGCAGTAAAAAAACTTTGATTGATATAAGTATCGAGATTACTCAAGACCATTGGTTTATGGTTCCTGAATGTGCCCAAATTGCAGCCTGTATGTTTGGAGTACCTGCTGTTATTTATGATAATAGTGATAATTCAGCGGCCTTTCTTCTATTATGAATAGGTTCAATCCTGGTGTGTATAAGGTGGGCTCAAAACTTCTTCCTTTACTTTTGCATCATATCAACAGGAATCACTGGATCACCTTGGCTCTTGAGCGCTCGATTAAGATTACTTGGCTAGTAATCAACATCCTTCACTCTCAAGCCACACATGCATTGAAGAAAGACGATAAAATCAAATCCTTTAGAATATACTTTTTTCATTCAATGTATTTTATGATTTAAATGCATAATTACTATGCTGTGAACAAAAAAAAAATACCAAATCGATGAAACATCAGCTTAAAAGGGATAAGTTTAGGAATGACTTTCACTTTTCTATAAGTTTGGTGAAGGGCCAGAAAAAAAAAGATAAAGTGTATTGTATTTTAGAAGTAAGGTGGCGACAGCTAATTGAAAAAAAAAAAAAAAAAAAAAAAAAAAAAAAAAAAAAAAAAACGGCTACTTTCTTTGGCCCTATGTGTTATTGTTAAAACGTCCAACACGCAAACAAGCTACTCTCTACAAGCTAAAAATACCCTACTAGAAAGTAAAGAGAAGACCTGAATTGCTTAGCTTTGAAGTTTTAAATAACCAGTCTCTGATTTACATAGTGCTGTTCATTCTTGGATCTTTGATCCACTTGATGAAGTATATGAAGAATATCTTGATGATAATGATACAGGTAGACTAACTGAGCTCAGCTTTTCAAACAATTCTGAAGTAGAAGCTTTATTAAATAAGCTTGCAAGCTGTGTAAGTAAAAAAGCAAAGAAAATAGCAATGGAAAACATTGACAAAAAACAATCCAATAGAAAACTGTAAAAGATGTTTGAAAATTGGTCAGCAACAACATACGTAGCTGGGATGACGAATTTAATCTTTGGTGGATTTCAAGAAGTGTAAAAGAAGTCATTTTGTTGTTCAAGGTAAACAAAGTAAACCATTTGTTTAATGAAGGCTCTGAAGTTGACTTGGTTGGCTGAGTGTGGTGCTTGTTTGACCCTCTTTTTGAATATTATGGCTTTACATGTACAAGATACTTAGTAGCATGATAAGCTAAATTGATTTATAAATATACTTAATCAATATATTATCTTCTATCATAAAGACCTGAACGAGTAGCAGTGGCCACTGAAAGCGCTACTAACAGTTATACAGTAACTAATACTGCAAGAAGTCAAAAAGTTGCTTGTTTTTTACCCATTTGATCATCTCAAAAGATGGTTATGAGTACGGCTGTGCTGAATACGAGAAAGAAGACAAAAAATGCATCAACTTGAAGGAAGCTGTAGAAGAAAGAATAAAGCTTCCCAAAGAGATGAAAAATGTTATGCAGCGATTGACTTCAAGAATCAGCAGAGAAGATGAAGAAGGTGAAGGCCATCGGTTTCTTATGTAATCGTAAGTGATGCTTTATGAATACATAGAAATATACACATATATATGTTAATTTTTGGATAGGTCCTAGAATGAACTGCTCAATTATAGACCAGCCTTGCGGCTTTGTCTGTCGTTTGTTGAAGATGGAGGAAGTTGAAATGCCTTTGACAATTGAAAGTTTACCAGCTAAGCTCAATCAAGTACTCGATGTAGTCTGGAAATTAAAAGTAGATCATAATTTGTGCTTGCTTTGTTATGTGTTGATTAACAATTCTCGTTCAAAAGGAAACAATGAAGCAAGTGTAGGATATCTTTGTTGCACTGCTCTAGCCCTCTGGCATCAGTATGTTCTTTTATGTATGCTCAAACATAAAAAACTCAAAAAAGGGAATCAGAAGGCAGAAGTGATGGTTTATTCCGAAAAACACTCGCGTCTGCAGCGGACTGCCAATACACTTTGGGTGTTGTAAGGAAAGTTAGTTTATAAACTAAGATTGTACAATAAGTTTGGTACTCAAAAAAGGCCTTAGTTAAGAATCAAAAGCATATTAAGTGTGTATTGTGTCAAATGGAGTCAAAAGTTATTTAGCGGCCACAGAGTATGTATGCTTTTGATATGTGAATGTGTACTTGAACTTGAGTTAAACAAACATATTTTGTGACCAGTAACGATATAAAACCTTAAGATAATGACTAAACATTTCTTTTCTAATTCACTTGTTTATCACCTAATTTCTTGATCAGTCTCCTTGAATTATCTTTTGCACCTAGTCAGAAGCAAGACAAAACTAGTCTAAGAAGCTTATAGAAATATTATTCCTCTATTAGGCGTTCAATTACTGCTTTTCAATATGAGCTGATGAGAATACAATTTATTTGCAGTCTATCATGAGAATATCTCCAACATACTACTACAATAAATGCTGCATTATTGTACTCTATGTTTACTCATCGCTCTTACTCTCTCTCTCTCTCTCTTTTTCCCCTGGCTGCCATGTTCCTCTTCAACTAGAGTAAAATGCATGAGTTTATTTTCCCTTTTTTGATATGCTTCCTTTGCAAACCCGACAGTTGTGTCCTTTTTTTATTTCAAAAAGCGACAAGACTGAATTGTCTATATGTTTACTTCAACAGACTCATCAAAGAAAAAGTTTCTTGAAAATACTAGAATAGAAAGAGAGAAGCGAGAAAATGAGCGTATACAGAAACAGCAGTTAGAGAAACAACTCCAAGCAGCCGTAACTATACAGAGATGGTGGAGAAGTAGAGATCAGCAACTCTTTTGGACTTGGTGGGACGCACGTCTATCCACTCAGGAGCTAGACCTGATGGATTTCTATCAACTACTAGGCATATATTGTATCAAGACAAAGCATACACCAGATCAAACTCGCTTAAAACGTATCGTGAAGCATTTGACAACCAACAAGTTTAGTAATAAGGTACCTTATTACGTACTCTTGATTGATATGCGGTACATGACACAAGCTCGTCGCTACTTAGAATATGTGATTATGCAGTGTATCACACAGTGCACTTCTTTGACTGACCAGACATCATTTGGGCCAGAATTGACTCTGTTACTTCAGTACTTGAACCCAAAGACCTATCAAACAAAACACATGCTTGACCCATCCTATGTGATTGATATTCCTGATAAAGTGTTGCAGAGCATAGCACAGAGTATACTCAAGACAACTATTTGTCAATGTCAATTCCTCCAGCCCTTCATGGCATGTGTGCAGCAGATCATTAAACTTCAAGATAGAAAGACACAGGATACAGCCAAGATCAATGCTCTTAAACTATGGTTGACTACCATGACTCGACTCACTCTATACCCTATTGAGCATGCTGAACTCTCAAGTGATGCATTAGACATGGAAACAGCTTCTCGGTTCTTATGGACAAATACGTTGGCTGTGCCTTATATCACTGCATCCATTCATGACATGATGGTGGATCGACTTCGCAAATGGGCTCTAGTAACGCCTTATTTCTTGGCTCAAGAGGACTATGCACAATTGGGCGGGAATGGGTGCTTGTTTCTGTTGGCAAATCTAGTTGACCTTTGGAACCATCCCAACAACAATCTAAAGACAGAGCAAGAGATGCGGTTAGTGGAGATAGTCATATCATTTCTAGTCCATATCTCACCTTGTTTTTTGGACTATCAACGACCTCCTTTTACTCAATATCATCCCATATTTAAATGGTCTCAATGTAGTTGGGGTAACAATCTACCCAGTAGTGTGTTTGATAAAGTCATCAAACAGATCGAATACATTTGGTCTCGCGCGTTTATGGATGGTGTGTTTAGCAATATTATTCGATTCGATACCAGTCAACATCCAGTTGAGCAAAAAAGAAGACTCTCGTTCAACAATACACATACCAAAAGGAAAAGTATGCATAATAGCAGCTTTGCCTTGTTTTCAATGGAGATTGAATCTATATTCTCCATGTATATGCAACTGACGCATTTATTTAAAGCACATCGAAAAGTGATATTCTATCGCATTGCATTTACGACTCATCTAATGCCTCAATTGTGGAAACTCATGAATCGTTTTGGTCCTGAGGGTAACATGGTGATCTATTTGGACGCTGCTAAACGAAATGATATTGATCAAGAGCCACTTGTTCAAGTGCTTAAGGTTTTTTGCGAAGCTTGTTCTATTGTATTTCTGTAGGTAACTTGCTAATTTGTATAGAGAGACTTAATATGATTTAGAACATTGGATGATGTGGATATCTTTGTGCACAAGAAGCCATTCTCACCTCAAGATTTGATTGATATCAGTAGCTTTCTAAACTCTTTTTATTTTTCATTGATACAACAACACACATCAGTGCCCACTGAACTTCCACCTGCAGCAGAATCGTTTAAATCAGCCCGCCGTCTATTACTACAAATCTATGACCTGGATCTACATCACCCTTTTTGTCCTAAAAACCACTGGTTATTGATTTCTTCTATGACCACAGGCATGAAATCATTTTTCAATTCTTTGTTTCATAGTCTCAATAGTGATTCACCTACTTCAAAGCGAGTCTCTAATTCGTCTGCCTCTTTGTTCCTCAGTAATTTACGACAAGGAGATCCTGTGCCACTCAGAATATTACAGTTAATGCCACATACAGTCTCTTTTGATATGCGACTCAAAATCTTTCGAGATTGGGTAGCTCTGGATCGATCCATGACACCTAAATCCGTCAGTAGATACATCAATATACGCCGGGATCATGTATTGGAAGATGGGTTTAGCGCCTTGTCTGAACTGCCCCTCTCTGCTTGGAAGGGAACCATTCGAGTGACTTTTGTAAATGAATTGGGTGTAGAAGAAATTGGAATTGATCAAGGAGGACCTTTTAAAGGTAAGTGATTCGTATAGTTTAGACATGCTCACTTATATCGACAAGACTTCTTGACTATGATGATATCAGAAGCATTTGAGCCCAATGTAGGGTTGTTTGCTGCTACAAAACAGAATAGTTTCTATCCAAGTGCTACTTCAAGCATACATGGTAAAAATCATATCCAACTCTTTGAATTTATTGGCAAGGTATGTATATATGTATGGTTTTATTTAGAGAGTGTCTTACATGATATATAGGTTATTGGAAAAGCATTATATGAAGGTATTTTGTTGGATGTACAGTTTACCCGATTCCTTTTGGCACGGTTATTGGGTCGTAATGTATTCTTGGAAGAATTGAAAGAGTTGGATGAAGAAGTTTGGAAAAACTTGACTTTTATTAAACGTTATGAAGGTAGTATTGAACAAGGCAGATGTCATGTTCTCATGTTAATTTAGGAGATGTGGAGGATTTGTGTTTGTCTTTTGAGACCAACGAACAGGTGTTGGGCAAGATTGAATCCCATGAACTCAAGTTTGTAAGTGCACACTATAACCAATTATGCAACTCAACTTATGTTAGAATGGAAGAAATACACCGGTAACAAACAACAATAAAATAGAATACATTTACTTGATGGCAGACTACAAACTAAACCAACGAGCCAAAGAACAAACTAAGGCCTTTATTCATGGCTTCCGTACTGTGATTTCAGAAAGTTGGATTCGCATCTTCTCTCCCCCGGAGCTCCAGAGGTAGCATAATGATAAAAGATAAATTTCTTGTATCTACCATCCACACACACAAAAAAAAGACTAAATCAAATTGACTCTATAGGGTTTTGTCTGGTGAAGATACTGATTTTAGTAAGTAAATGACTCAAGAACAGCGTTTATTGATACTGCATAGACATTCAAGATTTACGTAAACATACACATTATGAAAATGGATATTTTGATCATCATCCTGTCATTCGATTACTATGGCAAATTGTAGCAGAATTACCCTCAGCTGAAAAAAGAGCCTTTTTGAAATTTACGACTGGATGTCCCAAACCTCCTCTAGGTGGGTTTGCATATTTACAACCTGCATTTACTATTCGGATGGTGTCTACAGATGTCACTAGTTCAGACATGGATGGTGTCAAACTGGTCAAATCCTTCTTTAAGCTGAATATCAACAAAAGTGGCAGATTACCTTCCAGTTCTACATGGTAACTATATTCATTTTAAGCATGATTTAACTGTGTAAATAGTTTCAATATGCTAAAATTGCCTGCTTATACTAAGAAATCGCTTTTAAAAGAAAAGCTATGCTATGGTAAGTTGATATTCAATCGATTGTCTACTGACTTTATATATAGCTATTAATGCCAATACAGGATTTGAATTGAGTTAATAAAAACTAGTGGCAGGAGGGGTATTTATTCTCGTCTCAAGTTATCTAGTCTTGCTTGTAAAGCAGCGTCATCAGCAGACAATCCTTCTGCTTGAGCTACTCTTTCTGAAGTAGGTGCATTTTCGGGTATACGAAGACCGGAAGGAACTTCGCCGAGCTATCATGCCTAGTCAGTACAACTACAATCAATGGTTCATATTTACCTCTTGATTGAAACTAATGCCAATCTCATCAAGCACCTTGTTGACAATTTCATCACTTTCTTCCTCATCCTCTTCTTCCTCAAAGGCATCATCAATTGCATCTCCCATCATTTCATCTTTCATATCCATCATTTCACTTTCCCTTTCAAAGTCCATCATGATTTTTTGAATTTGAGGCAAATTCATTTGTCTGTTCATAGAACCCATTGCTTTTGTGGCGCCTTTCATGGCTTCAGCCATTTGTTGACTTGAACGTAATGTCTGAATACGAAGTCCCACGGCTTGTAATTGTGTCTTCATTTGATAAAACTTTTGAACATTACGTCGTGTTCTAACAAGGTCTTTGGCCATGATTTTACAAGCACCCATTTGATTTGCTTTGGCTGATTTTTTGATATCCAAGATAAGTTTCTTTTCTTGTCGTTCGAGCTTTTCTCGTTCACGGTCAAGTTCACGTTGAGCTTTTGTGATAGCGCGTTGGTGTTGACGCAATAATTCGGCAGGCGTTTTTCTTTTACCAAACAAAAAGTCCTAAATACACAAAAGTTGGTTTTTATGTTAAAAATAGTGTACATACCATTATTTCGAAAACGAGAAAAAAAAAAAAAAAAAAAGAAAGAGCCAAGAGAAAAGAGGGGGAGGTGTTTCAAATCCATCTATTTATGCTAAATTTAAATACCAAAAACCATCAAGAATTGTAGACAGACACATAGATCGATGGTTTAGTTAAATACTTGAGTGTTTAAAATCATTTGTTGCTTTATGGTTTAAAAGAGTTTGGAAACCTTTTCTTCTTTTTTTTTTAGCTAATCAAATACGACATTGATAAGTTGTAACTGAGATTTTATTTGACGTGTGTAGTTTCTGATGTACTTTCTAGTCAACCAATAACATAGTGACCAAGAAAGGTCTTATCATTACGCTTTTCTAATCAAAACTATGGTTTTAGAGGTGCTTTTCTTGAGTTGCGGTACCATTAACTGAGTTTTAATAATAATGGATTGATTGGTCTCTGTGCTCTCCTTCAGCGAAGCGCAATGACAGCTTACAGACTTAATGCAAATCACATACTGAAGCGTTGCTAGGCAATTAAAGACATGTTACAGTTTATTGACTCTTGTTTAGATGACGCAACCATAGTAGTGACTGTATTTGAAAAAAATCTTCCCTGTCTTTATTATGTATACGCGTTGCTTTTCTATTTTTCAACTTCTTTATTCCCATCAGCAAGTATTATGTTTTCGCCTTTATGGTATTGTTGCCTCTCACTTGGTTGATCACCTAGTTGATGCTACTCTTCTATCAAGATAGCTCTGCCTTTATTGGTTTTACGTCAATTTGATAGAGAAAACTACATACTTGTTGCCAGTTAAAAAAAAAGAAAGGGTTTGTCCTTTTTTTTTGCACTTGTTGTATTACAACAACACTTGAAGACGATCACAAACATAGTGCACTGGTATGATGACCTCTTCTTATGTTCGCTTCAGGCCTTGTCTGACTCTTGTGTGATCCTCCCTCTTGTGTGATCCTCCCTCTTGTTTTGGTGTTGTATGAATCCAAGAGAGAATATAAGAATGTCTTCTATATTGCATATGAGCAATCTCTGTGTTTATTGACACTCACTTTTGTTTCCTTGTGGGTGGACAAAGGGAAAGTAAAGGTAGACATAGATGCTTGTATGGTTCTGTTTGTCCGTCTGGTCTTTGACTGGAATTTCTGTCTATTCATGGCATCTTTCTTCTTTAGGAGAAAACAACTATCGGACAGAGTGACGGCAGATGTAAGCCATAGCTCGCTTTTGCTACTGTGATAGTTCTGGCCTTACTTCTTTGTGAGGTGTATGCGTCAATGCGGTAGTGAGAGATGTAGCTTATAGTCCATTCGACTCTTCATCAGCATAAACCCTTCGGATACCTAATTGATGATTGTAGAGAAACGTTCTTTTACATAGACTAGGTTTAAGTCTGGTGGTAGTAGTGCTATTTGTTTGAGTATTGTCTATTCTTGGTAAACTCTCTCTCTTTATGGGGGAGGGACAGCTATCAGACAGAGAATGTGTACTATCTGTAGTGCTCATCTATTCATGCATTTGGGTAGATTGTCTCCTGTAAGAACAAAGGCCTGTTCTTATAGAGCGAGTGCTATTTGCTTTCTAGTGAATTGGTCTATTCAAGACTAGCTGCTTTGGAATTGAAGAGTGTAGCCACTCTTCAGTCTAAGGCTTAAGGTTAGCTCTTTTATAGATGGGCTATCAATTTGGCGACGTATTTCGATATGGAATCCTGATAGTGACAATTGACTGAGGCAAACCATAGGATGGGAATCAACAATTATATCATGTTGGTTATCCGTCTTGAAGGCAGCTTACTAATGAAGCTTTTTGTCTTTGAGATTTCCGGAGCTCTTGGACCAAGCGAGGTAAACTTTCTTTGGGACTTTTGTCAAGGAATCATGCCAGATTTGACAAGTGATAATTGACCTGGATTAGTTCTTCCGCAAGGATGGGCAATGATGTTTAATGATATAGTTGAGTGCCTGGCACTTTTTTTTTTTTTGGGAACTCAATTGAAACTAGTTTAGGTCCTCGTCCTAGTTCCTGGTAACAAATACTTGAAAGTATTTGGCTAAAGTACTAGTTTCTTTTTATTTTATTTTTTTAATAATAAACATTGCAGTATTTATACAAGTATCAATCCTTGAACACTAAAAAAAAAAAAAAAAAAAAAAAAAAAAAAAAAAAAAACTTTTTAGAACTATATCAAAAGCATACATACTCTGTGGCCGCTAAATAACTTTTGACTCCATTTGACACAATACACACTTAATATGCTTTTGATTCTTAACTAAGGCCTTTTTTGAGTACCAAACTTATTGTACAATCTTAGTTTATAAACTAACTTTCCTTACAACACCCAAAGTGTATTGGCAGTCCGCTGCAGACGCGAGTGTTTTTCGGAATAAACCATCACTTCTGCCTTCTGATTCCCTTTTTTGAGTTTTTTATGTTTGAGCATACATAAAAGAACATACTGATGCAAAAATATGGCAAATTTTGAGAAAGTCAAAAAAAAATTTTTTTTGTAAGGGAGACTTGCTCCAATTTTATTTAAATTCCTTTAGACGTCAAAAGAGTGGAAGAAAAGACTGCGGTATTATAAGAACTAGACTAAGGAAAGGGAAATGAGCCTGTGGTAGAAGAAATTGAGGAAAGAATAAGAGTTTAAGAGAGCTTGATAGATACTTGAAATGGAGAGAACATCATGAGTAGTGAGAGAGGAACTGGAAAGGAAAGCGGAGGAGAGAATTTACGGTTCATAATCAAGACGGGATTGATCATGCAGCTTATTTGCTAAGCGGGAAACCGTCTTGGTTATAGTCTTGGAGAGGAATGGGTTTTCAGAAAAAGCAGATTGCCAGTGAGCTTGCCAGAGGGCTAGAGCAGTGCATGCAAAGATTTGGAAGATACTCAAGGAAGGAAAATGGAGGAGAGAAACACGAGGGATAACAACCCGAAGGAGGAGGACTTGACGTAGGAGATTGACCGAAGGTGCACGGATGTTGGGATTAATGCACTTGGAGAAGACATGAGACCAAACAGCATACTTGGTAGGGCAGAGGAAATAAAAGTGATCAAGGGTATCAATGGAAGTAATGAGATTTGAAGGACAGTGGATACAAAAGTTATTAGGAACTGTATGGGGCATAAGACGATGTAGGTGAAAACGGTTGTTGACTTTGTTGTGAAGCGTCCTGTAGAGGACATTGCGAGCAGGGAGAGGGATCTTGAGAGACCAAAAGCGCTTCCAGTTAGGCAATAGGCGGGGATCAGGTGGTATAGGAGGGGAGAAGCTATGGCCTAATTTACGATAAGAATGAGTGAAAGTCAAAAAATCGTCATTTTGCCCTTATGATACTTTTACGAAATCTTCAATTTTCACTATTCTGCGATTGTTAATCGATAGAGGCATTATTGACATAACATGGCTTAGTACGAGCTGCTTCTCTAGGTTTATAAAATACACACAAAGTGATACATCTGCAAAAGTAGTATAAAAAGTTTGCGCTACAGTTCAAAAACGAAAAACACATTTTTGGAGGATAGCTTGAAATTTTATGAACAGACATATTGTGTTCTTTAGACCATTGGATGCGCCTTATCTTGATATATCAGCCTAGTCAATACATTTTTCTGATAGCTTCTCGTTTTTAGGTACTTTTAATCCATCATCTTTCTTGAAGATCTAAATTTACTGATTTTTTTTTATTTTAGTTTTGATATGAGAGCCTACTTTAAACTCAGACTTTTTATAAGGGACACCCCACTTATGTCAATTTTTATTTCATTCTACAATGCCCTTTCTTGTTTAGCACTCGAATGACTAATGAAAGGCTCCTTTTTCTTTTAGTAGCATGCTCTTTTTATGATGTGCATTGTAGGATTTAAATCGTATTAGTATCTTCTAATTGTGTAATACACATAGTGTCTAGTTAAATCTTTTCATGAAAAGACCAAATAGATAGATAAATGCATATTTTTATTGTTATTTACAATTATGCTCTTGTTTCGCCACCGATACCTCCATATTTGAAGTAGTTAGCTTGGAAGCCAGGCACTACGGCATCAAAATTTTGTGTGATAGCATCAGGCTCGCCCTCACGATGAGTAAAATCCATACATGCTTCTCCGCGTGGAGAAACATAGAACTCGGGCTTAATCCAGGTATTTGAATGACTTAGAGTGGAACGCTTAGCAAGATCCCAAGGATGTTCAGGCTGGCCATTATGAATAAAATGAACTTTGTCGGTGATTTTAAGCAAATTAGAATGAACAAAAAGCAAGACTGGTTCATCTTCCTCTTCTGACTCAGCTGAAGCAGGCATGTATTGCAACATGGTGTGGCCACAGAAACGAGTGCCAGACATAGTGCCTCCCATACCTACAAAGGCTTCTACCATATGATAGGGCATATCAAGCGCTTTCCAGGCATATTTAAATGTATCTTTGTCGCCATTTAAGAACTGAAAGTAAATGTCACTATGTTTTTGCATGTACCATGCAAGTTGAAGTGGAAGCCATGATTTTTGCTTATGGATAACCATTTGACCGGACTGCGAACTTTAGTATTTTCATTTTCCTTGGCAAAAACTTACTTCTTGTTCCCAATCATCTTGGCATTCAATGTCTAGAATATCAAAAATTTTGTTTTCTCCGTGAGTCTTCCTTTTGAGTTAAATTAAATTAATATGTTTTCATTATTTTTAGCAGCTTACCAAAAATCTGGCCAGAATAAAGCACCTGAGTTTTGATATTCAGGTGTGTCAAAAAGAAAGGTAGGGTCTTGTACAGGCACATTGTCTGAGTCAAGATACAGAACTTGTTCAAAAGCAGAATTGATGATCGCCGCTGCTTTAATTTGAAATCTAGACACATGCATAAGGCAACACAGATAAACAAACAATAAACTTACTGCTTTTCTGCATCTCGCCTCTTTGTGATGGGTTGAATCAGGTCCAAATTTGATAAATCTCGTGCGTGTGCATCTAGTTTTTCTAGTTCTTGCTTAATATTCGCATCAGGTTGTTCATCATGCAAGTGCCATACTTCAATAGGTAACATGCAGTGATATTCATTTCTCAATAATCTGATAGTTGTCAAAGTACGTGCTAGTGTATCCTTGTTGCCTGCTACTAACACAATACCACGGTCACCAGTAAATGCAGGGACTTCAGTATGCTTGATGTTTGTTATAAATCTTTGCCATCTATGCTTGTATGCCTGTATCGTTGAGTCAGGAAGATGCGTCCAAAAACTTAAATGAGCATTTGTATGATTTGGGTCTACATTTCTCAATACACGATTTGTCTTGCACACATTTTCCTTTTGGATAGGCTGTTGTTGTGATGGTGGTGGTGGTGTAAGTATGTGTTGCCCTTGCCCTTTAGCAATCGTATTGTTGCTCTTCACAGAAAGGCTATGGGAGGTAGTATATATGCAATAAACAATAAAGGTAGTGAAGAAGAGCAAAAATACATTGACTTTTACCCGGGAAGCAAGATTATTTATTAACATTTTAATAATAAAAGAAAGAGGTCAATTTGTATTTTTGATTGGTTTTTTAACCTAAAATTTGGGTTTGAGATCATCGTCGTGGGTTCAAAAGATGTAACACACTGTTGTCATTGGCGCTTGCTTTTTATGTCGTTTTCCAGGCCTATTTTTAGAGGATGTTGTCCATGCTTTGGATCAATGCATAACCAAGTTGAATCATGGCTTCTTCTTTTTGCTCTACAACAATAGCACCATGTCGCTTAGAAAATGAGCTGTTTCCGTCTGTTGTTTTGGCCAAGCTTTTGATTTGATTTTGACATTTTTCATAAATGTGAACAGAGCCTGCTACATCTTCCTCTCGTAGTCTAACTTGTTCTACTTTCTTGCATAGTTCGGCTATCGAGTCCAAAACAATAGCTTCATCGTTCTAAATAAAGAAATCAGAATTTTTAGTTTTAGTTTAAATTGATGCCTTGCCTCTCTATTTTCTAGTTGTAAGACAACATCGTCATTTGTAGATAAACCTAGTGCTTGCATCAGCATTTGAGCGTCAGGCGATAACACCAATTTGGCAGACTTCTTATCCAATACACCTATAAGAATAAGTGACTGCAACGTATTTTGGCTGTATTCTTTAGATAGCACTTCGCTATAAATTGTTCTTCTTCCACTAATAAGATGCATTCCAATCCATTGCGAAAGAGTAGGAACAAGCGAAATTGGAAAGGCCCGTACATCATTTAAGGCCGACAGAGCACAAAGTGTAACCCAAAATGAGTCGATAATAGGGTACACAAATGATGCTAATAAACTTAATTGACTGTATTCCTTGGTATTGTCGATCTTAAAAACCAGTCTCTCAAGCATAGTAGCATCCTCTTCGACTTCAACACCCTCATCCTTGTCTTCTTCTGTGTTTTCTTTAGTCATATCTTGAGCTTCTTGAATGTATCCTTTATATTTTTTGCGTAAATTCGCGTATTCCTGTGCCAATACATGCTTAGTTTTCACGTATTTCTTGATGGACTTACAAGCTTTGTGTCCCATGAAGTATGGAACTGATGCTGGAGCAAAATTGCCAAGAGTTCAAATCTTTCTAAAAATACAGTTTCAAACACTTTTGTTCTTGTATCAAACGAAAGATAAGTTGCAGCAAAAATAGAATCGAGCACAAAGATTTCACGAAGCTACATAAAACAATTAATAAAAAAAGGGGGGTTCTCTGCCAAGAAATACCTGGTTTGCATAATAAGCCAACTGAAGAATGTTCTCTGATCTTGTAGATATGCGAAACATAAACCCACTACCACGCTCATCAATAGAGACGCTATTTGAATTCTTTTCCAGCAACCGAATGTTGTAAAATATGATTGTTTCGCTATCCTCGAATTCTATCTTTTGGTCAATACGAGTAGATATTAGAAATCAAGTAACTTACCCTGCCAGTCCATAGAGTAACCATGGTCTTTTATTACTCCAGAGAGATATTTCATGTGTTCTTTCATTGTCTCCAGATCAATACAGTTACCTCTTACTCTACTGTACAACAAAATGGCAGCTACTAATGAAATCGAGCTGACAAAGATTGCCTTTTTCTGTCCCTTTTGTATTTCGTCTGCTAGTGCTTGTGCGCTTTCCATCAGAGGCACAGGTGCGCCTATGCCTACAAGCAAGCGACCACAATGTGTGGAAGTAAGGGGTCCACACTTCGTTTCTTCATGGAATCCATTTCCTAAACTTCGACTGCGTACTCGATGAGATCGACTATCGCTAGGTCTAGAGACTTTCATGGGTGTTGACATGCGATTAGATGTGGTACGGGATCGTTGAAGTTGATTCACGACGCTTAGACGATGCTTACTCTTTTGTTTTTCTGCCTGAAGGTCTTGCCCAATTAAAATTGAAAGATCAGGTACTTCTTCATAGGTGATATTGATTGGAACAAACATGATATCTTGACTGCCACTCTTGAGAAGCATATCGATCAAACCGTCGTTAAAAGGTGCTCTAAAAACACCTGTTCTTGAACGCACTTGATCGAGAATTAAAGTGAGTGCACCCCGTTCTTGAATCAAGTGTTGCAAGTAGGCTGCTGTTACTGCTGTGGCTAGTGTTGATCGAGATTGTGGATCTCTTTTGATAAATACGGCGCCTGCAAGACGCAATAAATCTGAAAAGGGACCTAGAATAGCCAATGCTTCATCTAGAATTAATGCAGGAATAGGTAAATCATATCGAATGGCAAGGAACCAAACAAGTACTGGATCAAGTGCCGTCTTGGACACTGGCACATAGACAACACGCTTTTCATTGCCTTTGACGGCTTCTCGAATCTTTTCTAGGTCAGCATGATGAATATAAATACCACTAAACATATTTTTGAGAACTTTTTGCAGAAAAGAAGCTGCAAACCAAGCATATGATAACTGTGTTCTTTCTTGGATTCGATTTAATGATCGCATGGCTTCTTCTGCTACTCTCTCTGGTGGCATACCAGATCGTTTAGCTACCTATAGACACATGTATAAGCTATGCTCATCCTTATTTGCGGTACCTGTCGAATGGCCTCACCAACACCAGGATCATTCAAAACAACCACTCTTGTTGACTCTGCATTTTCATCTACTCGTAACTTCCAACGGCTCATAATCTCTTGCTTTTTTTGCAATATTTCCTGCGATTTTGCTGTGCCCTCATCACACCAGTCTTCGAGCGTATCGTTCAAATATTCAATCCAGATAGGCTTCCATTCTTTTTCATCTTGTATTGACTGAGCTGGATTTCTAAGAGACGAAATGGTGATATCAATCATACGTTGTATTCTCTGTCTCATTTCTTCTTCTGTATAAATCACACTCTGGAATGGTGCGTCAATAATAGATGTTGTACTGTTGCCACTTTTGACAGAAGAATAAAGTGCACATTCTGTGTGACTAGGCAGTACAATGGTACGCAAATGTGGGCCAGAGTGCATAGTATTAACATGAACACCATAACAGCTCTGCAAGAAATAATTGTACCAATCAAAATGACCAGGTGAATCGTATTCCCCAACCAGTTGTCTAAACTTAAATGAACTGTACTGCCAATTATATCTATTCTGTCTTGCCAAATTGTTACGAATACTGGAGGCCAGCTCCATCCATTTCTGTTGATCATTCTGTTGAAAGAGATCAGCTTTGTTTGTAAAACTATTTGAGCTATAGAGCATAGGTCCATTGTTGTTTGAGAGTAGCATTGAGTTGTGGTGATTGATGATGGGTTTAGGTGGTGCAGGTGCTGTTGATCGAAAGTAATACTGCATCAAAAATCGTGCTTTTGATAGTGTCTTGTTTGAGTTAAAATAATTGCTGGCTGGTGGCAGTTTATCAGATGTCAGCATACGGTTGTTTGGCCTACTCCAATAATCCTGAATAGCTGTATACGCTTCATACCAAGTAATGGGCTCATTGTCAGTAGCGATGTGGAAGACATAAGGAAAGTAATTAATGGATGTATTCTCGTCATTAGTGGAAGCGAGTGCGAGATTGTTGACATTGTAAGCGAGGGGTAAAATAAAATTATCCCCTGGGTAAGTCAATTGAGGAATAGCACGAATGATACCCTGAGCTACATAATCAACAGGAACAACATTGGCTGATCTCGGCCCTTGATCAGGCTGTATAATAGGAATTGCATAACCATACAATGCCAGCCAGGAAGACACTCCAGATACGCCACTTGTCTTAAAAAAAAACAAAAATGAGTAACCATGTGTCAAATAGCCTTTTTCTTACCCAGCCTGGCATAGGTTCCTTTAAACTAGGACCAATGTAATTTGAACGAAAAATAGCAAGTGGATAGGGTTGCTTTCCACCTTGACTTTGTTCGTTTCTCATTTGTTCGACTCGTCTAATAATCAAATGTTCCACAAGAGCTTTTGTGAACAAATGGAGTGTAGAATACTTTTGTAATATGCGCTTGATAAGATTTGTTAATTCTAGCAGGTATAAATAAGAATTAATTTCTCCTGATTTGGTAAATATAATTCGAGTAGTGTTACCTTTCTCTTCTGCGCCAAGAAGCTCTTTTAAGAACTTTTCTGGGTCTCCAAATCCAATATCGTAGACATATTCTGATATGCTAGCATTCATACAACCCTCTGGTAGTTCTTGGTAAATATGTGCAGGTGATAAATGAACAAAAGAGCCTGATAACATTAATTCTAATTCAGTATTTTTCTAGATTTACTTACAGACATTATCACAACCATCTAAATAATCCATTAAACGAATTGTTCCCAACACATTTGTCTAACAAGGGTGTATGAATATGAATGTATTCAACATAAGCATCATTACCTCTAAATTCCATTCGAGGGAATTCTCGTATTCTGAAGTAGAGGCACAATGAATCACAATATTTGTATCTTTAAGTTGTGCACTGTCATCCATAGACAACCCCATATGTGGCAATGTCAAATCATATGAGACAGGTATAAGTTTACTTTTAAATGTCTCTCTATCATTGTTGAAATGTTCTACTAGTAACTTTTTAAAGGCCTATGGTGTGTTGTATAAGAAGCTGAACATCAAAAATAAGAAAAAGACAGTTCTTACAGGTGTGTTTATAATCTCGTCTAGGATACGTTGAGATGGACTTCCATTCGGGATTCGTTTAGGTCGAATAAGCACATACACCTTGTCAATAACAGAACCTGCTACTCTAAGTAGATTCCACAAGATGGCTTTGCCTACAAAACCAGTTGCGCCTGTTATTATTATTGTTTTATTACGGTAGTAGTTTTCCATATGAATAATGCAACAAAAGAAAATAGGGAAAGAGAGAAGAAAGAAAAGTCTAAATATATATTTTCTGTTCAAACAGTACAACAATCCTTGGCGGCTATTTAACCTAATGTCACACTCATTTTCTGAGCAGGTTATTTTTTCTGCACAAGTAGTCCTCGCATCATATCAAAACTGTTTCCGTCAGGCAAAAGACCATAGAACTTGCCTGGTTTCTCTATACTTTCTGCCTTGAGCATGCCATAGTCTGATGTAATACCGACAATTTTGACCATTTCATTGTTGTGTGTTGTGAGGCTAACAACAGCATCATTATGTAACCAACGTTGATAGTATTGACTCAAAAACCAATGACCCATTCCCTTTTCGCAAAAGTCATTATAAAGAGTCTCAAACTTGACAAGAATACCAGCCAGGGTATCTTCTGGACCCAAAGGAGGAGCATTATAGTCTTGAATGATTTCATTGATGGATACTGTTGGGCTCATATTGGATAGATTTATACCACAGCCTACAAATATAAGTTATAATAGAAAACAATCAATGATGTTACCAATCACAAGCACAAAATCATTATCAACAAAGCTAGAATTTATCAAAAGTCCACCTACTTTCTTTAAGCTTTCCTTAGTCTCTATATAGATATCATTCGGCCATTTTAGCCTAAGGGGTATATGTTCGTATCCAGGTCTTGATCGAATACTTTCTACAACAGCAAGGGCAATAATGTATTGTACAAACACAACAGGTGCATTTCTAAACTGAAGACTATGCCGAAGTACTATGCTAAATTGAAGAGCACCCGACTGAGAAACCCAAGAATTTCTGCCTCTACCTATCACAAACAGTTCATTGACCTGACCATTGTATACATTGCTATACATACCTCTACCAGCTATTTGATTTGATGCTAAGCACACAAACCCACTAGGTAATGCTTCTGAGAATTCATAGTTCCTATACATGATACATTAGTACTTTAAAGAAAGAATGGTGAGTACATACTTCTCTAGAATAGACTGAGTGCTACTTATGACTTCTGCATACATAACACCATTACCGAACTTTGGCCATCCTCCTCCTTCCCATTGCAATGCTCTTTTCTTGACAAGATGATCGTAGTATATCTGCATATTGAAATGCGGTGTCATTGAAAAAGGTGGGCAAATAGGCTCTATTGCATCAATTGTACTCTGGTATACTAGTTGGACTACAGGTGCCTTTTCTTCTTTAATTCTGCACATAGATAATAGTTGAACTTGCTTACTGGTCTGTTCTTCCATCAGTAATATACAGAAAATATCACCTTTGTCTTCCATTATGTGTGTTACTGGATTTGATTTCTTGAGCAAATAAGACACTGGCTTTTGTACCCATTCTTTTGTTAGTCCAGTGATGTAGATGGGTGTAGGATCAGGCATGATATTTTCTTGTACGATGTTACTATTCAAAGGAACAACACTTAGTCCAATCCGAGCAAATGCAGCTCTTAAGAATCGCTTTCTTTCCACTTCAGATAAAACCAGATCGTCCAGTATTTTGCGAACAGATTGGCTTGCATGCTCATCTATGGATAACAAATCATCTGAACTAACGTCGTACTCTGGATGTGTTCCAATCAATAGCGCATGACCCATGCCCACTCGGCAATGAACTACAGCCGCTGCATCCAAGTCCTTGTATCGGCATAAAACTGTCACATGGTCATAATCAGGATCTACAAAATAACCACCTCCATTATAATACATGTTGATTTCTTGAGGGACATTTGTGCCATAGTACTCTTCAAGCGTATCTTTACATAGAGACACAGTAACTGATCTAGCACCGCTTTCGCTATTGTAGACAAAGCCTGGATAGGCCGTACCTCGAGACAATCCAGGGTATAATCCGAGCTCACGTTCTTGGATGATTTCCATAAGTGCTCGGCCTTTTTCGAATTCGATAGAGGCGGATGCATAATAAGCGCCAGCACATATACCCAAGTATCGTCCTCCGCCTTGAACAAATCGCTGAATTCTCCCATTGGGTTCACCATTCAAGGCTTCACAATAGGGCATATCACGGCCACCAGGCATGACAAGCATAACACAACCTACTTCCCAAGGTTCTGATTGCAATACTCGACGATCGATCTCGATCACGTCGTAGGCATGACCGAGAATAGACTTGAGTGTGCTGACAGTATGTCTGACAGAGTTGGGTGAAGCTCCAAGGTCGTTATAAACGAGAATATTCATAAAAAATAGAAAAAGAAAAGTTTGGGGGGGAAGATCGGTTTAAGCATTTTATGTGGAAAAAGGTAGAGCCAATCATGTGTGGTCCTGCATAAATTTGGGGAAGAGGAAAGACAATACAAAGTTAATTTTGCAATAGAATGATTTCTTTCTTTCTCGTGCAAAACAGGCCCAACTTTGTATATTTGCTGAATGGATACATTAGTTAGCTTATTCCAGTAATTGTATTTCAAGCTTTTTTTTTTTTGGTTCTAAAGGAAAAGACTGTACACATATAAAACGAAAGCACTTTTCACAGCTGTCGATACAAATTATAATTAGTTGTCGTATTTGAAACAAGCTCCTAGTATATATACATACGCTCAATGAGTATTTGTCTACTACAAATCATCATATATTTCCCTATAGATAGTTTACAACCTTTTTTCTTGTCAATTGAGATACTTTCAGGCACTAATAGAAGCAAACCAGATAAAATCATTGAGTGAGAAGTCGAAAAGCTCCGAGACAAGCTTCTGGTATGTATGTTAAATTTTGCTTATTTGGTACTTTGCATCGATATACACTATTGCCTATATCAGAATAACATTTGATTTTACTATTTTGCATTCCTCATTAACCTATAATTGATTAGAAACACAAGCATCTGCTCTTTGTCTCGGTTAAAAATTTACATTACATTTCTTAATCTAATCATTCATCTCTTAGAGTTGAATTAAAAAAAGTGATACAAAAGATAACAATTTGAACATTGACTCAACGTACAGGAAAAGTGTTCTTCTAAAAATTATGGTTCTTTTGACAGATCTAGTTTAAATAATCGCATATGTGATAAATCGGAAGTGTTGCTTCATTTGGTAAGCAAAAAAGCCTATAAATCAATTTCTCTTTCCTGAACGAAAACAAAATAAAACAAAAGCAACTCATTAAAAACAAAAAAAAAAAAAAAAACTATCGCTTTTTTCGAAAGAAAACAAAAGTGATTGCAGACTGTGAGATTCGAACTCACGCCTCTTGCGAGACCGCAACTTGAGTGCGGCGCCTTAGACCAACTCGGCCAAATCTGCTCATGTTTTGTTTTATTTGTAGAATTAATATAATCAAATTTAATTAAAAATCACGTGACTGGTGCGGGACATTCCGGTCTCTTGCGAGCATTGCCATTTTTTCGGTTCTCTTACTGAAGAAGTATTTGAGCTAAGTCTAGCTAGAGTTACATCCTTTTCAGGATTGCAGAGGCAGCCATATCAATTCTCAGATTAGTTTAATGCTTGATTAAACTCTCTCGTCTATTCTTAGATATTGCCAGTCGCAATCATTACCAAAGCTTTCATTTGTGTCCTAACGTCAAAGCACGAGGCAGTCGAGCATTCACAAACCAAACGATTGCATCTAGCATTCTACATTGTGTCTTCTCTAAAGGAAATGAGAGACATATTATGCTAGTTTCTGTAGATCTTGCCTTTAATTGTTGGCATTTCTTTCGACTGCATAAATAACAGATGTGGTGGCTTATAACAGAAGCGTTGCTTTAACCTACTGTCCTTTTTTTTTTGAGCTTGTGCCTTTATTTCACACCTCTGATTATGGATAACCCACCTCTAACCACTTCAGAAGAAGCCAAGAAACCCAGAAAGCGTTTTGTTGGACGTGCAAGGAAATCTGCCAATGAATCTAAGGAAGCAGGTGCTATTGAAGATGGTGCTGTTGGCTTTGCAAGTATGTCTCGGCCAAAATCGATAGTTCATTTACTCACTCTTTTACAGAAGCACCTAGAGCACGTAGTGGCCGTGTAGCAAACCAAGTTCCCGAAGAAATTCTAAACGATCCTTTACTGAACAAAGCTATTGAAACTGTGAGTAATAGACAGTCTTGCTTGTTTTATTCATTTGTGATCTAGATCCCTTCCAACTATAACTTTGAGATCCATAAAACTGTGTGGAGAGTAAGAAAAGCAAAGGCTAAAAGAGGTTTGATGGCATTAAAATCCAATGTAATATATTTACTAATAGTTTATACTAGTTGCTCTTCAATTACCAGAAGGTCTTATGATGTTTGCTTGTTTGATTGCTGATATCCTCGAAGTGTAAAGATTTTTTTCATGTTGAGATATTAGCCGCTCACCACTTTATTTAGCTTTTGTAATGCTGAGACTTTGATTATGGGTGATGTGACATATGGTGCTTGTTGTGTTGATGACTATACTGCTAGAGCTCTCGGATGTGATTTTTTGGTTCATTACGGCCACAGTTGTTTAATTCCTGTAGATATCACAACCATTGAAACTTTGTATGTATTTGTAGATATTGGAATTGATACACAACATTTTATTGCTACAGTCAAAAAGAACTTTGAAAAAGGAAAAAGACTTGTCTTGGTCGGTACAATTCAGTTTGCTGCAGCTTTACAGGCATCTAGAGCACCACTCGAAGAAGATTACACTGTAATGGTGCCTCAATCCAAACCTCTATCACCAGGTGAAATTCTAGGTTGTACTGCACCTAAATTGTCAGATATGGATTACATTGTCTTTATTGGTGATGGTCGTTTTCATTTAGAATCTATCATGATCCATAACCCTCAGATACCTGCCTTCCAGTAAGTTGATTGTACGATAGAAGTGTGTTGACCGTTACTTAGGTATAATCCTTATGGTAAAACATTTACTCGCGAGAGATATGATCACAACGAGATGCATTCTCTTCGAAAGCACGCTGTCAGTGTTGCCAAAGAAGCCAAAAAATATGGTCTTATTCTAGGTACATTGGGTCGTCAAGGAAAACCTCAAATTCTAGAATATTTAGAGCAATCGATTAAAGAACAAGGCAAAGAATCAGTCAATGTACTTTTATCAGAGATTTTCCCTGGTAAACTCGAACAATTTGAGGATGTTGATGCGTAAGTAGAAGGAGCACATACATGAAATAAGACAGTTTGATCATCGACTCACTTTTTTGTTCCTTAAAAGTTGGATTCAAATCGCTTGCCCTAGACTTTCCATTGATTGGGGATATGCTTTCCCTAAGCCTTTATTGACACCCTATGAAGCATCTATTGTACTAGGAAAAGCAGAATGGCAAGATGTGTATCCTATGGACTTTTATGCCAATGACAGTTTGGGTCCTTGGACACCTAATCATGGTCGAGGCATTCCTCGAAAGAAGAGAACAATTGGTGCAAACTAAACAAATGTGTATATATGTGAAAGGGAGTCTGATCTACCGTTGTCTAGTATTTTACTAAGGAACAGATCTCCTATGAGTAGAAGAAAAAAAAAAATTAAATAAAAAGACTATTGACATGAAAGAATTAACTCCTATTTGTGTTGTGTCATTTAAACAAAAGTAAAGCGCTTGGGCAGGATATAACAATTGTTACAAACGATCCAGTCTTTCAAAAACAGATGCTCATAGTTTCAATGTGTGAATCTTTTACTCGACACTGGAAAAAACCTTATCTGTTCATTGGTACATGGAGATAACAAAAGAGGGGACGCACGATGTTATTTGGTGCAAAACAATGAAAGCTACACAGTATTGCACAAACGTTGTACAATTATAATTAGAGTTCCTCAGGCTAGAAGGAGAAGCAGATCAATAAATAAAATTAGATAGTCAGTTTATCTCTTTTTCTTTTTTTCCTTTTCTCTTTCCTTGACGCGATTGTATATAATGGCAGTACACTTTGTTGCTCTCTTATTTAGTGCATGTTCTCTTGCATTATTCATTATAGCCAATGTTGGGACTACATTTCAAAGTACATTTTTACCAGACATCTATCTAGTTAAAGTAAACCAAGCAATTACCGGAAGATCTATACGTTACGGTGTTTATAATTCATGTCTTTATTACAATTCTTCTAGCAGTATACCTCATTCTTGTACTACGAAAATGCCCACTTATCCTTTCGGTAAGATCCACTCTTTTTTTTTGTGGCAATAGACTCATTTTTTCTATCATAGATGTTAGTCAATTTGCAGATGCATGCGGTGTAGACCTGACAAATTCAGCTGTTTCTAGTACATTTAAAAGCCTAGTGAATGTACCAGAGTTCGCTATCTTTAAGTTGATTGTTTTGATCATGCCAGCTGCTGTTCTTGCCTTTATTGCATTTGCCTGTAAGTGTAATTTCATTTTTTAAATTATATATAAATTGATTTAAATTTGGCGCCAGGTACGTTATTTGTTCGCCGACACAGAAGCAGTAATGTCATCCCATTCATTGGTATATTTGCATCATTACTCAGTTTCCTTACTGGAGCAGCTGGTCTCGCTCTTGTGATTGTTACTTTCTGGAAAGGTCTTAATGTCTTGGAGAAGAACATAGAAGGATTGTCTCATCAATGGGGTCCTTCTATCTATCTTGTTGGTGTTGGTTCTGGTTGTATCTTATTTACTTTGGTTTGCTTCACAATCAGTATATTCAGCCGCCGTCCTGATAGTTACGACAAAGAAACAATTCGAATGGACGATTATAATGATAAGAATGTACAAGTTCACGCTATTGCAGCAAACAATGTTGCCTACGATGCTTCAGCTACAGCCTACTTAAACACACCTGCAAAGCGAGATAGTTTCGAATATAATAATCAAGCTACATCTCCTAAAAGTCCAGCCTATCCTTCGTATTATCAACAAGCGAATTATCAACAAGAACCACAGAGTGGCTGCCAACCAGCCATGTATCAACCACAGGTTGAATATAATCTCCAAGATGTTTACAACGCATATGAACAACGTGATGCTTATAAAAAGCAAGACATGTATAATCCACAAGACAATTACAATCATCAAGATGTTTATAATAGTCCACAAGCTCAATATAAACAAGCAGACCATTATGATGCTTATGCTGGGCAGGATACATACCAACAAGATAACTATCATTCACCCAATGCTTATTCACAACCTCATGAAGCCTATCAACAACAAGGCAGTTATTATCATCAAAATACTTACAAGCAGCAGCATAATGCTAATTATTTTTAGCCACTTACATCTGTGATTCATGCAGTAAAGCCTTGCCATATAATTAAATAAACAAATATGTAATATCTAATTAATTTTAGCCTGTGTACGCATATAGCATAACAAGGAGAATCTCCTCTTTTTCTGACTACAGAAAAATATTTTTGACCTAATAATTCTCTACGCCAATGTCTATTAAGAATTTTTTAGTTGTACGAGGGAATGTTGAGTGATACAACTCTCTTGGAGTCAGTTTGTGCTTCCATTTACAAGACAAAAGCACTTGTCGACAATACACTAATGTTCTCTACAAATTTATCAAATAATTTGGAACTTGATTTAAGCACTCTGTAGTCACAACAAAAGAAAAAGAAAAAGCAATACATTGTCTTCAAGTAGATAATAAATGCTTATAAGGACTTTGTATTTCTTTGAAATCGTATTCAATGTATACATGATCTAACCATCAAACCTCTAAAATCGTTCAATGTAAGCATTATTTTTGTTGGGTTATTTTCTTATTTTGACTGTAAAGTCCCTAAGCAAGTTTGATACAAAGACAGCCGTCAGACTTGGTCTATATTAATAGGAACAATCAAACCCTTATTTTTTTCTCATCACAATCCTTTCGTGTAACTCGATATTAAGGAAAGACTAATGATCATCCCTTTTTCTCTTTCCCCTATTTTTTTTTCTTTCGTATTCTGTTCTCTTTACATAGTCCTTTTTTATTTTTGTCGCATCATTTGTTATCATTTACCTTCCTTACTCCTGTTTCATTCCTTTAAACAATGGATTCACCAAAACAAAGTATTTCTCTCAAGACAACAATTGCATCCCGAAGAGTTGTGCCTCAAAAAACACCATTGACCCTGTCCATTAATACAAGAAACAGTCAATCTGCCACAACAGCAGCAAGGCATTGTCAAGCAACAGCTCCTGCCTTGAATGCATCGAATCACTCAAGCATGAGTCCCGAGGAGCTTTCCTCCAAAATAGCAGATAGCTTTCAACAATTTTCAAACATGCTTACTCAACTATCCAAAAACAAGCCTTATAATGCTTCTATTATACCAACCGATACAAACAGTAACACACCAACAAAGCATCGGAAAGAGACCCGACCTCCAACTGAACACAGTGCAACAGTAAGCAAAAAGGAACCCGTCACTATGCATCAGGTTCCTTCCATTCCCCACACCAAAGAAAAACAAGACAAGCGTATTGAAAAAGAAGCCTTTTTTGATGATATTTCAGACAATCTGAACGCAGGCAACACGAAACTCCGCCATTGTCTCATTATCAAGTGGCTCAACCGCGCTGCTACCTTGGGAGACATTAAAATCATGCAAGATGTACTTGGGAAAGCAGAGATTGACATCAATGCAACAGATGACAAGGACACGGGTATCAATGCTCTTATGTATGCTGCTTATTTTGGACACGTCGAATGTACCAAGTTGTTGTTGAAACAATCCAAACTTCAAATCAATTATCAAGATAAAAGTAAGCCAAATAAGAATAACCAAACATACTTATTCGCTGCATTAGGAGGATGGACTGCGCTTGTTTGGGCAGCTCATGGAAATCAGTCAGAGATTATACAACTATTATTAAGCCATGGTGCAAACAAGACCATCAGAATAAATGAAAACAAGACTATCTTTGAGTATTCTCTTTTACCATCCATTAAAGCCCTGCTAGAGCCTATTCCAAGACCTGACAACAAGAATGTCTATTCAATGACAGCGATATTCTCTCAACCTCCTATGTCGAAATCTGATGTTTTAACTGAGCCTCATAAGATAAACCCACTTTCTCATAGAACATGGAGCCCTTCACAAAAACCTGTTACACTGCCCGACTTTTCTCAACTCTTGCAGAACATTGAGCCCACAGAGCAAGACATTCAAGAGTGGGCAGCTTCTATCCAATCATTTACTACTTTTTCCTGGCATCAATGTCTACCTGACCAAATGTTCGTATTTAGCCAAGACGATATCAACATGATCTTGGACCATGCACTTACCATCAATGATCCTGAATCACTGGTCACGCAGGATTATGCAAGCCATGAAAGATGGCAGCCTGCTAATGTTATCTTCTTGAGTGCCCGGTTTGCACACTATTATTCAAGCAAAACTTTACTGAACACATTACTATCAACAGCAGCCACTAAAATGGCTCGCGTCATCAAGGCAGGTTCTCGCGAGACGCAAAGACTAGCGTATTGGATGGCAAATCTCTGTCAATTGACGAGTTACTTGAAGAAAGATCTAGGCTTATCTGTATCCACGTTAGAGATTCAAGAAGTGCTGTCTGAACTTATTTCGGAGACATATGCACTGTTTATTACTGAATCTCAAAAACGACTCAGCAAAATCTTGGAGGCATCGCTGATGGATTATGAGTCAATTCAAGAACTGGAGCAGGTTGATTTCGCTGATGATTGGTATCGATTCTTTAGGAGAAGTAGCGTTACAAGCACCAAATCGCTCGAGACAACCACGTCTACTGCAAGCGAAAGAAAAAATTCTACTGATTCTTGTTCAAGTATCTCTACAAAAGCAACTTCTTTATCTATGGATACTTCATCATTTGCCATGTCCCCTTATGCTGTTACAAGACTGATATCGCATCTTCAAAGCGTATTGCAGTCATATTATATTCCGCCCACCATTATGATTCAAGCAACAGCACAATTCTTTCATTATCTGTCTTGTGAGATATTCAATCGTATATTGACCAACAAAAAATACATGTGTCGATCCAGAGCCCTTCAGATCCGAATGAATCTCTCCATTTTGGAAGATTGGGTACGTGTCAGTAAACTTCCTCCAAGTCTTTGTCAATCCTTTGAACCACTTGTACAGCTGCTTCAATTACTTCAATGTCTTTCTCAAATAGACGATGTTGATATCTTTCACTCCACGGTTCAGTCTTTTGATCAATTGAATACGATGCAAATCAGACGATGCGTCCAACAATACCGCTACGAAATATCTGAAACTCCACTGTCAGAACAAGTGTTGCAATACGCAAACCAACTTGTGTTTGAGAACCAGCAGCCGTCCTCGATTGACGCTGTTCCCCAAAAGGCAACGAGACGGCCAAATAGTATTTATAGCCTAAATTGTTTGCTTGGTACAGTATCCAACAAAAGAAGATTATCGAATGAAGACATAACCTCTCTACAACAACAGCAAGCACAACAAAAAGAAGAAGAAGAAGAAATAACAGCCAATGAACAAGAAAAGAGAAATTCTAAATATTTGCTGCCATTCTCTTTATCTACCACTACTGCATTATTACGTGATTGGACACATGAGCAACATAAAAAGCTTGATCAAGTTGTGAGCCATGATATCTTATTATATTCTGACGCTATATACAAAGACATTAAGCTTAAAAGGCAAGAGCGATTCAATCGACTAGACAAAATCTGTCCTGTGATCGCTGAGGAATGGCTATATTTGTTAGACAAAAAACTACGTATTCGATCATAGTGTCGACTGAACTGGGAAATGCTTGCATGAATGAACAAAATCACACAGTACTGAATTAGGCAAAATGCATCATTTTTTATTATTTATAATGTCTTGGATTGTGTTTAAATAAATTACTGGTATTACTACTACTACTACTACTACTGCTGCTGCTGCTAGTGCTTATGCTTAGTATGCTTGGTCTATTGCTTTTACATGTTGTTGGAAATGGGTCTTCAATCTCAAATAAAAACGATTTCCTTGAGTGTCCTGTACGAGGCATCGCAATCGTCGTCAATTCTTCTTTTGAAGAATCCTTTAAAAAATGCTCAAATTCTGGAAATTTATACCCGAGTGATGGGTGGTGATTAAGTGCATCTGACCTCAAGCATTTCTCTGAACAATATAGCGAATCCTGTTCAACATAAGCATACGCAAATTCAATGCTTGTGTACCTACTGACGATGGACTAATGGCATTATCGCAATGTGTGCACCAATTCAAGTCTGACATGTTTAAAATCATAAAAAGAAAAAAAAAAAAAAGAAACAAAGATACGAGGAAATGATGATCGTTATTTTATTTGGCTGAACCAAACAAAACCAATAGAATGCACATGAGCCCTGAGCAACTTGGTCTCATTGAATCATCGCTTTTACAGTGGGTTTCACTTAAAGGAGTATCATTTCATCTTCACTGTCCGTATTGTCTTCTGCAAGGATACTTAGGCGATGTCGAGTGAAAGCAGCAATCATACTCTGAGTAACATAAATGTCAGTGCCACTGTTTCTGCTTGCTTCACGATTTGACCTGATAATATCTTGTGCTTCATACATGTGTGAAGAAGTAGAATAGGATCCAGGAAGATGAGGCTCTTTGATGCGCGATGATGAAAAGGGCCGAGAAGTAGGTGTAAATATCTTTGTAGTCGAATCTATACCAGATACAGCCAGAATTGGTAGTGTGGGATGTCCTTTAACAACATTCACCACTTCTTCATCTGCATGCAAAATCTCTACCAGTTTTGTCGTCTTTTTATCCCAAATAAACAGATAACCGCCATCGCTTCCAGACACAATGTACTCATCATGACGACCATAGAAATTCACATCTTTGATAGTCTATATAGCAAATCAATAAACACCTAGAGAAGCCTTTTTTTTTACCTCAATATTTAAATGACCACCGTATTTTGCTCTTGGTTTGACTACACCTACATCAGTTTCAAATGAGGTTTGTCTGTATTTGCGTAAAGCATCAATTTCATCAAAATCCAAGTCAAAAGAATCACTATCATCATCGTCATCTTGATCATTATAGAGATCTGTGTTATCACTGTCTAGTCTTCTGAATATATTTAAGAACTCTTGTGAAGCAAGAAATGTCGCTCCACCTAAATCATTTGAATCGTCATTGGATATTGAATTGCTGCTGTTACTATTACTACTGCTACTGCTACTACTGCTACTACTACTACTACTACCATTGCTATGATGACTTTCATTGTCTTCTTCAATATCAGATATTGTTGTCGTCATAGCTCTTTGTGAAGTAACAAACGATCGTATTTGTTCAGTGTTGTATTGAGTAATGTACATGTACTCTGCCCATTTATAAGAGTCTTCTTGATCTTGTGCATTGTTTGTGCCAGCAGTATCGCTTAATTCACGAGCACCAACAATTAGCAAATCAATAAGAAACATACGCATCAATTCCCAATAGACAGAATCAAGTTGATCGATGGCTAAGGATGCTGTAGACTCTCTACTTTGTTGCATAAATATCCTTCTTGCTTTCTCAATAAAATGCAGGCTCTTTTCTAAATACCAGGATCGATTGGCACCAGCAATAGAACGGCTGCCTCCTCTTGCTGTCCAATAACCCACAGCCAGACACCAAGCACCTTGCCAACCTGGTATTGTATTGACTAACTCTTCTGCCTCTTTCAACAATTCTTGTGTGGTTTCTAATTCATGACTAAAGAAATACTGATTCCAGTCTTCTTCAGGGTCTTGTAGATGGTCAAAAAACCAGTTGTCTCGATCCAACCGTTGAGAGAAATGAGCAGCGACAATCATGAGCAAAGTACATGTTTCACCAATCACAGAATCTAGCAAAGACCTTTGCTGTGTATTGCTTTTGATGTGTTGGAGTAAATCGTTGGATGCGTTGAGTGCAGCATGGTTTTGTCTTTGTTTGATACGACGAACGACTGTTTTCCATAAGGATTTTCTCTGTTTTATATTGTCTGTATCGTCTATGGATAAGGACGGACGTGATGAACTTTGAAGTGTCTCTGTTTGATTTGATGATCCTACGGGTGAATCATGTATATTGAACAGATAGACACCATCAGAAGACCAGCTACCAATAAGCTATAGCATGTTAAAATAAGCCTACAAGACAATAACAACAACTTACTTCATAGCCATTTGAATCACTAAATTTACAAGCTGTGATGTGTTTGTTGAGTCGATTGACACCATCCAACCGAGGTGAAAATCGTTTAATGCATCTGGATGCCTTGAGCACATTGCCAGTGGAAGCAAAAGAAGACGAGGAAGAAGTCAGCATGCGTCGATCATGAAGAAAGATATAGTCGTTCATGCCAGCCAAAGCAAAATAATGAGGGTATAGTTTGGAGATAGACATGCTGTTTAATTCAATCTTGAATTTACTGTAATCAACCACAGGCGGGAAACAGCCATAGTACAGCTCACTTGTTCTTGGGAGTGGGTGTTGTTTTGCTGGCTTACTTATGCCTGTAATAAATGACCTGACATTATGAGGTGAACACATATGTGGTGTACGAAGATCAAAGTGTCTGACAGTACCTAACAAAGAAAGGAGAGAAAAAAAAAGGTGAGTCTCTAAACACACTATGGCAATTGAATATACCATCTTGTGAACATGTAAAGAATTCAAAAGGGTTATCGGGTAATGTACATATCCTCTTGAGTTGATCACTATGGCAAGCATACATGCTGTCAAGTGGTGACTGCGGATGGGTTAGATCAAAGATACGAAGTTCTGCATCACCGGCGCCTGAAAGTACAATTCGATTTGAGGTCTGAGGCATGAATTTCGCAGTAAAGATATTGGCTGAATGCCCTAAACAGCAAGTCAATAAAATACATACTGATTGAATGGTATTGTCCTTTACCAGTCTCAATGGTTTTTACAATCTGATAGTCATTAAAAGTAGAATAAATATTGAGTCTTGTATCATCAGAGCCTGTCAAGAGTAAATCTCCTGAAGCTGACCAACTAGAATAGATAAGCATAACATTTATTTAAAAATAAGACATACTCTAGTGTATTTATGCATCCTTCATGACCAGGCAGTTCTCTTTCAAGTGTCATATGAGACACTATGTATTTATCAGAATACACTTGCTCATCTACCATAGTATGTTAACCTACAATAGAGAAAAAGAACAAAATATCATACCAAAACAGGTTTTATGTCCAAATACTCTTCTTTGTTGAATATGCTTTTGAAGGTGAATTGACATTGAAGAAGATACAAGAAAAGAAAGAAAGAAAGAAAAAGAAAATACATCAAAAAAAAACAAGATGACGCAAACAAAGGAAATTCATGCATACTAGTTTCAAGCCAATTTAAGCTCTGTCAAGCGAGTTTGTCGAAAGTAGTCTGTAGTTGCACTTTAGACTCTTGCTTCTCTCTCTTTTCATGCTTTCCCCTCTTGTTTATATATATATATATATATATCAAAGTCCTTATAAAGCATGAATATCGCTGATTCAAACACATTTGCCATTTAAAGGACAGAGGTTGAAACACGCTCTCCTTTTCTTTCCCTTATTATTATTTTTTCTTGAAAACATGTCTTTAGCGCAGTGGAGACAGTTCAACTTTTTTGATAAGCAACATGCAACAGATCCTGTCGAGAAAGGACAAACACCCGCTGTATTTCAAGTAAGAGATTGCTTTGCTCATTCTTCATCTCATGTCTTTATAAGAAACAAGATATTGCTGTATTTGCTACAGGACGTGGTCATATTGCTTTAGCAGATATCCTTTTTTATACATATAAAAAGAGACATACTCATACATTTAAATATTTCATCCTTGACTCTTCTTCATACATTCTACAGGTAGTGTTTATATTGTAGACCGTTCTTTCAAGACACAAAAGTTCCTGGCTTATGATGGTGGTCGAGTAACTCATTTGAAGCAACTCAAACAAAAGAATGTGCTTGTCACTATTGGTGTAAGTTACTCAACGTACAAGCACATCCATTAAGACGAGTTTCTTAGGAAGAAGATACGATATCAAGTATCCCAGTCATCAAATTTTGGGATTTGGATGCTTTAAAGCCTATTGAAGGAGCAGACGATATTATTGTGCCTACTTTGTTACGCACGATTAGAATACAACATGGAGGAAAGACATATCCAGTGTCTACATTTGCCATATTAGAAAACATGTCTCAATTAGCCATTGGGTTAGCCAATGGTGTTGTCATTTTGATTCGTGGTGATCTCTCTAAAGACAAGACAACCAAGCAAAAAGTAATCTATGAAGGACAGGAGCCCATTACAGGCCTTGGATTTCGAGAACAGACCAAGTCAACCATTTTGTTTATTGTGACCACAAGCAGTATCATGTCTTACAACACAACAGCAGTAAAGCCAACAGTGACTGTCTTGGATGAACAGGGTTGTGGGTTAGGCTGTGCTGTCATGAACGATCAACAAGAGATGGTGGTTGGACGTGATGAAGCTATTTATCTCTATGATCCTACAGGCAGAGGTCCTTGTTTTGCGTATGATACACCCAAGTCTTCTTTGACTTGGTTTAAGTCGAATTATTTGGTCATTGTGTCCCCGCCTGTCATGACCTCTGCTCAGCTCTCCAGTGGTGCTCGAGCATCCCTCAGTTTAAATGCTAAACGCTCTTCTACAAATGAATTGACTAAGATTGCTATTTTTGATACAGCCAACAAATTTGTAGCCTACGTAGGTACTTTCCTTGGTGGTATTCGTGGTGTCTTTTGTGAATGGAACTCTATTTGGATTGTAGGCACAGATGGCAAGGTAAGGACATACGTATGATTCGGTTTCTGTACTCTGACTCGTACAACAAGCTCTATCATTTAGATGAAAAAGATACACCCACAAAACTAGAAATCTTGTTTAAAATGAACTTATATGTATTAGCTATCAATTTGGCGCATACTCAAAAGTACGATGATATCAGTATTGCAGAGATATTCAAGAAATATGGTGATCACTTGTACAATAAGGGTGATTATGATGGATCCATGGAGCAGTATATCAGAACCATTGGTCAACTTGAACCCTCTTATGTGATAAGAAAGGTTAAAAAAAAAAAAGACAATGCGTTATTGAGTCACTGACTGTTGTGTATAGTTTTTGGATGCTCAAAGAATTTATAATTTGACAAATTATTTACAAGAATTACACTCCAAGGGATTAGCCAATGCAGATCACACTACGTTATTGTTGAATTGTTACACTAAACTGAAGGATGTGTCTAGACTGGATCAGTTTATCAAGGTAAACTACATAGAGAAAAAGATTGCGTATATTTATCATGAATAGACCGATACAGATTTGAATTTTGATTTGGAAACAGCGATTACTGTCTGTAGACAAGCAGGCTATTTTGAACATGCTGTCTATCTTGCTGAGAAATTTCAAGAACATGACATGTACCTTGATATCATGATTGAGGATATGCAGAAATACGATACAGCATTGGCTTATATACATAAACTCGGTCCTTATGAAGCTGACAGAAACTTACAGAAATACAGTAAAACCCTTCTAAGCCAATTGCCTGAACAAACAACCCAATTATTGATTGAATTATGCACGGGTCTTCTTCCACTTGCTACCAATCCCACCAATGGTGGTCCTATGTCACCTGCGCCTAGCGATAATACACGGGCGCTTTCTAATTTACCCTTTGGTGGTCCTGGTGCTGGTGATACTGCCTCTATCTTCTCAGAAAGCAGTACATTACAGAACACGATACCTTCATTAAACAAGATAGTACAGAACAAGCGTACTTCTTCTTCAGGTCGTCTTAGCTACTCCCCACCTTCACCACGCAAATTTATGCCTGCCTTTGTAGACCGACCTGATTGCCTTACACTCTTTTTGGAAGCCGTGTTTGAGAAGCTATGGGGAAATCAAGGAGAATCACCTGTGCCTGAAGCCAACGGGAAATCAGAAAAGACACGGTCATTAGGGGAACAAGAAGAACGCAAAACGATCTGGAACACACTTTTGGAACTGTATTTGATGGATCAGACAGAATCCACAAGAGAACCTACATCTGCAAGAGACAGACAACGTCGTCAACGTGAGTGTCGTCAAAAGGCTTTATCGTTACTCCATGATGAGTCTGTGCAGTATGATACGAATCAAGCACTTGTGCTTTGCCAACTCAAGCAGTTTGACGAAGGCATTGTTTATCTGTATGAAAAGACAGGCATGTATACAGACATTTTGAGACATTGGATGGATAAAGGACATACAGATCGTGTGATTGAAGGTGTTCGTAAATACGGGTAAGAAAGGCGCCACAAAATGTCTATGCTGATCCCTTTTTTCTTTAGGCCAAAAGATCCTTCCTTGTACCCTATGGTATTGACTTACTTTTCATCTTCATCTGAAGTAATGGCTAAATCAACACAAGAACTATTGTCTGTGATGAGACATATTGATGAAAAGGATTTATTGCCTCCTATTCAAGTCATTCAAGCCTTGTCAAGATCCAATGTAGCCACTATTGGCTTAATTAATGGCTATATTGGTAAAAAAATTGAACATGAACGACAAGAACTTAAGCAGGTAAACAGAGAGAGAGAGAGAGAGAGAGAGAGAGAGAGAGAGAGAGAGAGAGAGAGAGAGAGAGAGAGAGAGAGAGAGAGAGAGAGAGAGAGAGAGAGAGAGAGAGAGAGAGAGAGAGAGAGAGAGAGAGAGAGAGAGAGAGAGAGAGAGAGAGAGAGAGAGAGAGAAAGTAGATGAATAATACTTAATCCTGTTTAGAATGAGGAATTGATTGAAAGCTATCGACAAGAAACTGAAAAAGAAGAAAAGAGATTGAAGAATTACAAACAAGTGCTCGTATTTTTCAAGTTCAGAAATGCTCAGGTTGTGAAGGCAATTTAGATCTTCCTGCTATCCACTTTTTATGTCGACATTCATTCCATCAAAGGTATTGTATGCTTGAATAATGATCATTATGTGCTGATATGCATTGAGTAGGTGTCTTGGTGATAATGATAGAGAATGTCCTCAATGTGCTATTGAACACCGTATGATTGGTGAAATCAGAAGGACACAAGAAGCAAATGCTGATAGACATGACCTGTTCTTTGATCAGTTGGATCAAGAAGAAGATGGCTTTGAAGTCATTGCTGATTATTTTTCAAAGAATACCATGGCTTTTGCCAAACTTATTGATTAAAAAAAAATTAGGCTCTTTTTTCTTATATTTGAATCGCATGTTCTCTACCACTTTCATAGAAAAATGAAGAAGATTCAGTAGTATTGACTACTAATTTCCTCATGAAACAAATAGATAAAAATAACGAAAATAGCGTGTGTCACACAATAAAACGTAATGGCCGTTTGTGGATATGTATTTTTTTTTTTATAATTATGAAATGAGATTATTTACATGCCGTCCATTTGGCCTTCCAACTCGTCCATTTCGGACTTGGCAGCTTGATACTTGGTTTCCAATTCAGCATTCTTCTTGTCCCAAGTAGCGATTTCTTGTTCAATCTTGACAGCCTTCTTGCTAAGTTGTTCAGCACGTAAATCAGCTTCACGGAAACTATAATAGGATAAAAGTTAGATTCTATCCTTTCCTTTTCTCTCTGTCTCTCTCTCGATATAAACACAACTTACTCAGTAGTAGCTTGCTTCAAGTTGGCTTCAGCAGATTCAAGTGATTCTTCCAATTCCTTGGCGCGGATTTGAAGAGCACTTAATTCTTCATCCTTTTGATCATGCTCAGCCTCGAGTTGCTTACACTTTTCTTCTAAATCTTGAGCGCGTTTAGTAGCAGTATCAACTTCAGTACGAAGGGTAGCGAGTTTCTAAGTCACAGTTTAGCTTTATTTCTTTATTGCTTGTGTTATCGCTTACCTCCTTGAACTTTTCCATGGTTGTGTTTATATGAAATGAAAATAAAGAAGAAAAAAAAATGAAAAAAAAGGGGAAGAGAGCTATTAAATACTTGTTCGGGCTTGTAATAAAAATGTGATGGTTTCCTATTTTACAAATATTGGCACACTACGTTTATCTTTTGATTGGTTACCCTTCTCTTCTCTTTACACGCCCAACCAAACATCTCACAAAGAAGGAAATTTAGCAGGGTCTAAAGTCTTTAGTCTTTTTCTCTTTTCTTGAACTTTTTTTTTTTTTTTTTTTTTTTTTTTTTTTTTTTTTTTTTGCTGTTGTTAGAAGTGAAAACAAGGATTCAACAATAGAGTAACTACTCCCAAAGAATAACTTTTTTCAAATGTAAAGGTAATCAATTTGAAGTTTAGAGAAACAGGATTTTATTCTGTAAATCAACAAAGGACTTTTAATCGCTGTATGTTTTTTGCATGGAGTTCTGCCTTGTTTAGTGAATTGAAAATGAACCAAAAGACTGTCATTTCATCCGTCAGTTCATCCAAAGAGATTGGCTGAAACACATCAGATTTTATCAAGTAACAGTCTACTGCGTGCATGCGTCTGCTTTCCAGAATAACACAAAATGCCCCTCGCTTGTCACTTGCACGAGTTTGTTGGTGTGCCGAAATATCAAACTCAAAACAGGTTAAATCTAGACAAGACAAGTCATACTTGTGATGCGTGAAGCAGTTCATCAGGGATAATTGCTTGATGTGAGGGTGTCGAGTAGCAATGGTCTGTAGTGTATCTGGTGGAATCATTACGCCTTCTAATGTGAGTGAAGTTAAACCACCCGCTTGCACTGTGTCTGATAAAACTAAGGGAGGATACAACGTGGCAGGATCGTCAAAGAGATAGGCACGTGGTGAAGTGATTGCCTTGATATCAAGCGAGTTTAGAGTGGGACAGAGACGAAGGACCGAACCTATGTCTGTAATTGTCGTTTGGCCCTTTTGTGTACTATGTACTATTTTTAAGGTTTTCAGACGTGCACCATAGGATCGCAAATGCCCTAGATAAGGAAAGTCCATCATGTCGTGTAGCAGACTAAAGTCTCTGATAAACACAAACTTCAGCTTGACTTGTTCTTTCTCCCTTTTGAGATCCATTTGTGTTAATTCTGTTCGACCATCATGCACATCAAAACAAGCAGTGGCCAAAGCACAAGTGATGATGTGAGCACAATAATACGGTACAAACGTGTCCAGATAAGACGGATGATTAACCCAGAATATCAAGTGTGAATAGTCCAATTGTTTGACAAATTGAATAAACTCTTTTCCAAAAAAGCTTAATGTACTAGCCACATTATCACCTGTGTTTTCTTGCTTCCATCTCCGCTGTTGTTCAGCATCATTCTGGTTCACTTGGAGAACAAGTTTGTTTAGATTCTGGAATCGACAAGTAATGTATTTTAATGCTTCAAGTGACAAGTGAGGCAAAAATAAGCTTAGGTTACGCAGAGTAGGATAAAGCGAAAGCTGAGGCACCGTATGATTCTCGAAAAAGGGGTGATCCAGCTGATAGTCCAATGTCTCCAGTTGACTGCACACCTCCAACAAACGATGAAAATAGATGATGTCTCGTTGACTTCCACTCTTAATGGAGAGATGCGTTAGACTTGAGAACCCACTCAAGTAACAAACTAAGTTGTCAAATTCCTCACGAATACTTTGATCACATGAACAGTGAATCTCCAGTTCCTTAAGACTAGACCTGTGTTGATGTGCAACCTTGTAGAAATAGTTTTCATCGGAGCGTTTGATACCATAAGAGACCAGTTTATGTAAACCACGCAGATCAAGTTCATACAGATATCTCCAATATACTGAATTGGTCATCATTTCAATGTGTTGCAAGCGAGGACATGATTCTATTAATTGCTTAAATTCCTCTTTTGTGGTGGATGCCTGCTTGTATCCTCTATAGTGTTCTGTCTTGCGACGGATATGAAGCGATTGAATGATATGACCAATAGCAAAGAAAGGACTTTTTTCTAGGCATTCAATGAGCTGAATGACATTGCTTGATTTGTCGTCATCTCCTATAATAACATGGCGATAATATGTCTGTGCAAGTGTATAATACCATGATTTGCAGACTTTGAGACAAGCACACTGCGAGCTCTTTGTTAAATAACTGAATATGCTTGACAGCAACTCAGGAGGAAAATGTGATATGGAAGAGTTCATGAATAATACTTGAGAAAAAAAAAAAAAAAAGAAAGTGAGAGAGAAAGGACTTCTAGGTGTGATTCATGCAGATGTATATCTATGGGATAATTTGAAATTTTCGTTAATAATTTCTGTGGTAGTACAACACTATTCTTGTTACTGAGGCGCAGAATTATACAAAATACGATACATATCCCTTTGTTTACAGGAATCACTCCTTGTTCGCTTATATGAATCTGAACGTATGAACAGTTAAGGCAAAACGGTTGACTTGATTCTAAAAGACAATCTTAACTTGAAAGAAGCTAAATTTATAAGCTATTTGTAAGCTTAAGGATGGACTCAGAACTCTCTCACATACAAAAAAGAAAGTGCACCGTATGGCATTGATTTTTGCTAAATCGAGAACTGTTTGTGGCTTTTGATGGTAGAATCAATCAGTAAAGTTGACCAAAGAATGTATCAAGCAAGTTCTGAATGGCCTGCTTTATCATGTAGACATCAGTGACCTACCTATGTATCAAATACAAAAGGAAAACTAATGCTGTTTCTTATGTTTAAGGCAACCTTGCAGGGAACAGAAATAAGGAAAAAGAGGGGACATGATGTAAGTCAGACTAATCTTCCTATTCGATCAAAGCTTGACTTGCTCACAGTAAATAGCATATCTTTAGTGATCAATCCTTTCCCTACGTTAGAAGACTCTTTTGCATGACAATCCATAAAAAGATCAAACTCAGTCCATCGTCACAAAGAGCAGTCCTCATATATTCTGTCAGAAAAAATCAAACTGAAAATCTTTTGCATTTCTTGTTCCAACTATGGCAGCCAAACTTAGACAAAAGAAACTCGATGCTATTGCTGCTGCTGCTATGCCTCCCGGGCAGAAAGTAGTAGCTCAGTTCAAGACTGCCGAAGGAGAGTCCACAGGTCCCCCACTCCAACTTCCTGGTGACGCTACTCCTGAACAACTCGAATTACTCTTGAACCAACTGTTAAACCAAGTAAGTTTGTTATTTCAAAAAAAAAGTATTTTATAAACTCACATGCTATAGGGTGAAGATCCTCTTCCTTATTCTTTCCATGTGGGTGAAGACGAGATCATAAAGAACCTCTGGGTAGATCGTAAAGACAAGTCAACCGAAGAGACACTGACGATTGTCTATCAACCTCAAGCCATTTTCAGAGTAAGAGCAGTTTCTCGTTGTACTTCTACTTTATCTGGACATACAGAAGCAGTTCTATCCTGTGCATTTAGTCCTGATGGCAGCCAATTAGCAACAGGCTCAGGCGATTGTACTGTCCGTATCTGGGATTTGAATACAGAAACACCTCGTTATACACTCAAGGGACACAGTGGCTGGGTCTTGTTTATTGCATGGTCTCCTGATGGTTCTATTTTGGCTTCAGGCAGTATGGACAACACAGTCAGATTATGGGATCCCAAGACAGGCAAACAACTCGGTGATGGTTTAAAGGGACATCGTAAATGGATTACTAGTTTAGCTTGGGAACCTTATCACTTGAATTCAAAAGTGAATCGTCTTGCTAGTTCTTCAAAAGATCATACTGTTCGTGTCTGGAACACATCATTAAGAAAGATGGAATTCTGTATTGCTCAACACACAGCAGCCGTTACATGTGTCAAGTGGAGTGGTGAAGGTTTGATTTACACAGCTTCTCAAGACAAGACAATCAAGGTATGGAATTCATCGGGTATGCTTGTCAAGACGCTTGAAGGACATGGTCATTGGGTCAACACATTAGCTCTCAGCACAGATTTTGCACTTCGTACAGGTCCCTTTGATCATACAGGCAAGCGCCACAAGACTGAAGAGGAAGCTAAGGCTGCTGCTCTTGCAAGATATAATACACACAAGGGCAAAGGTGCTGAAAGACTTGTGTCTGGTTCTGATGATTTCACCATGTTTTATTGGGAACCTGAGAAGAGCAAAAAGCCAGTGACTCGGATGACTGGTCACCAGAAGCTAGTGAATCATGTTGCATTTTCCCCTGATGGTCGCTACATTGCCAGTGCTTCTTTTGATAACTCAGTGAAGCTCTGGGACGGTACTACGGGTAAATTCCTTGGTAACTTAAGAGGCCATGTTGGTGCTGTATACCAAGTCAGTTGGTCTAGTGATTCCCGTATGTTGATCAGTTCAAGTAAAGACAGTACACTCAAGATTTGGGATATTAAGAAAATGAAGATCAAGATGGATTTACCCGGTCATTTAGACGAAGTGTTTGCTGTTGATTGGTCTCCTGGAGGTGACAAAGTTGCCAGTGGTGGCAAAGATAAACAACTCAAGATTTGGAGACATTAAGTTCATTTGTACATTATTCAATAAATCATTACTTTTTTATTATTACTATTACTATTCTAAACGGTATCTACAGTGATATCTTGCTTTTGTTTCTTGGCAAGGGCTCTTTCTTTAGCTTCAGCATGTCTCTTTTTATCATTTTCGGATTGCTCTTTTCTCTTTTCAGGTGTGTTTTCATCATTCTCTGGGAGTTTTGGTCGAATATGAGGTTGGCATCTCCAATAAGCATATTGTCGGATGCCATCTTCGTTAGGCTCTCCTTGTTTTGGCTCTCCCTTTTCTTCAATGACCTTCAAAACTTGTTCTTTCAGTTCGGCAACTACCTGCAAATAGTCATCCAATGTACGAGCTCTTCCTAATTGAGATCGCTTTTCAACATGATGAGGTAAAGTAGGATGCAAAATCTTGAACAAATGTGCCTTGATGGAGCTTCCTCCAGTCTTAACAGTCTTACAGATATCAAGATATTCTTGAGCAATGTCAAAAGTGTAAGGAGGTGTCTTGATCTCCTTTGAAAAAATAGTAGGATTGTACAGACTACCTTCAGCAGTCATGACAGCATCAACGCCTGTATAATCAATGCAACGTTGAATGTCATCATGGTACAGAATATTGCCATTGGCCACTACAGGAATCTTGAGTGCTTGTTTGACAGCCTTGATCTTATCCCAGTCTGCCAAACCGGTGTTTTGTCCTTTCTGTTCTCTCAATCTACCATGTACTGTCAACATTTGTGCACCAGCAGCTTCAATCATTTTAGCGTATTCAATGGTTTTTTCAACTGTGGGGAAACAACGGATCTTGACAGTGACAGGCACAGCCAGTTCCTTGTGCAACAGACTGACCATGCTGGCAATCAAGTCCCATTCATCCTGTAAGAATGAGCCATAATGTCCTTTTCTAGCAATGCCCTGAGGACAACCCAAATTCAAATCAACAGCATCACAATCGTTTTCTACAAGCTTAGCTGCTCTTAAAAGGATTTCAGGATCATTGGCACAAAACTGTCGAAAAAAAAGAAGTCAGGCACAAAATCAACATCCAATTTATCAGCTTACTTGAACAATTAATGGTCTATCTTGTTCGTTTGTTGTGAATTGATCATCTCGGTACTTTTTGCTTTCGTGAAAGAGTCTGGCATGGAACATGGGGGTCACACAGACATCAGCTCCATATCGTCTAGTCAAGATTCTGAAAGCAAGTTCAGACTGATCAACCATTGGAGCCAAGATAGTCTTGGGTGCCTTTAAGGTCTTGTTGAAAAAGCCATAACCTTCTAACTTTACAGGTGCCATAGTTTGGTTTAGTCTTAGAAAAAAACTTTTTTTTTCTTGTTTGTGCTTCTTTTGAAACTAGAAACAAGTCACTCTGTCAGATTGAATCAAGACCAATCATAGTATGTGTACTCCTTTGGAATTGACAATGCCAATATATCTCAAAAGGGAATCGTATGATTGTAGAAACAAATTGACAACTGAGCTGTTACACTTTGATGAGCTGTCTATTTGAAACCAAGGCGCTTCCTTAATAATGCCTATACAAGCAATTTCATTCGATAAAGTGCATGAATCAAGAATGGAAAACTACAAGACACATTTAAAACATCAAACTTATAAATGATCAGCATTTTACTTTTTTATTATTGATAGACAACAAATGTTTGTGGTAAACAAAACTTAATCTGCGCTCAAAATACGATGGGGAGGGATATTGTTTGATGTAGAGGGGACTTTGACGTGTAAGTTATTATGGCTTACTTGAATAAACAATAAAACAGAAAAAGAAATTGCCCTTTTTTTCTCTCTCTCTTAAAGACAGGAGATATGTTCTTTTTAAGATTTGGGATTATCATTTTGATTTCTCCTATACGTACTTGAGGCAGCAAAATGTGTAAAGATCAGTTTACCTCCTTTATATGTAAATTTATGTGTGTGTTCATGCTATCACAAGTGTATCCAACTTTTTTTTCTTATCCCTTTTTTTTTTTATAGAAAATGACTCCTTATATATATATATATATAAAACTAATGTCAATCAATCATTTTGTACTCGGAATTGAATTGTTTATGGACAATAAACAATAGTACGAGTATTAAATTGTTACATTTTTAATATTCTGCAAAAACTAGGCATTTTACATATTAATATAAATTTAGGTTTTCTCAAAAGAATGTTCGACTATATGCACTTGCACAAACAAAAAAGCGAAAAAAGAGAAAAGTAAAGGCAAATAGAGCAAGAAAAAAAAAGAAAGGACACAAAAGTCCCAACAGTGAACAAGCTTATACTTCTCTCTTTTTGAGAAGGGGAAAGAAGGTATATAAGTACAAACAAGCAATGAATAAAATGACTAAAGTTTTTTTTTTACAATTTTGTTTGACATGTAAGCTTACATATACATTAAAGGGATCTTAAACTATGATAATAATTTCTCTTGGCGATACTGTTGTATATGCCCAATCAAAATATACATGTATATATTCTAAACAAGGGTGTGGAGTATGCCACAGTGTATGCAATTACACAAAATATAGCATGACAAGACGGGGGAGGGGATGATATTTGGATTACACTACATAATCATAAACATATATACTATGGTTACAACTATTCAATTCAATAATAATAGTGGCAAAAAAAGGCAATAGAGTCATTTCTTTAGACCTTGAGACGTGCCCGATTAAAATCCAAAAGAAAAAAAAAGGGGTAGTAGTAAAAGAGATGGTAGACATAATGTCATTTTAAAGAGATCCATACTTATGTCATTGTAATGAACCGCTTTCGACTTTGGTCAACCGTATTAGGTTTAACTTTCTATCTCTCTGTTCTTGCAAAATACTCTACTGATAGAAAAAGACAAAAGAAGTCTCCTTTTTCCTATGAATTCTTTCTTTTTATATAATTCTCCTCATTATAGAAAAAAAACAACTCTTTCCCAACTATGTCTTTATCTCACATTCAAGAGTTAACGATTTTTTTTCTTTTTTCGTTTTTTATACCCCTTTCATGTGAGCAAATTCAAGTCGATCCCAAACCCCCTTTTTTGCCTGCCCCCCAAAAAGATTACAAGATGTGCAGCTAACCTATTTTTCTATTTTCCTTTTCTTCTTGTTCTTTTATAAAGTGAAAGAGATAAACATATAAATAAAACTTAAACCGGATGGCTATAAAAGATAAGCTTCTACGGAAACGCACTTTTTCTTCTTCTTCTTCTTCTCCTTCACTTTTCTTTGGATTGTTCAAATTAGCTATGAATGAGTCAAGACTAAAGACAAACTCTTCATTTGCTAGTGAAATAACAATACCAAGCAGTCCTTCCCATGTGAATAGAAAGAATACATTTCACCATCTATCTATACTGAAAAGTCTGCTACCATTGCTGAAAAACAACACTGTCGATTCAAATCATTTTTGATATCAGCAAAGAAAACCTTTTGGAATCTATTTCTAAAATATTGGTTTTTACTCGGTCTTGCTATTGCAATTATTCTGGCTATCTTCTTTCCCAATGTGGCTAGAAAAGGAGGATACATTCGTGCAGAATGGACTATCAAGTGGGGTAAGTTTTTGCTTATACATACAAAGTGTACTTATACATACTAGGTGCTGTCATTGTCATCTTTTTAATATCTGGACTATCACTTCGTACGAAAATTCTAGCCGAGACAATTTTGCGTGTTCGACTTCATTTATTGATCCAAATCATTAATCTCATTATTATTCCATTTACTGTTTATGGACTTGTTTTATTGTTCTTTAAGCTGCACATGGACATTAATTCTTTATTGCTTGTTGGTGTTGTTATTGCTGCTAGTACGCCGACCACTGTTTCATCAAATGTCGTAATGACGAAAAATGCTAATGGAAATGAAGCTTCAGGTACCCAGTTGTACAAACAAATAAACAGATTGACTAACTTGAAACGTATAGCATTGATGAATGCTGCATTAGGCAATGTTCTCGGTATTTTTGTTTCACCAGCACTTGTGTCTGCATTCCAAGGGCCTTTATTGGCTGCAACGCCCGAAGATGAGAGTGCAGCTCAAGCCGGTGGTTCGGTTGATTTTGTACAAGTATTGAAGCAACTAGGAGCCACTGTTCTAGCACCTCTTGTTGTAGGACAGATCATCCAGTGGTTCTTTACGGATGCTGTAGCGAAGATCAAGGTCAAGTGCCGACTTTCTGATGTCAGTAGCTTTATGCTCCTGACCATGGTCTGGTCTGTCTTTTCTGATGCGGTCTATTCTGGTTCATTCTCGGCAGTCAAGGCAAAAGATATCGCTGCTGTAGCTATCATGAACTTTGGATTCTATACACTCTTTTCATTTTTGTGTCTTGTGATGGCAAGATTGCCTTTACCTCGATGGATCAAGACACCTAATATCGTGAAACGTCTGCGTTATTCACGTGAAGATACTGTTGCCATTATGGTAAGATTCGTACTGATAACGATAACATGTATATTCATGATTATTGATAGTACTGCGGTGCAACCAAAACAGTAGCCATGGGCGTACCATTGATCAACGTACTCTATCAAAACGGCGATCCTGGTACTGTAGGTGTATTATCGACTCCTTTATTACTCTATCATGTTGAACAGTTGATTTTGGGTAACATCGAAGTCGAAATCCTCAAAAAATGGGTCAAACGAGGAAAAAAACCAGAAACTGAAGAACAAAACATGCCTAGCGATGAAGAAGCAAATCCTGCTGATATCTATGATAATGAAGTTACACACACTGCTTCTCAAGTCGCTCCTCATACTCGACATTCACCTTCACCCCTTTCTCAGCTACATTATTACGAAAAATAATTCTTCATCTTTATAGATCTTTTCGTATATATCTTATTCTTTATATATATAGTTGTCTACGTCCTCTTCTCTTTTTTATTTGTATAATTTTTTCTTTCTATTAAATATGCTTCAACTAATACAGTTTTCAAGCATGAGCATTGTATAATTTTAAATCAAACATTCTTCTTTACGCATATTCATTTGCCCATTGCTATACTCCTGGCTATTAGATATGTCAAATTGCAGTACTTTTTTTTATGTCAAGTATGAATGAAATACTCGGAATTTAGTAATACTCCTTTCAATCACCAATGCTACTGAATTAACCCCCCTGTGCTGCGTACAATTTTGAAAGCCAGTTGAAATATACTAGACAAAAAAAAAATGCGCTCATCTTTTTCTTTTCTATATATTATCATGACAGAATCAAAGCCTCCTACACGTGAAGAGAGAAAGCGTTGTTGGTTCTTGCGTGATCAGTATTTTGGCTGTCTCGACAAGCTCAATATTGCTGATCCTACCGTAATTGACAAGAATCCCGAGAAAGCAACCGAGTGTCTCGAGTTAAAGAAAGACTACGAAGAAGGTTGTATGGCTAGCTGGGTAAGTAGCTTGGTTACATATCGCATGAACTAACTTTGATTAGGTTGAATACTTCAACAAGCGTCGTGTATTGGATTTGCGGCAAAAACAGTATTTGGCACTTTCTCAACAACAATCTGCAAAATAGACAGAGAAAGAAATACCTTCTTGTATATATATTTATATGAAATAAAATCGTTTAAACAAGATATACATCTCAAGACTTGGATTTGATTCTTTTACTTTTCTTGCTTGACATGCGTCTTTCAATTTTTTTTGTACTCGCAGTAAACACTTGCTTGTTCATAGTTATTTTTTTCTTTTTATGCAATAATCTCTTGTGGAGCATTTCCAATATTATAAAGAAATTTAACTCAAGTACAGATTAGATTTATAGTTTTGATTATTGTATATTATGTTCAATACATGCATGCCAGTCAGCCTGAAAATATTACATTTCACAGTTCATTGTTACATTTGCTAAATACAGATTGTTTATTACAAAAAATTAGGACAATTAAATGAAGCTCATTTATTGGTCAACATGAACATCAAGATCAGGACCATTACTAAGAGGAACAACTTGAGTAGGATTGATTTGACGGTGTGACATGTAATAGTGGTTCTTGATATGAGTCATGTTTACAGTCTCATTTACACCGGGCTTTTGATAGATACGACGAGCCCATTCCAAAATGTTGGGATAGTTGTGTTCAATCGACTTCATGTTGCACTTGAAGTGACCAAAGTAAACGGGATCAAATCTGACAATAGTAGTAAACAAACGGATATCTGCTTCAGTGAAGGTATTTTGAATCAAGTACTTTTTGCCTTCAAGCATTTTTTCAACACGATCCAAAGATTCAAACAAGGGCTTAACGTTCTTTTCATAAGCAGTTTGTGTAGTAGCAAAACCAGACTTGTAGACACCATTGTTAATAGTATCATAGATCCATTCATTGTTTTCGTCGATTTCCTTGCGAAGCTCTTCAGGATAGTAGTTGAGCTTTGCGTGTTCTTCATCCAAAAAGCTGTTAAAAGCAGTGTTGAACATGCGAATGATTTCTGAACTTTCATTGTTGACAATTGTCTGGAGCTTCTTGTCCCAAAGAACAGGGACAGTAAAACGGCCTTCGTAGTCAGGATTTACTTTGAAATAGAGTTCACGAATGTATTGAGCATTATTGATAGTGTCAGGAATAGCACCGGGACATTCTTCAGCAGTAGAGAACTTCCATCCCTTATCCAACATCAAAAAGTCTACAGCAGAAAGACCAATCAGTTTGTCTAAACCTTTAAGTTTACGAACAATAGCTGTACGGTGAGCCTATTCATTGTATACTTTAGTATGAACGAAAACACGCGTAAAATAATGACTTACCCAAGGACAAGCCCAAGAGATATACAGATGATAACGATCACTATTCTATATCAACATTGATTGCTCTATGATGCTTTTAATACTTACGGTTCAGCAGCAAATTTGGCGTTTGGATCAGCTTCGATAGTATCACGGAAGACAGATTGTTGACGTCTGAATTCACCATCTTTTGAGGCCCAATTGAGAATAGCAGGTGAGTTAGTAGTAGACATGGTTTTCTTGAATAAAAAAGTGGATGTTTTTGTAAAAGTGTGTTTATGAACAAATACTTGAGAAAATAAAAAGTACATAAAGAAATATTTATATCCTTTTTGTATATGCATGTGTTGCATCATTTATAATTGTGGCGGACTGTGTAATTGCTGACAATTGAATGAATAATCAACACTGAACTGGCTTGTATGTCGGACAAACGAAATGCTCATCCCGATCGGGCATAAAAAAGCGATCTTAGTAAGCTTGACAAATGAAGCATTAGTCATATAAGTTGTTTGCTAGTATGCATCATTCTCTTTTATTATTATTTCATAGAAGCAGTAATAAAACAATCAAATTAGAAAATGGATGTTTAGTTTTCTTCACCCAAGTGAATGTTGCCTTCACGGCGAGACTTGTACCATCTCCATCCAGAGTAAGCTGCACCTGCAAGAATGGCTAAACCAACAAGCACACCGAGAACAATAAGCAAAATAGCCCACCAAGGCATACTATGACGATAGAATTCTTCTTTAGGAAGCAAGACATTATCGATCACAAGGACACCACCACTAGCAGAAGAGCGACCAATGTTAACAATGTTCGCACGGTCTTGAAGAGTGCCCTTGACTGCAACATCATATCCTCCTGAGATACCTCTACGGATGACAACATATTGACCATCAGATAAAGTAGGGATATCGACACCGATATAAGGAACATCTTTGGGAGATTCTTCATTCACGCTTGGGTTTGTTTGGAGGATTTCATCTGTGTTCAAGCGAGGCATTGAGACAGGAAGGATGTGTAATCTGGCTACCTTGATAAGTTTATCACGATTTTCAAGGAGATCTTCAAGGTTAATCTTTCCAAAAGCACGGTTACTTGGAGCCAAGATTGTATAAGGTTCATTGGGGTCTAATCCTTTCAGAATTTCTTCTTTGAGGTCAGCATGTTGTAAGAGATTCAATAAACTAGCAGTTCCTTCAGCAGTCAATAAGTCATAGTTGGTTACTTTAACACTGGAAGGAATCTGAACACGATCAATAGTATGGATGACACCATTGGAAGTCAGAATATCAGTCTTGTCAACCTTGCCAATCACTTCACGATCATCTCCGTCAGCAGCACCATGTCCACGAACAAAGAAACCGTCCTTAGTCTTGTTTAAGGTAATTTCAGCATTGGATGATAAGGTAACGATACGATATTCACCTTCAGAGACAGCATCTTGATAATAGACACCACGTCCAGCATGATAAGTAGCCACCTTTGCCAGTTTTTCTTGAGATTCAGGCTGCAACAAGTGCTTTGCCAAAAGACCCAAGCGGTTGAAAGCATTATTGGTGGGTGCGAAAAGTGTGATACCGTGGGACTTTCTGATAATCTCATCCGAACCCGATGCATAAATACTTGCAACAAAAGTAGACAAGTCCAAATTGACTGGAAGTTGAGCAAGTGGGTCTCGAGGAAGTTCTAAAGGTTGAGCAACACTATAAATGATTTGGTTGTCCTTGACAGGAACTACAAGATATGATTAGCAATCTGCATCATCTGATTTATCACTTACTTGGATCACCTACAACTGCGGATTTCCCAAACAAAATGGTGTCCTTGCCAAGGCTTGGATTATCTGTAATGCGAACATTAAGACGTTGATATTCTTTTTGACCCAAGTTATCATGAGATTCGGTTTCCAATAATTGACCATCCTTAAGATCTGAAGGCTCATATCGGCCATGAACAATGTGATATTGTAACCAAGACTTAAGACGCTTGCCAGTCAATGAATCTTCATCTTCGCCTTCAAAGGCATCATTGGGAGGAGCAATAATAGTTGTTTTGTAAACTTGGTCTTCATCCAAGTAAGAGCCTAAACCATTTTCATCAAATAACTTGACAATTTGAGTCTTGTTCATGCCAAGCAAAGTCTTTCGAGTAGCAGGCTCAATAAAACCTTTGTCCTTGGGCATCAAGGGACGCTCAAGTATATGAATAACACCATTGGCAGCGAGAATATCACTCTTTTCCACGTCAATATCATTCACTTTGAATTGATTGCCCAAGATTTTTCTGACTTTCGTAAAGATTTCCAATTTTTCTGAGCCTTCTAGTGTATCAATAGCAGACTTTCCTTCAGCAAACTTGTCACTGGAATACATATCTGGGGAAATGGCATGTTTCAAGAGACGACTCAAGTCCTTTCGTCCTTCAGGATGATCCAAAAGATAGGACTTTTCAACAGAGGATAATTCATCACCAAAGATATCACCTTTTGTCACGAATACAGTATATCCGCGAGCTTGTCTCAGTTCATTAGTGATATCAGCCTTTTTAGCCTTGTCATAAAAATCTTGGCTGTCCTTGTTCATACGCAGTGTTTCATCTAAACAGAACAAAACAAAACAGTGATTAATTATCTCTTTTCTCTTTAGCTTTTCTGAATCGAACTTACCTAAATACAGAGGTAATGATAAAACCTTGTCCACAGCATGAATTACACCATTTGAAGCTTCAATATTTTGATCAATCACTTTAGCTTGTGCTTGGTCACTACCAGTGCCTACAGCAATTTCAGTGGTTGACTTCGAAACCTTGAGCCTTTGTTGCATCTTGTCCATATAAGCAAAAGTATCCAAAAGTCTGCCATCCCATAATTCGTCTGATTTGGCAGAGACACCCACAAGATGATACAAAATTTGTTCTTTAGAGTACTTTCGCTTAAATACACTTGAATCTTCCTTATCGAAAGCTTCATTTACGGGTGCAAATACAGTTTGGGCCTTGGTATGCTTGAAATAATCTGTCAATTCGTTTTGCTCAATTTGTGAAACCAAATTTGTAAATCGTTCCTCTCGAGTAAGAATATCCCAAACGGACCTGTCATCACCCTTCTTATAACCAAAGATACCTGCAAAAGCAGGTGTAATGATTGTCAGTATAAGCAGTAGAAATAGTATATGTAACTTCTTGAACATGTTTTGAAAAAAAGAAATAAAGCAAAAAGGTTATCAAATCAGAAAATGGAGTTTAAATAGACAAGAATTCATGCAAAACGAAAACAAAAGATTAATTGACAACACTATCCCATCACTAGCACGTCATATTTAGTGTAAGTGTTGACAATAAGTGAATTAACTTGTTTATTTCTCGGATATTACTATTTACATAATTTGAGACACATGGAGGCTAGATCTAAATCTTTTGATCTGAAGTGTCTTCCATTGAGACTTCATCATCGAGTATAATCTCTTTACCATCAACCATACGGATAGGACCTGTAAACCATTTTCTGCCCCAGAAATAGAAATAAGTCATGGAGCAAATCATAATGGCAGCAAAAGGAACAATAGCATAATTCATGCTATCAGGCGTAATAGGTGCTGCGGTAGGACAGATAAAGAGAGCACAGGTAAATATGAGCCAAAGCGAAGAAATCCAGCCGAGCACAATACTGTATTTTCCGAGGTGAAAGGGTCCAGGCTGAAATTTAGTACGGGAAGAAGTGACACGTAGAAGAATAGGTACCAAATAAGACATCTGAGAACCAATTGTGTTGACAGAGACAATGGCTTCATAAGCAGTACTGTTGATCATGTAAAGAATGCCAACAACACCAGCCACAAGAATGTTGAACCATACAGCATTGACAGGTGTCTTTGTCTTCTTGTTGAGACTATGTAAAAACTTGGAGAAGGGCATGGCGCCATCACGTGCAAAGGCATAGACCATGCGAGAACTACCGAGTGTCAAGGCAGATCCACAGGTAAATGTACTGATCATGATAAAAATCAAAAAGACCATTGTCCAAGCAGATCCAACACCATCATAAAAGACTTGAACCATTTGTGGTTGGATGGCGTTTTCACTCAAGATTTGTCTATCAAAATCATTCACCATAAAGTTAACAGCGATTAAAAAGATGAAACCAGAAACAGCGTTGGCTGCAACGGACACCAAAATACCAAATGGGGAACCCACTTGAGAATTTTTAGTTTCTTCGGCCATGTGTGCAGCACTGTCATAGCCAGAGAGTGTATACTGTGATTGGAGGATAACAAGCAAGAAGGCATAGCCATTGCTGCTAAATCCAGATCCATTATAGAATTGAGTAAACTGGAATTTGGTTTAGTACTGAGATTGCTAGTTGTCATTTATAATTACCACAAATTCTCCTGTTGCTAAAGGTTTTGTAAGAGCAAGGCCAACAATGACAATAAAAAGAATGCCAAGCATGTTTGCAAAGACTATAGAAAAACGTTATTGCCAATTCTTTTATTTTGTAATTTGTGTTTTCTACTTACATGAACCTTGATTCATAACACCATTCCATTTGACAGCTACAGAGTTAATGAAGCCGTGAATAATAAGGATACCAACAAAGATGCCATATTGAGTATAAACAGAGAGTGGTTCACTTTCAGGTCTCCTAATCAATTGAATCAAGTTAGTATTAAAAGTGCCAATGTGAAACATTACTTTACCAAACAGAGACAACGCTAGCAATGAATTGAGCTAGACCAAGGTCAACTGAGGATATGCCAACTGTAAGATGGATCGTTAATAAAGAAAACAGGAAACAGTTTGTAATACTTGCAGCATAAACCAATCCAGTTACACCAGCCTACAACCCAGCAAGCCAATGGCATCCAACTCGCTGTTGCCAAACGTGATGTCCAGTAGTACAGACCTCCTGTTGTTGGTGCGCTCGAACAGATTTCAGCAAGTGATAAAGCAACAATCATAGTAAAAGTACCGGTAATGAGCCAGCCCCAAATGACGCCCATGGAACCACTTGAGGTCATGGCATCGCCCCACATTGGGCCAAGCCCGGATAGCACTGAACAGCATGAAAAAGCAATTGCAAAATTAGAGAATGCAGATATAGATCGACTCAAGTCCTAAACAAAAGCATTAGAGATATTCCAAATAAAAAGAAAAATGACTTACTTGTTTATAGCCTAATGATTGAAGCAAGAGTTCATCTGCGTCTAATATTTGATTTGCTTCACCATGTTCAATTTGTTGAGCAGTGATTTTTTCAGAGTCTGTCATAGTTTGATGATGTCTTTATATACAAATATTCTGTCAAGGCACTTGGAATTGAATAAAATAGAATATGAAAGTCTTGAATGAGTTAATTTTCTACGTGCTTTAAAATAAAGGATTAATTATGCAGGGTTTTCTTTTTAAAAAAAGGAGAGAAAAATGCACACTGTATTTATACTCGATGTGATGAATGATGACTTTTATAATCTTCTTTGTGCGAAAAACACAGTGATAAAAAAAAGTATGTAATTTAGCTATCTTATCTCCCACGAACAAGCGAACTATCGAGCAATCAAGTCTACTTGCATTGATAACACTTAAGGACAAAGAGCTAGAAAAGCGTGAGACAAGCCTTCATTTGTCATCGAAAAAGTCTTATTGGCTGAAACATCTCTTATAAATCCTAAATTGGTATTCTTTTTGAATCAAAAAAAGAAAAAACAGGTCATGTGTTGTATCTTTCACTCCAAATTATTCCTTTTCTTGTCTAATTTTTCCCTCATGATGAAAAAAGTAAAAAATATTATAAAGATGTGTGGTGTAAAGATACTGGGAAACATTTATTATCGTCTAGCTTAACGTTACACATTCAGTCTTGATAAACAAAGCAGTACTATGAAGCACGACTGATGAAATCTATAATTATTTTTTTCAAGGAAACCTTACACTATGACGCTTTTTTTCATTTTAAATAATTTGCCTTGTCATTGAACTCAGCAATGAAGGTATCATGATCCAAGAGCCCTTCAATATACCAAGATGATACTTAAACACACTCAGTTTTTTGTTGGTGATTTGTTGAAATGTTTATTCCAAGACAATATAAGTAGAGAAAAAATCAATAATGAGTATGATCGCCTTTGGTATCAATCACAGCTTATTGGTTGGTCATATAATGTAGTAGTATGAATATAATGCGTTGAAGCACTTATGCGATTGACAAGATAGTGGTATTCAGCTAACTCCTCATATTTGTGTCAATATTTTACATACACTGGTTCATATCTGTTACTTATTCATTTTCCTTCTATTCTATGCTCTTTCCTATAATCTAATGTAAGTAACAATATAAATATTATATATATATATATATATATATCTCATACTCTACTTGGTTACTAGAATCTAATATGTCTTGGTGTTCTATTGTTGTATATTTGACGACGTAAACTTTAATTCTGGATTGATGATTGTCGAATTTTGCCTCGCTTTATAATATACTTGCACCTTTCCAGAAATGCCTTTTATCATCAAATTGCCTTTATGAATAGAAAGAAAGAAAAAACAGAATATCCATCACTTACAGAGATTAGACTTGATAACTATATCACCCAGTCTCAAACATAATAAACATCTTTTTTTTTATCATTTGTATCATGATTAAAGATAGCAGCGTATATATCAAGTTGCAAATGAAAATAAAAATATTTCAAATGGTTTAATTCACACCAAATGTTCTTTTTTATATTTATAAACGAACAGAAGCTTTAATATAAAGCAGCTTTTGAACAAGAAAAAATTTATCATCATTCATTGCATGCTTTGAAAATTGTTGTTCTATTTCTCATTTTAGGTTAAAAGCATAAATAAAGTAATTGTTTGTTTAAACTATTGTGCTCATCTTGACATAACCAAGCGAGCTATTTATTGCAAAAGAAGAGATAAAATACCGATAAAAAGAATAGTGAAAAAATGTGAAGATATTTTAGCACCTGAAGCAACAAAAACTTCAGTGTCAATGAGGATAGATTGACTTGTAGAAACTACAGGATTCATTGAAGTCTTTGAGTCACTAGAGACGCTATCCTCGATTCATATTTCGTTGAATGCTAATAAGTTATTGTTAGGACTAGAGCTTTTGACAGCATCAAAATGAACCACGCCGCTTGTTGCAAGAGCTCTCAAAGCATCATAAACTTCCTGTGCTGTATTAAATTGTTTCTTGCTCATCAAATTAGCTGCAATACCAGCTACATGAGGACTAGCCATACTCGTACCGTCCATAGACTTGGAAGAATCAACGCTACCAATATAAGTGCTGACAATGTCTCGACCAGGAGCATATATATCAACACATTCTCCTACATTTGAGAACTTGGGTACGTTATCGCTACGATCAATGGCACCAACAGAAAAGACATTTGGATTTGAAGATGGGGAAAAGAAACAAGAGTCTGTACCAGCATTACCAGCAGATACAAAGACTGGAATATTGTATTTCAAAACAAGGTTATCTAAAGCTTCATCTAATAGTTTTGATTTGGCACCACTGAGAGAGAGATTGACTAGGGTCTTGCCTGGAACTGCATTTTGAATGACATGTTGAACACCTCTAAGTAAGCTGGAAGTAGAACCATCGCCAGACTTGTTGAGAATCTTTACAGATTTGACCTGGGCTCCTTTTGCAACACCATACTCTTTGCCAATAATTTTACCCGATACATGTGTGCCTATTCCGCTCATTTTGTTAGATATGAGTCAAGCTTTATATTTATCCTTACCATGTCCACCCATATCTGTAGCATCTTCATACTTGACTACGTTGGCGGAATGGCTAGCTCTTCCTTCAAGGTCTATATGTTCTGCATAAACTCCAGTGTCTAATACAAACACTGTAACCCCTTCACTAATCAAAAAAGGTAAATACCAATGGGTCGTATGTATAATCCTTTACCCCGATATGTCATCAAACTGATATTCATTTAAATCACCTAATTGACGTTGATTAATACGAGCTAAACCCCAATTTGCGGCCTGCGATGTCTTGAGTTCTCGTTTTTGATTCATTTGATGTTTAATAACAGATGGTTGCATATGAGTGGTGCTGTATACTTGGTTTGGCTCTACATAGTCAATAGTTGACTGATTATGCAAATATTCTAAAAAGGCATGATCAGAAAAGATACCAGCAATAGCCACAAAATCAGGACCAATATCGATATGTTCCATAGACATGTCTTGCTCAGCTGCAGCGGCAGAGAAACTTTGGCTGTCCTGAATATCAGCTCGGACATTACGAACAGACGTCAGAAACTCACGGTGATGAGATAACAGCACATTATTGGCTATAGATAAAAGTTGCATGAAAAACTTGGCCTAACAAAGTGAAGCTATACCTGCAGTCTTGGATATGGTTGGTCTGAATTTTATAATGTGGGTTGGTTCATTGTTATCCGATTGTCCAAATGCCAAGGAAATGACAAAAGAGATGGCAGTCAATCGTAACACTAACTTCATTGTATAAAGATAAAAAATGAGAAAGCAAGTATAAATCAATGTATCTTATATATAAGTCTGTTTCTTTGTTTGCTTTATAAAATAATCCCGAGCTTGATATTCACTATTTTGCTTGTTTGTAACTCATTTGAAACTGATTATGCAAAGTGTCAAAAGACGCATAAAATGCTGAGTAAAAAAAGGTTATAAACCAATCATAACCATTGAGATAATTGGGATGTTTTTTACCCGTTAGCAAAAATGGAAACTACTTCTGCTGACGACTTTCTTCTATTTCTTTTTTATAAAACTCGTTTTTCTTTCTTTCTTTTTTCTTTTCTTTTCTTTACTTTATTATGTATTATCCATCATTACAAAACACGCCTGAAGATGAATTCATAGACGAACGGTGGGACGTCAACTTGGGCCCTACAGAGCCTTCCAAACATCAAAGATTAGAAGCCTTGCTTCAAAATTTTAGTATAAGGCAGTCCCTTGATCATGCTCTTAAAGAGGTGAGTAACATAAAAAAAAGAAAAGTTTAACTTATTTTTTCTTAGACTATATCACCCCCTTCTTCTAAAGACAAGCATGCTGATATTCATACCGGTTACTTTAAAGAAGATATGTTCTTTGACCAAGAGAGTTCAGAACCTGACTCGCCCGCAACGAAGTTAGAACAAACAATAGTCACCCCTATTTCTTCAACATCAATACCAGCCATTGAAGAAGCAACGCCTGACGAAAGTGTTTATATACCATTGCAGCAAGAACCAAGTAGCCGCAAACCACCTGTCACATTGGAAATGTATCACTCAGATCTTGTGCAACACTACATCAGAATCATTGTCGAGAAGGCACAAACAATGCATCTCGATCATTTACCAGAAAACTATCGGTTGTATATTCAGGCACTAAAAGACATGCCTATTTGATGATACCCTCACCCCCTTTTCTGTTAAATATTGTACATATAGTCATTTCAAAGAAAGTAAAATCATAGTTTTTTGAAATTTAGTGTAGTGCAAATAAAGCCTTTGTGTTCCATCATGAACATTGTTTATAACTTTTGCGTATTGCTTAGTAAAAACTATTTCCCATAAAAAGGAAGCCGTGGTTCTATTTCTGGTTGAATATTGATTTCATCAAGTGTAATATCTCTATGGGCTCAGTTTTATATGTTTATCAATCGTCTCTATATATAAGAAAATGAATAAGTTCTTTTACACAATATCTGGTGAACAAATCAAAATCATCTTCTGGCGTATCTCCTTATCAATAAAGATGTAGATCTTTGCAATAAGCGACGATGCACATCTTGTTCTGATGATAAGGAAACCATCTTTTTATTTGTGAGTCAACAAAATGACTATATATATTCTGCCGAAATAAATCTTATTTAACATGAATTTAAAACTCAATGAGCATCTTTCTTTTCTCATTCTCAACCTGTTATTATTATGGGAAGACTCGAAGGAAAGACTGTTTTCATGTAAGCAAAAGTGAAATAATGCGTCATTTTCTCATATGTCATAGTACTGGTGCTTCTGCTGGTATTGGTGAAGCAACTGCCCGTCAATTTGCTGACGAAGGTTGCAATTTAGTAAATATCCATATTCGCATTACATGCATTAACTAACGCGTCAAACAGATTATTACTGCTCGTCGTTTAGAAAAATTAGACAAACTCAAGTCCGAGTTGTCTCAATCTCATCCCAAGATCTATGTTCATGCTGTTCAACTCGATGTGCGTAACAAGAACGAGATCGATAAGGTTGTTGCTGAGTTGCCTTCTGAGGTAAAGGACGTCGATGTCTTGATTAATAATGCCGGTATGGTTATTGGTGTTGATCCTCTTATTGAAGTTGAAGAGGAAGTCGTGGATCAAATGTTGGCTACTAACATCAAGGGCCTTGTGTTCTTAACAAAGGCTATTGTGCCTCGTATGAAAGAGCGTGGTACAGGCCATGTCATCAACCTTGGCTCTATTGCTGGTAAACAAGCCTATGCTGGAGGAAGTATCTATTGTGCTACTAAGTTTGCTGTGGATGCTATTACTAAGTCTTTGGCTATTGAATTGGTTGACACTCCTGTTCGTGTCAGTCAAATCTGTCCTGGTTTAGTCAACACGGAATTCTCCACTGTCCGTTTCCGTGGTGACAAGGATATGGCCGATAATGTTTACAAGGGCATTCAACCTCTTGTTGCTGACGATATTGGTAAGGAGAAAATACATTTAAAGTAATGCAAACTCATTCTTGCTAATAGCTGAACTCATTGTGTTTACCGCTGGTCGTCCTCCTCACGTTAACATTCAAGATATGTTGGGTAAGTTATTTTAATATGAATCAAACATAATCTCATTCCATTTCCTATAGTTTTCCCTACAAACCAAGCGGATTCCAAGACTGTTTATCGTCGTCCTGAATAAAATATGTTTATTACAGTTTTGAGTTCAATATTTCTTTTGTCAAAGTAGCATAACCATTTGTGAGTACAAACGCATTTCGTTCTTTGACGCAGGCTTGGAAAATAACACCAATCAAGGTGGGATCTTTGTCATCCACCTTCCACATCAGAATCTCAATTGTTTCTCCAGGTAATACAGGCTGAGCAAAACGAGCTTCTATCGTTTTGAGCCGCGTACGATCATTGTCTCCAAAGTGTTTAAGAATAGAATGAGCACATTTACCATAAGAACAAAGACCGTGAAGAATAGGTCGAGGAAAGCCAGCAGTAGGAGCTAAATCAATATCTGCATGTAGAGGGTTGAAATCCCTAAACAAAGTTAGTATTTACAATTGTGTGTTATACCCATACCCGGACAAGCGGTACAAAAGTGCTTGGTTTGGCGCAGTTTTGAATATCTCTGTTACATCAGGGTCACGTTGAGGAGGGTTGTAAACTACAGCCTTAGGTCCTTTGGGGCCCTAAAGTTAACATAAGCACTATCATAAATCAACATCTTGGCTTACATTCCATCCACCGTAGCCTCGAACAAACATTTTGGATCCCATTCGACAATAATGAAGACCGTCTTCTTTTCCATACAAATCTACAGCAGAGTCAATGACCATACCAGATCCTTTGTCATAAACACCAACACAACTTCTGATTGATTTGAAATAACCACCTTTAACAGGAAAGGGACGGATGACTTCAAAAGATTGTTCACCATGAACAATCTTGTTGAAATCATACGACGGAACACCTGGTAAATCGCCACCTACAGACCATCTTTCCATAAAAGAATTCACATCCCAATCATCACTTTTTAACAGCAAGCAAAGAGGGTAAGTTGGTAAGGGGCCAAAATCAACGTCAAGCTCATAAAGCCATCGAAGATCATTTTCAGGCACACCGACAGATAAAGCATATAGTATATAATCACGTCGAGTACATGCCACCTAATCATCAATAACTGAGTTTATAGAAGCATGATTTATGCCATTACAATATCTGGAGGAAAGACATGACCAACAGCTTTAGATACGTCCACTTTAAACTCTTTAGGCATTTTGCAAAAAAAGAAAAAGAAAAAGAAAAAAAGAAAGAGAGTGAAAAAAAAAGGCTATCTAGCTTAAAGTATGCCAAAATAAATAACAAACATATGAAAATCCCTTGACTCTGAGAGATTTGTTCCCATAAAGACAAAGTTATTTATTGGCCTAGAATAGGGATGGAAGGGTGACAGTCTTCAGGCTTTGGAATCTTGCATTGTGCTAAGTAATTTTGTGTCTGCATTTTCTTGACAGCAGATTTCATGAATAAGAAAGTTTGAATGTTTGTCTTGATAGAATCAAACAAGCTTTGTATAGGAATGTCTTCAACTACTTGATAAAACAACATGTATGGGTTTTGTCGCAATACTTTCTGAACATGACAAGGCTCTACAAGTGTATCAGACACTTTGAACCAATCATGGTCGTGTGGCTCAAAACTGCTTTTGTCTTGACCGCATTGTTTACAATTGCATTGTCTTGCAACAATACGGCGTTTAAATGTAAGATAGTGTCCAGATTGATGCTGTCGACCTTCATGCGCAACAAGTGCCATTAATTGATATTTTTTTAACTGTCCAAAAGGAGACAAGTCTAATATTGGCGGGAATTGGATACTCAGTGGTCGTTTGACTGCTCCTTGATCTTGCGAAAAGGACGAGCATACAATTTGGAAACAGAGAATCTTGGGTGGCTTGAAAAAAGATATGGTCTTGGTCTTTTCAACATAAACCTTGTCTTTCACATGTCTGTATTCGTCTTGATCTATGATGTTCATGGCAAGCTTCTGTTCTAGTGTAGTGATTTTTTCTCTATCGGTATATGTTTGTTTGAGCTGATTTATGTGGTGCTCCATAGAGCATTTTTCACATTCGAGCCCATGAAAAGATTCGTTCTTTAAGAAATCTGTCAAACAGGCATTCAAGGTAGTAGAGTTCTGCATACGGTTTGTTAGTATCGTTTTCTTAGAATTGCACAAAGAAATACTTACGAGTCCTTTAGGTACTGTCAAGGGGATGGATTTGTACAATTCTATATTCGCACTCGACTACAATAAAACCGATCAGTAATCTTGTAGACTGCAATGACGTTATTACTTACTGAATAGCCGCATACAGTACAACCAAGTGTTTTTTGAAAGTAAGCTTGGATCGGGTATTCTAATTCGGGATCAAACGTCGCTTTGTTAGGGTGTAATATGTCTAAAAGTCCTTGTAGATCAAGTGCCTTTTTGCTTTCGTTCTCTAAATCTTCTTGTATAAACTGTAATAGTTCTTGAGCATCTTGTTGTTGTGCATTCAAGACAAAAGAACTTTTTTGTAAAGCATAAATAAGCTCGTTTGGAGCAAAACTCTGTTCGGAAGGCACGGATAAAAGCCGTAGTGTTTGTAATAATAGACGTGTCACTGGTAGATTGGACCATAAACTATGTTTGCTGACTTTATCTAAATAGGAATGAAGTCTCGGTAATGAAGACAATGCCTATAGCTTATATTAAAAAATAACCTTGTACTTGCATCTTACCTGTAAAATCGAGTTTAGATAACAAGAGTTTCCAATGTTGGATAATCCTGCTAGTCGTAGAGATGCATGTGCTGGAAACAAACAGGTTTGATTGTCATGTTGAATAATGACCATTTCAGGTGACACTTGTGCTAGTTTTGGACTATCTTTGAAGCTGATATTCTCATCCATTATTAACCGATCTATAGTCTCTTTGCAAAGTACAATGCTCGGTGTGCCTGGTTTATTATATAAAAGCTGATAGAGTGGTATCACAACCAGTGTAGAGCCTAATAATAGAATAGCAGACTCACAAGTATTTGGAAAGTTGACAAGAAAAAGGTTTAACCAATATTTCCATAAGACCATTGCGAGTGTTCGAGATCTAGAAAAGAAAACCCCAAGTTCATACTACGCTAGAAGAAGTTAAAAAAAAGAGGGCTTATTGTTATTGCTTTGATAATGACTTAGTTAATAACTCTTCGGGCCCGGTTATCACCTCGGACTGACTCGCACAATGAAATGACAGGAACATGAAAGGGGACGTCCTTTTGAGTCAAATTCGCTATTGCTCAAGTAATTAGAACCAGCTGATTGTAACTGTATACAGCCAAAAAAAATTTTTTCTCCTTTTCAACCACACCACAATTACCATTACCCATTTACCATCACCTTCAGCCTGGTCTAACTCCGTTTGAAATGCTTTGTGATCCTAGGAGGGTTTAAGGGGAGATCAGTGGTGGTGAAAATATGTTGCAGAGGGCAGAAATACAGAGAAACAAAGGGTATTTATTTCAATACTTTTTTATTTCTTTCTTTTTATTTTTCTTTCTACTTTTTTTCCTTTTTCACATTTACATATATCAAAAAGAGAGAGAGATAAAGGATTTTTTTTAATTATTTCCCTTCCTCCTTCCTTCCCTCCCTACTATTTATTATAGAAACATATATAAAAAAGAGCACATTTTATTGTGTGTGTGTGTGTGGGTATAGCAAGATACCTCATCACAATAATCTATTAAAACAAGTATTCTCCATAACATTGGTATGATTTCTTTGCGTCTACAAAAGTGCAATTATAATTATCGGAGTAGTGCTTGATACTTTGCTTTGTATCTCTCTTTCACCCTCACCCTTTTCTTCATATTTATTATTATTATTATTACTATTATTATTATCAAAATCAAAATCAAACCAACTCGCAACCAAGAAAAAATTAACTTCAACAATGTACATCAACGGTTTAAAATATGCTTGTTCCACTTGCATCAAGGTAAAATACAATATAAAAAATTTTCTCTTGTAACACATTGTATTTATTATTAATTTATATAATTAGGGCCATCGTTCTTCTCATTGTAGCCATGTTGACCGTCCTTTATTTGAAATTCGCAAGAAGGGTCGTCCTGTCACTCAATGCACCTTTTGTAGAGATCTTCGAAAAACAAAACAAGTACATATCAAATGCGCATGTGATAAAAAAGGTAAATGAAAGCAGCCCATTTGCGTATGACTTATTATATCATTAGGTGGCGAAAACAATACCCAACAGCCTTTACTCATTTATCAACAATCAAGTATTAATAATGATATGTGCCAAGACAAAAAAACAGACAATCAATGTACCTGCCCCGCAATCGCTGCTGCTGCTGCTCTTGCTAGTACAAAGTCAAGCAAATCCACCATAAAATCGTCTGTTGGTGCATATCCTTCTCAGGATACCCTTAATTCTGCCTCTACTATCACTAATAATATTGCCACCACTGCTACAAATGAAGTCATATCCGACACCCTATTGGCTACAGCGCCACTTTGTCCTACTGCCGCGCCCCCGTCATCGTTGAAAGAAGAAAGCCTGTCCTACTCTTGGGCGCTGATCACTTCTCCCTCTACCAATCAAATCGATCTGCCCAACACGAGCACTTTGTCAGCTCCGTCAAACCTGTTCACAAATATGATGAATGATAATCAAATTGAGATAAATAACCCCAACGATAGTAATCTCCATCTTGGCTTTATTTTTCATAAACCCACCTCGTCTCAACGTTTTTTAGATGGTCAGCCTCGTACAAGAAGACATCGTTCTAGTAAACGTACAGCAAACCGTTTGCCTGCGAATGCTGTGCTTGACCCAATCTCAACAACAGCTGTAGACACGTTTACTGATTACAGCAACTTATCGACACCTCCTTCTTCAACAGTTTCTCCTCATCCTCCTTCATCTGCATCTTCGTCAATTGCTCCTGCTTGTGAACCTATGGACATGCAATTTGATTATCTTACTGAACAACTAGAAATCCTGTCCAACAGCAATAACAACCAAGGCTTTGTAGGCGATCTCTCAAATGCTGAAGAGCTGACAGCCATCCTGAGTAACGTTCTTTCAAAAGATGAAGAAGACATGGGCTCTGTTTCCTCCACAGCTACACATAGTCATCGCTCTAGTATTTCAACCCAAGCAACAACAACAACAACAAATATGAGTCCTATGGTGCCTATTCAACGATCTCATTGTGGTAGTTTTGTCCCTAGAGCAACGTGCTGCAAATCACTGGGTTCTCCAGGCGGAGAATCAGTTGTGATCACAATTACACCTTTATCAAACACCAATAACAATGAAGAACTTTTAGACCATCAAAGCAATTCCTCGCAGCAGCAAAACTATCCTACTACAACACGTATTGTTACTTGCTATTGTGGAAACCAATGTACTTGTCCTGGTTGCCTGGTGCATCCCGGCAATTTTTTCTTGGGAAGTGATCCTTACGCAGGTCCCTTAATTCCTTCTTCTTCCGCTTCTTCTTCTTGTTATGGTTCTGACGAAGAAGAAGCTTCTGTTGCCGCTACCAACACCATGCTCAATACAAGTAGTAGCAATAGTAATTACTTACATTTTTCATAAAAAAAGTTTATTTGTAAATAAAACCTTGTAAACAAAATAAAACCTTTTAAAGAAGACTTATCCCTTTTTTCTTTCATGACGATCAAGAGATGTGCACACGGTGTAAGGGGAACTCATAACTAAGATCATAGGATTATACTTAAAAGGATCATGATGCGATTAACATAGTAGATAATCACACTTTCAATGTACTATGACTTTTTAGTAAAAAGAGGTTTTTATTTAAATAAATTTAATGGCCAATGAGCACGTAGCTTGAGAACTGCATTGCCTTAGCAAGTTCCAGCAAAAAGGTAAACGAAGTAAAGGCAGGAGAAAAAGGGACGAAATAATTGCGTAAAGGTAGAAGGAGGGAACAACCAATTGAGCAACAGGGAACTAGGGTCTTGTGGAGGCGGAGGGACATTCGAATGAGCTAGGTAACCGAGGTCGTATAGGATAATATATGGCTAACCAATGGATATGCCAAAGAGAGGACCAGGACGAGGCTTTTCTTTACCTTTACTGCCGTCATCTACGTTATTTCTTGCTTGATAGGTCTTTTTTACTTCTTCTATATATGTGTGCTACCCAAAGTTTTTAGAAATTTCAAAACGAAGGTTGTGGTTGAGCAATATTTTCAGAATATTTTCGTACTTCCAAGATAAAAGGGTCATTTTGGCCAAGTATTGAGGTATAATACTTTGCTTATCTTCTATGAAGAGTTGAACATTTTGCTTTTCCCAAGTCAGACCTACGCAAGCTTTGGTTCGCTTCCACTGAAATGACCACAATGCTAAGTGGCTTGGGCCTATAATCAATCATGCAAGCAGCCAATCGCAGATACTGGTCTTGGAGAATACCTAATACTGACATTGTGGAGCAAGTTGAAGAGGAACATGGTAACTACTACACCTTGAAAAAAGCAGTAAGTAATGGCACACTTTTTGTGTGTGGATATGAAGATCAAAAAGCTAACGCCTTTATATCTTCGTGCGCCACCACAAGACTTACTGGTCAGAGAACTTTTTTTGGGTCTGAGGATAACATTGTCATCAGAGGTAGTTGATGAATATGATACTCATAACAGTAAGTAAAAACTAATTTCAAAATGAAGTTGAAGATTTTTATCTTAATGACAATATTCCTCTGAGTTCTGTTGATGCTGCAAACAACTTGCGTGACAAAAAGATCTTTTATCACGATGTTGTTAGTACTGAACGATGGAAAATGTGCTTTTTTGGCTTCTTTTCGAGCATATCCGAGGCAAATGCCTATAGCTTCTTCAGTGTATTTGCTAGTGATGGAAACATATCTCAAACTTAAGGACACTTTAGCATGGACATTCCTGAAAAACTGTGAAGAGTTGGTAAATGGCGCTGAGCCAACGCCTAATGAGGACAGAATACTCAGAAGCAATACTAATCATTCGTAACTATGGATGCGACGAGTGAAAGGAAGAAAGAGATCTAGGCTAGCTTGCAAGAGTTGAAAAGCATTGCAGCTGCAACCTAAATACACCTATGTGTCAAGTGTGTATGAGGTTTGGAAGAAACAAACTCATTTAGATAATTGTTTGTCATCCTGCCTGTGCTAACATAATACTTGGAATAAAATCAGTCAATGTTCATACGCATAGTAGAGACTTTCAAAGAGTCGGCCTAAATGCGCCGAAGCGAATAATCAAATGGGTTTGAAAGGCATTTACACATATGGCATTTAATCCAAACAACCAGACAGAAGTGGAAATTTAGAACGCTTTATTTCCTATCGACTGCATGTTTCTTTCTTTTCTTACTCTAGTTATCATGGTGATGATGATAATGATGATGATAATGATGATGATGGTACAATATGCCTTAATTGAGCCAAACATATTAGGATACCTTAAGTTTTGTTTTTCCAGCCAATGGCAAAAATGGTGGCATTAGTTGAATTTTAAAAAAGCTGGTGCCTGAAATTTCCATTCATCCATGCCATTGCTTACATTCTGAAATGATTTTTTTTTTATTGCGAACACTCTCACGAAACACGCTTTTTAATGGCCAAAGCTTTTTTTTAGCGTACTGCTCTCATACAAATATATACATTTCTTCCTATACAAGTAGTACAAAACATGGGTATGTGGAATTTGATTGTTTGAGTTTAAAGTTATTTTTGTATTAGATCAGAGTAAAGAAAAAGAACATCTTTGCGTTAAGCTTGTTACACATGCTTGTTTTTAAAAATAATAAAGTTACACGTTGCACTGAATGTAAGCGATATATGATGTTGAAATTTACGCAGAACCAAAAAGAAAAATATTTTCAAATGGCTTTTTTGTGATCTAATATTACAAGGCTATTATCTTCATTAGAGATTATAAAGTGATAATAGCATTGAAATGAGCTATTGCTTCAAATGAAGCTCTACTTTAAGCGACTTATTACAATACAAGGGTAAGATAAGGAGAATACTCCATCCACTCCAAAATAAAGCGGCTGATTTTGCATAAACATATTGCTTAAGAAAGGGTGATTATCATAAGCATTTCGACAAGCTTTGATGTCAGTCAATTTTTCTAATCTCATTATTCAGTATTACTGCTTGATCAAAATAAACATGCATTTGATAAATGGGGGGGGATCTTTGTGTTTATCATATTTAAAATCGTTCTTTTTGACCTCAAAAGTGTCAAGCATGATAACATTTGCCCCTCTATATTTTATCCATCGAATGATGTACAAGCAAGTGCATACTTGGTAATCAATATCTACAAAAAGAGGCCTCTTTTGTACTGATTACAAATTTGAAGCCAATGCTCAAATTAAGCTGCTTTGTTCATCTTAGTAAACTCGTTTTCTTTTCTTCAGAAGTACCTTATCTGATTTCGGTTGGATCAGACCTACGTCAGGTCATTCCAAAAATTCTTATTTTTTTTCATCTTCACAGACCTCCGTGGATCCCCCATGGATCAAAAAATAAATTTCACATAACAATCAAAACAATAGTACCATTCGATTTTTTGACTTCAAAGAACATGTTTTAAATGAAAAAGAGGCCATTTTGGTAGTCTGGTTGTCGAGTAATGGTCCGTCAAAGATTGGCTTGTTAAAGCTGTGTCTTGAGCATTTTTAGCACTAGAGGTCATATAAAACGTGTTAGAGATCGATCTTTCTAAAGCATCTAACTCAACTTTGGGTACTAGAGAACATAGAGAAATAGAAATGTGCGAATTTTCTAATGTAAATGTGGGGGGTAAATGAACAAAGGACATACCAAAGGGCTATGTTGCAGGGATTGAAATGGAAGGCAGCCCCAGTTCTTCTTCCCGTCGCATCAAAATCAAGCCTTTATTGAGAACTGTATGAAGACACAGTCATTCGGCTTTGATGTAGTGACAAAAATTGTAGACATTTGCTTTCTGAGTCTGTTGGTATAGATATCACAGCAGCTTTTCTGGTAAAATATCGAGTAAATAGGCAAAGATATCTATGAGGTTTTTTGCTCCTATCTCATCATTTTTATAGTAAAATCAACAAAAAGCACATTCGCCAAAAACTAGAGCGTCTTGCGTACATTTGAGTATTTAAGCTTGTCGATAGCTCTATTTTTTGTCTTGTAGCATCAAAAAGAAGCTTAAAGAGCTGTCAGCTTGATGATTTTCATAAACAGTACCCTTTGGACCGTAGGCATACTTTAACCATTTTGGACATATCCCTTTTTTTTTGTCCAAATCGGCTCCAAAGGTGCCATGGGTGTTACTGAACACTGCTTGTAGATATTTAGAACATTTATGTGTGTATAAACAGACTTTATTTGTCTGTTCTTTTGATGAGCTCAGTCTTAGTATTGCCAAAGTCGATGCGTCAAGAGTGTTTGCACACCTTTTAGTATAAAGGGTGTATTCAATTGTAGAAGTATAATGTCCTTTACATAATCTAATGAAATTTATGACATTTTGTGATTTAAAAGAACGAATCTATCAAATACATACCTCATAAAAAATGTCTTTTATCGTAAAAATTCTGGCTATGCTATTGTGTTATGCTCATCTGGTACTTTTAAATGATATATATGTCATACAGTTTTCATATTTGTTGAGCATTTCGTGTGTTCTTTTTACACTTGACATGTGGGTATTACAAGTGCTTCAGCCCATAGTTTTTAATCAACAAAGATTTTTCTTGTGGCACCAGATCAAGTCCTAAGAGAGCTATTCTAAAGCATCATACTTGTGTGGATAGCTCTTGATTTGAACTGTCTATGAGGTTTTGCTCCATGTCGAGTGCTTTTCTATACTGGTATATAAACATTGAGTTTTGATTTCTCAGTCAATACTGATAAAAATATAGACCTGTTTATATTGACAGAGACCTCTGATATGAGGTAAACAAATGAATATGCTCTGCTATTATTTATTATGTTGCGTACATTAAAATGGCAAGTTGAATCAACAGATAAAAGCAGTTCATAAACAAAACATGTTTAATTCAATGCCTTTGATACCAAGATTGCCAGAGCCTTTTATTTCATTCGCAAAAAAAGCTGTAGCCAATCTTATAGCATAATAAATGTAACATGTTTGTGGCCTTCAGTCAGACATCTCTGAAAAAAAAAAAGATTCAAATACAGATAGGTTCTATATTTTTTTTTGCATTTTCTTGTTATTCATGTTTCGAGACGCTCGGCCTATAGCACTGAGAAAATTGAATCCTTTTTCAAGACAAGATACGAGAAAGCATCGCACGTCAGACTCTATACACAGTGATGAGGATCCATTACTAGATGAGGAAGCAGCTGTAACTATGTCAAACGAAAAATAAACAGTGTAAACTGATGAAATAGCTTGACTTGATTCATTCACCTACATTACCTCGCACAACAATACCAGTCAATAAGACTGAAAAGAAAAAGAAAAAGTCATGGTTTAGCAAAAAGAAAGTATATTCACCAAGAACTATATCACTTCAAGCAGAAGGTAAAAGAAAACAAAAATGCCAAGCAAAAAAAGATACTAAGGGCTTACCTTAGACAAAGAAAAGAGAAAATATGCTGCCAATATGATTATCAACCAAAAGTACAATATCTTTACTTTTATTCCTATTGTGCTATTTGAACAAGTAAGGAAGTCTATGAGTTTATTGATTTATGTTAACAAAGAAAATTAGTTTGTGATTTTCTTTAATCTGTATTTCTTGCTTGTGGCATTATCACAATTTGTTCCTGCTTTAAAAATAGGCAAGACGACAAAAGTCTGCAAACATAAGGGCTCATTTCTTTTGTAGGCTATATTTTGACTTATTTCGGCCCACTCTGTTTTGTGTTGCTGATTACAATCAGTAAAGAAGCTTTAGATGATTATCAACGCTATAAAAGAGACAAAGAAGCCAACGCTCAACTCTATCAACGTCTTACATCCACTGGATTTCAACATATACCCAGTTCCAAAATCCGCGTGGGTGACATGATCCATATCAAAAAAGATCAACGTATTCCTGCAGACATGATCTTATTGCGTACCACAGAAGATACAGGTGCTAGTTTTATTAGAACAGATCAACTAGATGGAGAAACAGACTGGAAACTACGATTAGCCATTCCTTCTTTACAAAAATTAGCAAGTGATACAGACTTATTGAACATACAAGGCCATGTCTATGCAGATGCACCTCACAAGGATATTCATAGTTTTATAGGTAATGTCTCTATGAGTGATCCCCAGACAGGTGTAGAGAGAACAGAGCCCTTGGGTGTAGAGAATACGATGTGGACAAATACAGTCTTGGCTTCAGGATCTGCTATCGGGTTTGTGATCTATACCGGTAAAGATACGCGTGCTGTCATGAACACAAACCATCCCAAGACAAAAGTGGGCTTATTGGACAAAGAAATCAATCAATTGGCCAAGGTAAGTAAAAGAGATTCGAATAGGCTTAGAATGACTTGAGATAGATTTTGTTTATTGTGACCTTGTTGTTGTCTGTGGTGATGGTCGGATTAAATGGATTTAGAGGTGTATGGTATATCTATGTGTTTCGATTCTTGATCTTGTTTAGTTCTATTATTCCTATTGGGTAAGTTCATTTATACTGTGTACAGGATGCTGACAGTATTTAGTTTACGTGTCAATTTGGATATGGGCAAGACAGTATATGCAAGACAGATTGAATACGACGGTGAAATTATGGGCACGATTGTTCGTACAAGTACATTGCCTGAAGAACTAGGCCGTGTAGAATACTTGTTGACAGACAAGACAGGCACATTGACTCAAAATGACATGGAGCTCAAGAAACTTCATATGGGTACCATGTCTTATAGTCTAGATACCATGGACGAAATTCAGTCACATGTAGCAACTGTGTTTGATCCCCAAGCCTTGGATGCCTCCAAGGGACGTCGTCATATTTCAGCACGTATACGAGATATTGTACAAGCCTTGGCTTTGTGCCATAATGTCACACCAGCGATGGATACAGATGGACGCATTACTTATCAAGCCTCAAGTCCTGATGAAGTTGCTATTGTTAAATGGACAGAGCATATGGGTCTAACACTTGTGGGTCGAGATGTGAATACAATTCAGTTGCGTGTCGATGCGACAGGCGATATTTTGTATTATGACATATTGAACATTTTCCCCTTTTCAAGTGAGACAAAACGTATGGGTATCATTGTTCGTAACAGACAGACACAAGAAGTTCATTTTTACGAAAAGGGTGCAGACACAGTGATGGCCAGGATTGTACAATACAATGACTGGTTAAATGAAGAATGCGATAATATGGCTAGAGAAGGGTTGCGTACACTTGTTGTAGCCAAAAAGAGTTTATCAGAAGATGCCTACCAAGACTTTGTAGCAAAATACCATGATGCTGAAGTATCTCTGCACGATCGAAACATGTTGAAACAGACAGTGATTGAGACCGTATTGGAATCGAATCTGGAATTACTGGGTCTCACAGGCGTAGAAGATAAATTACAAGAAGGGGTCAAGAACACACTGGAACAAATGCGTAATGCAGGATTGAAAGTATGGATGTTGACTGGCGACAAGATTGAAACAGCTACTTGTATTGCCATTTCATCCAAACTAGTTTCACGTAACCAAAGTATCCATACAGTCGCTAAACTCAAGACAGCCATGGAAGCAGCAGACGAAATTGATAATTTGAGGACAAAGACGGACCATTGTCTGGTGATTGATGGGGAATCACTTCAACTCTGTCTGGATCATTTTGTGGATGAATTTATAGCCATTGTGACATTAATGCCTGTCGTGGTGTGTTGTCGTTGCTCGCCTACTCAAAAGGCAGATATTACACGATTGATCAAAGAATACACTCAGAAACGTGTACTTTGTATTGGTGATGGTGGTAACGATGTAAGCATGATTCAGGCTGCTGATGTGGGTGTGGGCATTGTGGGCAAAGAAGGCAAACAGGCTTCTTTAGCTGCTGATTTCTCGATTACTCAGTTTAGCTTCTTGACCAAATTGTTACTATGGCATGGCAGAAACAGTTACAAACGATCTGCTAAGCTCTCTCAGTTTGTCATCCATCGTGGTTTGATTATTTCCATTATGCAAGCTGTGTTTTCTGCCTTGTTTTATTTTGCACCTATTGCTTTGTTTCAGGGTATGTTGATTGTAGGCTATGCTACAATCTATACAAATGCGCCTGTGTTCTCGCTTGTATTGGATCAAGATGTAAGTGAAGAGATTGTCATGATGTACCCAGAACTCTATAAAGACTTGACCAAGGTAAGCATTGATGGTTTCATATGACATGACTTATCTGGATATGGTAGGGTCGATCTTTATCTTTACGTACTTTCTTTACCTGGTTGTTGATCAGTGTCTATCAAGGAGGTGCCATTATGATTCTATCGATTATTCTGTTTGAAGACGAATTTATTCATATCGTGTCCATCTCTTTTACAGCATTGATCTTTAATGAACTCTTAATGGTAGCTTTAGAGATCAATACATGGCATCGTATCATGATTTTAGCTGAAGTGATTACTCTTTTGATTTATTTTGGGTCAATGTGGTTATTACCCACTTACTTTGGTAAGTTACAAAGTCCTGTTTAATATGTAACTCATACATCGTAGACATGACATTTATTTTAACCAGTCGATTCGTATGGAAAGTAGCTGTGATTACGGCTGTTAGCAGTTGTCCATTGTATATTGTCAAGGTCATCAAAAGAAGAATTGCTCCACCCAGTTATACGAAATTGACATAACATTTTATTATGAAATCTGACTTAGTGTATAAGGAGGATATTTACTTTGAGCAAATGTCATTAAACGCTTTACAGATTGAATCCATTTTCTTGATGTTTCGTCGTTGAGTACATGAGCCACTTGAGAAGAAGAAATCTTTTCTCGAGCAGAACGTTCGTGAATACTAAATCAATAAGTATCATAAAGTCAATTTAGGAAGACTTACCCAACCATGGTAACACCAATAGGCCAAGGTGCATTACCAATTGACAGTTGAAGATAAGCATCTTGTGCATCTCTGTAAAGTCTAGCTTGCATTCTCTGAGCAATTTCAGCTACACGGTTTAATACATCAGGCTCCAATGTCTTTTTCTTTAAATGACGCATTAAAGGTTTGATGTATTCTGCTGCCTGTTTCTGCAAAACAGCTGCTTTTTTACCGGGACCACTTCTTTTCTCTTCTTCAGGACGTTGTAACATGTATTCTTCCCATTCATCCAATGTGTGCTATAACAAGTAAGACAAAAGCAGATTTGGTGCATGTACCACTTACTGAGAAATAAGCATAAATCTGATAATAGAGTTTATCGATATCTTTAGAGATCAATTCCAACTGAATAGGCTCAACAACCAAAGTTGACTTTTTAGCCTTCTTTTTATCATCTTGTACACCACTCTTTTGCTTTAATTCATCCAAACGCATATTCGCTTCCATCTCTTCCAATGTTTTCATAAATTCGTTTCGACCTTGGTTCTAGCTATCTGTTAATATGCTTCTCGCTTGTGTCCATCTCTACTTACGCCTGATTCTTCATTCATCAATTCTAAAGCACGAAGACGTACTTTACACTGTTTATCTGTTTCTGCAAATAATCGAATAGGTTGACCCATGGCTCTTAGACGACGAATGCATTCTTCTCTTGTGATATTGAATGTTTCAATGGCTTCTTCCTATCGAAAAGAATATTGAGTGGGCTTTTATTCAACAATAGTATACATACATTATCATTTTCTTCATTCTTCTTTTCAGCCTGAGCATTTTGTTTTTCCAATCTTCTACGTTTAGCCTATGCAAAAGATCAGGACCAGAACACTTTTTCTTTGGTTTACCTCTTCTTCTTGTTGACGTGCCTTTTTCTATGGACTGGTGAGATCATAGTAGAGTGGTTGTTTCTTACCTCTCTTTCTTTTTCTTGTCGTTCTTGTTCTTTACGTTGATATTCTTCTTGGCGAATACGTTCAAGTTCTGCTCTACTGACATATTTCAGCTTTTTATCAGAGCCTTGTTCTTTTTCAACGGTCTCTAATATCTTGCGCTTCTTTGATACTTCTTCTTGGATAATACTATCTAAAAAACTCATTGTTTGGAAAAGAAAGATATAGAAAATTTTATAAAAAATGGATCCAATCAAATATCATCTCGGTATTCGATATTCCGAATTGAAGTGTCATGATATAGGCTCCCTAAAAAAAAAAAAAAGACTTGCATATTAAACCTTAAAAAAAACGCCTTATATAAATAAGAAGAGAGAATGTATTTATTATTATTATTATGTACACAGAAGGTTAGATATATATATATATATATCAAGGGTATATAAGTCAATAAATAAAAGTGAAATTAAATCATAGCACCATCAATTTCATAGGTATCAATAATCTTTCGGTTACTATCTCGTACACGCACCATCCAATTGCCGTTGGGCAGTTTAATATAAAAGTTGGAGTATCCTTGTTGACCATCATAATGACGAGAGGATAAAACTGTCTCTTCAGTCATACTTGTAGGTGTTTTTAATTCAGATTCTGTGCTTGAATTTGTCATGGAACGCTGGAGGTTATGTGGGATCATCACTGTTAATTCAGGCTTCTTTCGAAACATGCTGATTTTACGACCGATCAGACTTGGTCTATGTAATAAAGTGGAAAAAGACAATCGACGCTTTCTTTGTTCTTGGTCAGGTAAGAAGTGATGATAACTAAATTGATCGTTGTCATGTTGATAAAAGTCTGTCATGATAAAAATATGAAAAAAAAGAGATGAAGATAAAGAAAAAAATTTTTTTAGTGTTGTAAATTTATATAAAAATTGCGCGCAACTAAGGAGTAAAAAAAAAAAAAAAAGAACGGCGATTCAGGGTGCTGCGGAAAAATAGGCAAACGGTTTTCCCGTAGCTTTGCTTTCATCACCATGATCCATTGTTTTTACTATATTAAGCACCGGTCCGAGAAATCCTTGATACACACACTCACACAAAAAATAATAATCAATGGCGCAGTTCAATTGCCTTTTTGGAATCATCAATCAAAGGAAGCCTATATTTGGATATGTTTGACAACATCTCTCTCTGATTTGCATGGCCACAATTAGGGGCGTTTGAATTTGTACAACCACTATACGGTTGCTAAGCAACGTTGTTTAGTAACAAAGACAAAGTATCATACTTTTCTACTTTTTTTATTACATGTCAAGAGGAGAGTATATATATTTACATGGCGATACGAACAGATTTTTTCTTCTTTTCAGGTACCTGTGGGGGAGTATATGTACTGCATGTGCATTCAGATGAATTGTTGTTGGTATCATGACAAACACAATAATTGCGTGTATTAGTATTCAACAAATCATCAATGGAACTATTTAAATCTTCTTCTTCTTCGGGTAAGGGGGATTCAACGAAACTAAAGACATCACTCTCATCATCATCCTCTTCTTCTTCTTCTTCCTCTTCCTCTTCCTCTTCCTCTTCCTCTTCCTCTTCCTCTTCTTCCTCTTCTTCTTCACTATCTTGAACCCATTCAATAAATCGAGTCGTCACTTTACGAATCTTTTGAGAAATTTGATGATCAAAAGAAGATGCCTGCCACCAAGAAATCAAAGCATCATCATCAATCACATGATATTTATAAAGCATCAACACCAGTCGATCAAAATGATCAGCAATCGCTAGTCCAAAAGGCACTATCTGTAATAATTGTTCAATATGGTCCAAGAGTTGTCTTTGGGCTTGATCATCTGTTGTATAATACTGAAGAATAGATTCCCAGAATTCAACAATGCCTGCTTGAATCTTGCTTGTAAATACTCTGGGAATGGACATGGGTTGAGATGTCTTGTTGTTGTTGGTAATCAAAGACCCCATCCAAGTCACAAAGGCATCTGCTAAACAGGTAGTAATTGTATCTGAACTTGGTTCGTATTTACAGATCAGATCATCAAATTCTAATCGAACTCTAGCACTGGATAATCGAGACAGCATAGCTTGTTGAATATAAGAACTGGCTACATTTTCGAATGGTTCTTCCTCTTCCTCCTCCTCTTCTTCTTCTTCGTCACTTTGTTGAGAGAAATAATGAGGATTCGAATCGTCCAAGTATCGTTTATGAAAGTAATCATCAATATGTTCATCTTCTGTCTTGAGTTCATCCATTTTAATGTCTACTTCAGGCAAAGCCGATTCATGAGCCACAGGTTGGCACGATAATTCACCTTCATCATCGTCAAATTCAAAGCACCCAAACCCATTCTTTTCATACGCAGTATCATAACTGGTATTTCTAGACTTGAGTTGTTCAATTTGTTTCTTTAAACGAGCAATTTCATCGTCACGATCCATGACATCGATTTCTAGTTGTGCATTTTTGTCTAAATATTCTTCATAAAAGCGTCTATGAGAAGCGTCTGTGTCTTGACGAGCCAAGGTAATATCACGTAAATCGTTTTTTAAAAGAGAAACACTGTTTTTCAATGCTGTGTTTTCACCACGTAAACGATGAATTTCACGCAACAATAAGTGAGTGGATCTTTTTTTGGTGGATTTTGGTTCAGGAGAATCTGAGCGTGATGAACAAGTAGATTCTAGACTAGAAGTATCCTCGGCTCTTTTTCTACGGTATGATTCCCAGGGAGATAAAAAAGATCGCTTTTGATTGTTTGCGTCTATAAAATATAAGTGCATGCACATCTTTATTTTATCGCTTACTTGGCATGCAATTGCCTGCAGATATTCTATAGACAGCAGCAGCAATACAAATAGGTACAGTTCTAGGTGATGAATTTTGCAAGTAATATTCCATATCAACAGGGTCAATCAAGTCAATCATGTTGTGAAAATCGTTTCTTAAATTCATGGTTGAATTAGAACAAAATAAGACAATGCATAGTTATTTCAAAGAAAAAAAAAAAAAAGAAAAGAGAAATTATTATTCGGGATTTTTGTTTCAAAAATAAAGAGTGAGTCATTTTCTTGTTATGGGCCATGATGATTGGTTCATTTCTGCTAGGGGGGATGTACAAATGAAGTCATGCATGAAATCATGATTCTCTTTTTTTTTTTCTTCTTTTTCTCTTGAATGAATAAAGAGACTATAATAGCAAAAGTACATGATGATTGGGAGCAACTCTTAAAGGCAATGGCTTGTTCGACTCAAAAGACAGCTACCTTATTTACTCAAGTTGATACACATTCAAGAAATACAAAGAACAATCTGGAAAAGACATTTGTATTACTTGATAGTTTATTACAAAAGTAAAAATTATATCATTTTTAATCATCATCATTATTAAGCTTTTCTAGAAATCAACAGATTCTTGCTTCAAATCATTTAAATGAAATACAAGCCTCTTTAGATTTAACTTGTGTGGCCAAGCATCATTGGTCTCATTAATTTTATTTTTTTTATTTTTGTTTTTATTTAAGAAATATGCCCATCATTGAGATTGGATCGCACGAAACTTTTCAAAAGGTCATTCAACACAATAAGCTGATTGTCGTTGACTTTTATGCTGTCTGGTGTGGCCCTTGCAAGGCCATTGCACCAAGAATGGAGAGCTTTGCAGCTACTTATTCAGACGTCGTATTTCTCAAGGTTGACGTCGATACTCTCAAGGAAACAGCAGCTCAATATCAAATCACGGCTATGCCTACCATTTTATTCTTTAAACAAGGCCAAAAATTAGGTCAAGTTGTAGGGGCCAATATCAAAGAAATTCAAGATAAAATCGAACAACTACGTTAATCTTTTTATTATTTAAATAAAGCATCTTTCAAAACATGTAAAGACAGAGCTTGAACTTGTTCCATATTTGCATCATCGAAACAAAGTGAATTTAAATCAAGCGAAAAAGTATAGGTTTAAGAAGTTTGAGCAAAGAACATTTGACATGTTCTCCAGGAACCATCTGTCACTTGAATCCTCCCAAGATTAGATAGATCGATGCCACCTTCTCTTTTGTACAGACTGCCCTTTCATTTGATTTCAGGGTACTTGTAGTAACCCTTGGGATAACTGCCTAGGTATTTGATCATCAACGTTTCTTTGATACCATCGTATTTGTGCTTTTGCAAATCTTGGTGATACATGGCTGCAATAGTCCAGATATCTTGGGTCAATAGTTGCTGAGTATCCCATATACTATCGTGAATACCAATAAAGTTACCTATACGATTGGGAGATAAGGGCGGATGACAGAAACCACGGGTATTGATAGATGTATAGAATTTAGTGCATGCTTGAGGGTATAGATGAGCCCAGACAAGGAATTTAGCAGCCACCAAGACGGCATGGGCAGAAATACCACGCTTCTTTTATCACTAGTTTCCAAATCGTTTAAGACACATGGACCAATAAGACACAACTATCATGCTTTTGACCAGGAACAGCGAGAGCTTCACCTTTCCAGCTTTTGTAACGAATAGGATTGATCAAACGAGCAAGGCAAGTAGGCAGTACGCTAGGCAATAAGTCTGTATAGGCTTTTGGTAACACATCACGAATAAATGAGACGGAAGATGCACCTGATTTTTCATAAGGAGGTGGAACTCGTTGATTTGTGTTGATCTTGACAATGTATTTACTGCTGTCAGTATGACTATCGTTTTTTAATGCCTTCAAGAATTCTTTCCAAATGACAGTTAAACTCATACCATCAGCTACTACATGAGACACGACAAAACTAACAATGCAACTGGTGGTAGATTGAGGCACAACATGCAATCGCCACAGGGGCAAGAGCGGATCAGTTTCGATGTCTTGATTATCAAAGTATTGAATGGAAACAAGTTCTTGAACAATTTGATCCATCTTTTTCTCTTGTGGTTGTGTAATAAGGACTATTTTTGATAGATCGGCATGCGATAATAGTACAAAGTGAGCATGTTTGGTCTTCTTGTCTCTAATAGTGACTAAGAGATTAGGATGAGCATCAAGTAAGGTTCGAAGTGCAGGCTGAAAAGTATTGAGATGAAAGTGTGCGGGATATCCTTCAACAGCAAGATGATCTAGCAAGACAGGGAGCTTGATACTACCATAGCAATTGAGCAGATTGCAGGCCAATTGGTACTTTTCTAATAAACCCAAGTTTCTTTCTATTGTTATTGTTACTGACACCATATTGGATGATGATGAAAGAGAATACAAGTATGGCTTTATGTAAGCCTTCTTTGAGTTTTGTAAACGTTATTTTTCTATATCAAGCATACAACATGTAAAAACTATAACATTTGTTTTGGCATACTTGGCACTTTCTCAAATAATCATTCATTTGCTAAATAAGGCCTCCATCATCTAAGCCTTATTATATAAACACGAAAAGGATTTCATTTTCTTGTATTAAAAAAAATGTAGAGAAGTTACTATCAAATGCCACTCATGGCCTATAGGCTAAAATGGAATTAGCGAATCGACTCAGTTCTGTCTTTGGTTTCAAGAATTGGAAGACCCTCCACTTTTCTTTTATTTTATGAAAAAAAAAGCGTAAATTAGGGTCCTTTCAACCATTTACATTATTTGAATAGGCGTATTGGTCAAGTTTTTTCGAGTCACACGTAGTTAAATTGAAGCCGAATTGTGGGACTTATTGACGTAAATGTTTCAGGGTGTGTTTGACCATTGATAAATAGATTGAAGTAAGACCAACATTTTCTCTTGATTGTCATTTTGAATATCTAGAGACTTGAGTGCATGCACAGAACAACCTGTCAAGGCTTACCTTGCACAGTACACTGATTTTTTTGAATGATATTTTCAGAATACAAGAATTCAAAAGCAAGTGTCAAACTGTCTGTCATTGATCTGCCAAGAGTCGCTTGTTTCAGTTGCTTGTTACTTAATTCTTCTAGCAGATCTATTAATACATCACTTTGGCGGAGCTCCTTCAAGTCACTTATACTTGTCGAATGAAACCACTGGGATGATGATGAAAATCTATACACTCTATTTTTTTTTTATACCTGTGAAAAATTTTCATTCTCAGAATCTCCATGGTGGCTCTCAAATCCAGAATCTTGCTGAAGCAATGAGTTGTCATCCATAAGAGGACTTTGAATCGTAGGCGTACTTTTCTGAGAAAGCAAAATTGAAGGTGGTCTAGGCCTCATACGGCGAGCAACACCTAAAGAAACAGTAGGAATGACACTTGAACTAAGCACAGGTGCATTAAAATCTCTTGAGATAGTTGCTTTCATTAAATTTGTTATCCATTGTCTCATGCTGGTGTCTAGATCTGTATAGAAATAAAACGTTCTTTCTCCTGTATGTTGTGCTTTGAATGAATATTTGCCAGGTTGAATAGTTTCATCTGGTATAACACGATAGCCTCTGAGATTAATAATGCCCTTCATGCGTACATCCTAACAATAAAACATGAAATCACACTTTTCTTTATAAGATATGTGCTTTACCTCTGGACTTTTGAAATAAAACAAGTTGGGCCCTTTCAAAACAAACCATCGTTTATTCCATTTTTTATATCGACAACCTTGTTTAAAGAGCCAACCTTCCATATCAGGTGTCATATCAATCATTTCGTCTGAATGGTTACACTCGTCCAATGACATTATCTGAGGTTTCTGTAAAACTAATTCGATTCTTCTATCAAAGATGAATTAGTACATGTTACTAGCGCATTTTGGCTTAGGTTTACTTTAGATCTGCCTAGAAAACAAAGAAAAGGATCAATAATGAAAAAACAACAGCAACAATAAAATATAATTTACTTGAGGAGAATCGAATGAATTATTAGTATTGTTATTTTGACTATGCATTTCTTGAGTGATATTTGGATTCGTTTGTTGATGGAAAAGATGGGAGTTTTCTGTAATATGTTGAGGTGGTTGATAACCGCATTCTTTTCGCAACATCGTGAGTGCTGTGTGAAGTTTAAATCGTTTACCAAACGTAGGCACATTTAATTCTTTTAAAGCGTTCATGTCTAATGCTAGTAAAATATCTCCCGTGATCTCTTGATCTAACGAACCATGTTAAATTTGACAAAAAGGGGATACTTTTTTTTCTGGCCTTACTTTTGAAATTTGCTGCTATACTTCCAAATCCCATTTCGTGTAACCAGATCTCCACTTGGTCCATATCCCATTCTTCGGGCGGGGTAAATCTTAACTTTGGCAAAAGTAACGTGTGAATGGCAGATTGTCGTTGTGTATGACTTGATGCGCTACTGTTGGTAGAAGAAACAGGTCTGGAAGGATTCTTTCTTATCGTATCTGAAGGAAATGGGTCTTCAAAAGTAATGTAACTCATTGGAAATATGCCTACTTGATCTCGTATGTTTTGACCCTTATTTTTCTGTACATTAGCCTTCGCCCCTCTCCTTTGTGTATATTATGCGAATTTTCATAGTTTACCTTCCACCATCCATCATCAAAACCATCGTCTTTTTGAAGTACAATAATAGCTTCGCCCATTAAAAAATCAAGCTCATCTTCGTTTTCTGCTTTAAAATCATGAATTGCATAGACAACTTCTAGACTTGTCATTAATAGTGAAAGAGAGAGAAAGAAAAGAAAGAGAGAGAAAGAAAAGAAAGAGAAAAAACAAAAGAAAAAGAGAAAATCAAATAGAAATAGTTAGAAAGGTTAAGGAGAATTCATAGTATAGATGAAAAGGAGATCATAAAAAAGTAGCTTTTCTTTCTCTTTCAAAGATCATGTCCTATGCCTCAATTCATATACTGTAGATGTGCTCTAATTACTTTGTATAGTTATTGGGTTCCTGTAAAATTATGAAACAAAGTAATCTTTTTTACCCACTCATGAGTGATAAGTTTCTCATGACAATTAGTTACCATGTTTCAATTTACTTTATCGCTTAAAAGATCAACGCATGTTTCAACCTTGCTTTTCTTTTCTTTTCTTTTTTTGCGAATATCAGGTCCATATAATACATTTTATTGTTATTTGAATGTAAATTGTGCATACAGTTATACATTCAAGAAAAAAAAAAAAGAAACTTCAAATTAGGGTTTTTCCATTTGCCCCTCTTCGAAAGGCACCAAATCAAGTAATGTTTTAATTCGCAGAGTTTAAAGATAATTGCCCTATGCGTAGCATATCTAACAAATGGGAACATTGATCAGTAAAATCTAAGACATATCCTATTACCGGCATTAAGCCAAGAAACGACTCCAGTCTAGAATCTTTCAGAGGTACCCAGCTCACTTTTAAAAAAAATTTTCTAGGGACAACTCTAATGGCTAAAGAACTTGACGTATCAACATTGAATGAAATCCAAAATGACTGTGTCGTTCCTTGAATTATTTGGTAATGTTGTTTCAGATGTCAATGTATATAAAATGGCAACATTTGAATCGAACAAAGTCTTCATTATTCTCTTTTCTTTTTATATACACACCTCTACTTTATAATATGGTCAAGTTCGTCACTCTTCTCGCTGCTCTTGCTGGCATGAGCGCTTCTGTTATGGCTGCCCCTACAAGCGGTACTAATGCCGGTGTTACTATCACTGTCAAGAACAGCTGTAGTAAGAGTATTCAAGTTAACCAATTGACCAACGACGCTTCTGACCAAAAGGCTACTTCTTTGGCTGCTGGCAGCTCTACTCAAATCAATGTTCCTTCCAACTGGGGTGGCAGAATCTGGGCTAGAGAAGGCTGTTCTGGTAGTTCTGACTGCAATCCTGGTGCTCCCGCCTCTCTTGCTGAACTTCTCTTCAAGGGTGCTGCTGGTAAAGACTACTACGACGTCTCCTTTGTCGACGGTTACAACTTGCCCATTTCTATCTCTCCTAACAGTGGTAAAGCTGATGGTTACGAATGTGGTGTTCCTGCCTGTAGCAGCTTGCCCGACTGTCCCTCTGAACTCCAAGACAAAGATTCTAATGGTAATGTCATTGGCTGCAAGTCTGCTTGTGCTGCTTTTGGTACTGGTGAATACTGCTGTACTGGTGACGCTTCTGAACGTGGCAAGTGTGCTGCTAGCAAGTACTCTATTCCTGTCAAGGAATCTTGTCCTGATGTCTACACTTATGCTTATGATGACAGCACTTCCATGTTTTCCTGCTCTTCTAGCGGCTACACTGTCACTTTCTGTTAATTTCTTTCCTTTTTACGCTCTCCGTGTATCATCTTGATGATGATGCACTTATACATATATTTACATTTAGACAAAAAGTATGAAGGTTGATCTTTTATACATTTTTAGCTTTGTAATTATCCTTATAGACTCTTTAGAATTAGAATATTCATTTTGATAATGAAAATAAACATAGACATAAAAGATAATAGCGAGCCTTTTTTTCTTTTGATTTACTTTGCATTCCACATATATTGAAATCAACTGTCAAAAATTGAGTTCATTCTTCAATACATTTTTTTTCTTCTTTATTTTCTTAACAAGATGAAGAAAGACATAGAAGAAGCAACCATATCAACCACATCCATAAGACAACCTCATTCAGGAACAAAAGGTTTACGGTACTTTTCATTCGGACTTAAAATAGTTGGTATCATTTTTATTATTGGTGTTGTCATTGTTTGTGCTTTCTTACCAAACTATATTCAAAATATGAATACTTCTGAAAACAACCCAACAGACCCTACACATGCTAAATTACCAGAAAATGGAGAGAATAGTTGACATGCATTACTTGAAGTTGATTTTTTTTTTGAGAGGTAGTGTAGTAAATAAAGTAATACATGAATGACTTGACTGATTTCCTTTTTATTACGGCTATACTTTGCCTTTTATTCAAGAATATTTGGGACATCTCTTGAAAATAAAAGAAATTTCAGAAAGAGATGGTTTTTAGAGCTGAAATGATACAGAAAACAAGAGAGAACGAGACGAAATCTTGAAAGAGTTTCGCAAAAAAAAAAAAAAGAGAGAAATAATACGTAAAGAGAGTCTTTTCGTAAACAAAATATGCACCTACATTGAATAGTGACAAATGGATAAGAAAAGAGAGACAGATTTAGCATATTACTAAGGTACTCAAATGACTTATGTTCTACAGGTAATAAAAAGAAACAAATGATAGAAATTGAAATGTCAATTAGTGTATCCTACTTGACTGAAAAAAAAAGTAAAAAATAACTGTAACGGTGAAATTCTAAGGTTAAGCGAAATAAGGTTATAGAAAAAGAATCTCTAATGACTAGGATTAGTGAAGCATATGATAGCTTGTATTTGAGTGATTCCAAAGGCTTTGATAAATGCTTAAACAAAGAGAGATTGCGAAGAGTTTTTTTTTTGTAGGCTGTTTGTGCAGTCTGGGTCTATTTTGTGCAGGCTACAATTCGTTTGTGCCAATATGGCTTTATTTTGTGTGGGCTGTTTTTTTTTCTTGTTGCCATCTTTTCCTGTAAAACACTTTTCCTACTATGATAGGAATTGCAGTTGTTTCGATTCTAATCATCTTTTAAACCGAATCGCCTCAACTGCACATTGGGAAAAATCTTGGCAGTAAAAGGGACAATATTCGAAGCAAAGCGACCAATTTAAAGGCTAGAGCAATTGGCCGTTTCTATACACGCAACTTTGATAAAAACCGCTAATCTTGGCAGTAAAGACCGGTTTCGCAAAAGTTTAGAATTTATTCTTTTATGCTTCTCATTGGACATTATTGGTAGCATCATTGTATATTAATGGGTTATAAACGTCTCTTTTGTTATTATATATACATGCATTACATAATATATTTTATACACTTCTACGGTTGGTGACATGAATCCAATCATACAGAACTATACTCATCACTAGAAGCATTCTTGAAAGACGATCACAAAAGAGAAAGACTGAAAAGATATATATCCAATACACACAAAAAAAGAACTGGAAGGGGAAGTATAACTGACATCGCCAGTGAAAAAAAAGTCAAGGAGAGACAGCAGAAGAAGGCGGTAAGTAATTTAGTATATACAAGAAACTTGCAGCCATATAAAAGAAAGAAGAATTAAAGTCGAATGTAAATAATAAATTACTGTTTCATTGCTCAATTCATTCTGTTCAGTAAGTGCTTAGACAAGCTGGGTGATGTGCAAATAAATCATTCGGCTACGTATTCTTTTTTTTTTTTTTTATCTGAGGGCTAGCTGAATTGACATTGAAATAAATAAAAGGCTTGGTAACTGAGTTGCTCGCCAAAGCAAAGATGGCTTGTACGGAATAAAAAAAGTATCAATGGGTACACAAAAAATATCAAATTCCTTGTGCATCATTCCCTTTCAAACATGTTTGTAGACCGAATAGAGAGGGGGATGGTTCATATAACTGTGAATAGAGAAGAGGTAGTCCTAAAAAAATATCAAATGCATAAATTTATTAATGGCGAACACTCTGTCCACTCCAAAGAAAAGTATTTTGAGAATATAGCTGCTATTGGCTTTATAGTATCTCTATTCTTTTTATGTTGTCCTATAATTTTCTTTCTTAACACAAGTAAATCATTTATGTTTAGATAAGCTTGATAAATTACTGGTTTTTTCATGTGATAAATAATAAAGAACCCTGTTTATTGTGTGAAGTGTAGTCAATTGATAAAACATCTTTATAAATAAACAATTTTTCCTTTTTCCTTTCTCTCTTCTTTTCCATAAAATGACTATAATTACTTTCTCTCCTTTAAGAATCTGTATACTTATACAAAAGTGGTTGCTTTTGGTGTAGATGGAGTGTTCTCTAGCCATTTCCTCTCTACTTAGTACTATGCGAACATGTCCGATAGATGATGGTCCCTAAAAAAAGGGTTGGTGCATAAGAAGTCTGAAAAAAAATACACTTTATTTTAGTAAGTGACTACAGTTGTCTGCTTTGCTCCCAAGATTAGTGGAAACAGCAAGGTCAAAATTTTAACTTGGACTAAATGAACAAGATTGGCTTCTGTATTGGTCGTTTCTCTTACAACCGAAGATTAATTAGTCCTTTACCTCCTAATCTTGGCAGTATGAGCCAATATTATTAGTGCTTTATGAATAAGCTTATCTGTTCAGGCCAAGGTTTTCGCCAATGTGAACATGTCACTTTTTTAGTCCTATTCACCATGTAATTCTAGACTTGAAAGACAAAGTGACATTGAAAGCCCTTTTCAATGAAGAAGAACTTGCTGAGATCAAGACGGGGCATTCTTCGCTTGCAAGTCCACTACCTAGCCAAATTGCTGTTTTATTGGACAACATCAAGGCTGCAGGCACCTTTGACGCAATGTGAGAGGTAATCGAGGCAACAAAAGCAAATCCGAAAAAGAGCCTAGAATTGTTTTGGGCGAAAGAAGCCTTCAAATCCTGTTTACTCAAATTTGCTGTGAACGACATTTTGGATGCTGTCGACTTTTCAGAAAGAGATTTCATGAGCCAAATTTGAACTTTTGTTGGGTCTCTCTCTATCGGAACTTTGTACCGCACCCACCAATAGGTATTGCTATGTTTTTGCATTCCATGTTGAGCTAACAACCATTGTGTTTAACGGAGAAATTGAGAACATTGCTTCTGCTGTTGTCATTAACGACAGTAGAACAATCGCTAGTTCAGAGGCGATGAAGTCTTTGTCAACTGGAATGGTATTAGATTGGTCATTTTGATATTTGGGTAAAGAGCTTGGTGGTGTTGAAGTCGCTACTGAAAAGAAAATCGATTTAACAAAGGTATTGAACGAAGCTAATGTTAAGCTTCCTCTTTTATTGGCTGCCCAACTTCAACGGTTGGGCAATTCAGGCGATTTATGCAACAGCAACCTCATTCTTTTTATTTATTGTGAATTGTCTTGTGGTATTTTAGGGCTGCAAATTCAGGTCATGGTCCTTGACTCGCCTTCTGGAGGCCTTATAATATTGAAGAAGACAAGGTCTCTCCCCTTCCCACAGCATATCCAACAAGCACATGCTTGCTTGGTACCTTTGTTGGCTGTACTGTATAACTGCAGAGTGCTGCTGAATGCCACTGCTTCAAAAATCAATCATCCTCCACAAACTATAGAACTTTTCTTTATTACTGTTATTGTATTGTTGCTTCTAATTGTTGCTATTTGTCTTTCGTGACCTAAATGGCATGGGTTTTTGCTAAAAGTGAGAGAGTGCTTATCTAGTTGGAGAACAGCATATCAAACAGAACTTTAACTCATAAAATCAATGCATTGGATGTATCTCCACAACTGTACTTCCCAACACTTTACTATAGGTGAACCAAACCATGACATAGGAATAGTGCATGAAATAAAGAGGTCGAGCTAAACTGTCTATCAATTTCAAATTAGGCTACAAAACCTTGGAGCAATTAGCTATTTTTTGTTTTTGTTGAATGTTTCAACAAGAAAAAGTTTGAGGTTCAGTTGGCGTTCCGGGTTTGACTTCGTAAAGAAGGACCCCTCGAGCCTTGTGGAAAGACACGGACATTGTCTGCCTCTCCTCCAACAAAGAAAGATGAGTATAAATCTGTATTCGGAATAAATAAAAGCATATGCCACAATTTTTGTTGCTGAAGTGATACTGTGAGCATCCAATAGAAATGTAGATTCGGTTATGTTTGATGGCGTAGATTCAATCGACATCATTTCTGAAATGGCTGTGAATGACAAAATCTTTTCAAAGCAGACATTTATTTTGACTTCTGGTCAATTACTTTCGAGTAAACGACAATATCCATAAGCTTGACTGTACTCATCGTTTTTAGAAAAAAGAAGTGATAAAGTTGAGCTTAAGACTAAAAAGCGCAAATAAGACATTGATTTTGCCTATAGCCAAAAGGAGATTCCATCATTCATTTTTTCGAAAACGCCAAACTTTATAGGTTTGACTGCAAAATCTAATATTTCATAGACTTAAAGAGTATTTCGTACCAGTCAAAGTGGCTTATAAATTGCGATTTTTATAAAAATAAAAGCACAAAAAATGTACACTATGGCGAAGAAAGTTACTTTAAATATTTTCTTAAGACTTCTATATCATTTCCTTCTTTTCAGCATTTTTTTTGAAGCCATCTATCCTACATGTTTTGATCCATTTTTCTCTGGAAGATATGTATGACAAGCAGTTTTAAAGCCCAGGCTTACAGTGAAAAATAATAGAGCTTTTACCAGCCAAAAACCGCTTTTTTAAGTTATAGCCACCATAAGCATATTTGAAAGTGATCTCTTTTGTTTATAACGATATTGATAAATAGGGGATATACAACTTGCTTGGATACATGTTGGTTTGATTTATAAATATTTAGGTCTAGTCTCATTTTGCATACAACAAAAGGTCAACCTGTACAAATACAATAAATGACTCTAGTTGCACTGATCATCAGAAGATAAACAATGACATGAAATGTAGCCATTGTTACTGATGATGGCTTGTTAAAAGTGATTTCAGTCACAGAAAAAAATGGTACAGCTGCATAAGTTTCTCTAATGGACCAATCTGATAGCACCAAAGTGCACACGCCTTCCTCCTTCTCGCATGTCTATTAAAACCCCGAGCAACGCTGATTTCAGCCCTACTTGTTCTTGGTATCTTTCTTTTCTCTTTTGTTTAGATTACACTAGAGAATGAAGTTTTCTCATCAAATTCAGTTTAATGCGGTACCTGACTGGGCCGACTATTATCTTCCGTAAGATAAACATAGTTTAACAATAATAAAAAGACTAAACAAAACAAAAACAGGTATTCCAACCTCAAAAAACTAATTTATTCTATTGAAAAAGAGCGAATAGCTAGTAAAGGAGGGCGCGCTTCTTATGATATTGAACATGGTGGAGAGGCTAGTGAAAATACGGCTCTTATCAGTGACAATCCTGTAGAAGTAGAAAACCAACAGTTTGTAAACGCACTCAACAAGTCTCTTGACAAGATTGTCAAGTTTTATTCTAAAAAGGAAACAGAGCTCTATGATGAAATGAATGAGCTCTTGACAAGGTTTGAAAGCCTCGATCACATTGAAACAAGTGCTCCATCACATACTCGCCGCGTCAGTGGTCAGAGTGACCATTTTCAAGAACAGGAATATGGAAGGATAAGAAGTAACACGAATCAATTACCACGAAGAGAGTCTAATGTGGAAGGTGATAGTTTTTTACCTCCTAACATTATCTCCAAAAACGTCTCAGACAGTGACCCTGCGCAAACTGAAGTATCTCAATTACAATCTTGGCCTAGAGACGTCATATATGATATGTTCGAATTAAAAAAACAAACAGTCGATCTCTTTGTGCTCTTGTCTGAACTCAAGTCATTTGTTGCACTCAATCTCACTGCCTTTGCCAAAATCCTAAAGAAATATGACAAGATTACAAACAATAACCTCAAGCGCTATTATACATCCACTTACGTATCAAAGGCTTATCCTTTTCAAACAGTTACCAAAGCTAGATTAAATGAACGCATACAACAAGCAGAAAGAGCCTATGCATTTTTGGCTACAGGAAATGATTTGGATCAAGCCATTGAGGAGCTCAAGGCACATTTAAGAGAGCATATTGTTTGGGAGCGTAACACTGTTTGGAGAGATATGATAGGACAAGAAAGAAGAACTCAAACTGTTGGTCTAGGCAACGCAAAGCCTGCATCAGTGCATACTCCTTTTGGCACTATCAGTATAACGCGTGACCAAATCATGAGCTACTTGTATATGGTCCTTTGTATTGTGATATTTATTGTCCTGTTGAGGACTGAACTATTTGATACGATTGAACAGAATCGCTGCCTGGCTATTCTTGTTTTTGCTAGTATGTTATGGGCTGGTGAAGTAAGTAATGAAAGGCGGAAGAGTAGAGTTTGTTTTAACGAGGAGAAATATAGGTGATGCCTTTGTTTGTCACTGCGCTTCTTGTTCCATTTTTGATCATTACATTACGTGTCATGCGCTCTGATGATGGCCATTTTACTCGCCTTGGTGCATCTGATGCAACAAAGCGAGTGTTTGGTGCCATGTTCTCTCCTGTCATCATGTTATTGCTAGGAGGCTTTGCTATCGCTGGTGCCTTGAGCAAGTTTGGTATTGCTAAATCAATGGCTACTTTTGTGCTATCAAAAGCAGGCACTCGTCCTAACCGTGTTCTCATTGTAAACATGATGGTAGCTACTGTTGCAAGTATGTGGATCAGTAATGTTGCTGCTCCTGTTCTTTGCTTCTCTTTGATCCAGGTTTGTCTTGTTATACAAAGAGTATAGTCATTTATGTCAATTGAATAGCCCATTTTACGTACGTTACCTGTGGATTCAACATTTGGTCCTTGTCTGATCATTGGTATTGCACTTGCATCTAATTTAGGCGGTATGGCCTCCCCTATCTCTTCACCTCAAAACATCATTGCTATTCAAAACATGGATCCTGCACCTTCCTGGGCTGAATGGTTTATTATTTCTATTCCTCTCTGTATTATTGGTAATCTGATTATTTGGCTCTGGCTACTTTATAACTATGATCCTGAGAAGCATACACCTCAAATCCATACCATTCGTGCTAGTTCTGATCCTATTACTGGAACTCAAGTCTTTGTTGTCATTGTCACTTTGATCACTATTATTCTGTGGTGTTTAGCACACTCATATGAACATATCTTTGGTGATATGGGTGTCATTGCTATTTTACCCTTGATTGCTTTCTTTGGTACAGGCCTTTTGACAAAGGATGACTTTAACAACTTTTTATGGAATGTCATCATATTAGCTATGGGTGGTATTGCTCTAGGCAAAGCAGTAGAGAGTTCTGGTTTACTCAAGACAATTGCTTCAGAAATAGAAACTTTAGTACAGGGGTTCTCTGCTTTTGAAGTGTTATTTGTCTTTAGTTGCTTAGTGTTGGTGATTGCTACATTTATTAGTCATACAGTGGCAGCCTTGATTGTATTACCCATTGTTGCTGAAGTAGGTTCTCAACTTGCTGATCCTCAACCTAGAATGCTTGTGATGGTAGTTATATATATATTTTTTTCCTGACAAAACCATTGATTTTCTTATTTAGGGTACTGCTTTTGTTTGTTCTGCTGCAATGGGTCTACCTGTATCTGGCTTCCCAAATATGAATGCTATCTCCCAAGAAAACGAACTTGGAAAACCATATCTATCAACTAAAGACTTTTTAATCAATGGTGTGCCATCTAGTGTGTTTGCCATGCTATGTATCGCAACTATTGGTTATGGTTTGATGGTACTTATTGGGTTCTAGATCAAATTTCTTTAGAATAAAATATACTATTTATTTAGGAAGCAATCTCTTCCAAAAAAGTTTTTTTTTTTTTTTTTTTTTTTTTTTTTTTTTTTTTTTTTGCGTATGTATCGCTTTCGTTAAATTACGGAAAGAACATTGTGAGATAGATAGATATTTATTGAAAAAGTATACAGATCTTCTTAATGCATTGATTTTAGAAACAATAAGACAAAACTCATCAAAAGTACAGGCAAACAAACGGGAGTGCATGGCTATACAAAGGTATTATAAAGCCTACGTACACATGCATAAATGATCTAAATACCTACAAACCATGTTCAATAACACCCACGATACCTTTTGAAGTTGATTTGGAACAAAAAAAAAATGATTTGTGAAAAATGGCCAAAATATGCCTTTCGACCAAAGGGTACTATTCGTAAAAATCTTTATTTTGACAATACTCAATCTTCTATTTGACGCTACAAGGTGAAAAATAAAGCTATCAACAAGCGTAAGCACTCAAAATGTGCACAAAGTGCTCTAGTCTTTGATAAATATGTTTTCTTAATCACTATAGTATAAGAATCGTAAAATAGAAACAAAAAACATCGCAAAAATTTTCGTATATTTACTAGATATTTTAGCAGCAAATTTGCTGTTCCCTTTACATCAGTTGAATTAAAAAGCAAATATCTACAACTTTTGTTACTGCACCAAAGCCAGGTAATTGCGTCTTTATGCAGTTCTCAGCAAAAACCCCATTTTTTTTTAATGATTTTATTTGCCGCACGTATTAGTGGTCTCGAGAGGGACCCACTAAAAGAGGTGCTCGACAATTATTTATTATAAGAGGATTAAAAGAAACAAAAAGGGTACTACAATTTCAAAAAAAAAAAAAAAAGAAATCAAGAAAAAAAAGAGCAGCTACTGCGAGAAAAGACCTCTCAAGATGAAAGGTCATTTTCAACAGCTATACGCTTAATTTGATAGCGAGTGCTATGAAGAACAGAGAGATAATGGAATGGTTGGTTCTGCATGGTATGGGTCCAATGGGCCTTCCAGATTTCAGAGAGACCGATCAAGGTTACCATGGCTACTGAAAGAGGACAGTTGGTTTGAGACCGAATCCGAGAAAAATTGAAAGATGCAAGTGCATCAGAGACTAGATCCAGAGAGGTGCCTGGCCATAGAAATTCCCTGATCAAGGCATCCCAGAACGGAAATTTTTGGGGGCAGCGAAAGAAGAAATGGTACACAGTCTCCTGATCACCACACAAAATGTAGGCAGCAGTAGGGAAGCGAGCAGGAGAAATCTTGGATAGAAATAGGCGAGTGGGAATCTTGCGAGTCAGAAATCGATACATCACATTTCTCTGCAATGTTGTGATAGGTATGCACCAAAAGTACTTCCAAGCAGCAGACGAAACTTCTTGCCGAGCAATGATATTAGACAAGGCAGCTTGTGTGATGACCTTACGGAAAGTATAGCCACCATTTTTGAGGGCAATGAAATTTTCATTGTCAAAAGGCAGTTTCAACATACACACAAAAGAAAAGAAACCAAGAGACCGCTGGATTGCAGGAATATGCACAGGATTGTATAAGTCTAATGAAGTACGAACAAGGCATTGAGCAAAGAATGGCTCCAGTTGACAATGATTTTGATTCACTGCTTGAATATATTTTCTGATACTACGACGGATATCCAGGGGAAAGGAAGAAACTGGTATTGGTGCCAAATAGTGACCCTGTGGATGGTACTCATATAGATAGGAAACTGCTACTGTGCGTAGCTTGAGAGGCAAGTCAAAGGTGTCAGATGGTAAAACAATTGAGCGTAATGGTAGTAGAAGGCATTCGATAGGGTTTGGCATGTATGAGTATTGTTTCCTAGGAATAGCATCCATCGTCTGGCAGCACATTGTGACAGTGTTACTTGCCAACTGCCTGAGTTGGCCTGGGCGAGAACGAGGAAAGAGCAGACCCAAGAGCAGATGTTCAGTCTGAAGCAAAGCACGGGTATGTGCTGCTAGAAAGTCTTGTATCAGAGAACGTTCAGCTTGAGGACACAAAAAAGGATGAAGCCAATGGTAATACAGTAATTTCTGCTGAGAAAACAAGTCAAGAATGCCAAGGCCACCATGCCACTTTGGTGCAGTCATCGTTTGCCAACTAATGCGAGGAAAGATTTGCCGGTTGACAAAAGAAGTAATGACAGTTCGAATGGTATTAAGGATTGCTTGAGTGGTAAGGATCACCCGCAAAATATACCAGCATTTAGACAATAAAAGCGAACTGGCAACTGTAGTTCTACCAACAACAGAAAGATCGCGTGAGGCATGAATATCCGCCAGTTGAGTCAGTGATCGAGTGAGGGACGAAAAAAAGTGAGCGCGCTGGTCCAAGGATTGGATAAGGGGAAAACCTAAATAGATAATGGGTTCAGCATCTGTACGGCACCATATCTTGGGAATGTCAATGGCTTGTAGAGTAGTCAGCCATTTATCATCTAGATTGTGGCCAGAGAGAGAGATTGCTCGCACTTTATGGTAGTTAATCTTGGCATTGGATGCTTTACTGTAGGCCTGCAAGTGAAACTGCATTCTGCGAAGGTCACGGATATTATGAAGAAAAACTAAAGTGTCATCAGCATAACTAAGCAATTTGATAGCAGGTAAGGTGATAGCTTGACTAAAATCATTATGCTTGAAGCGATAGCCAGAAAATTGAGTGTCATTCAATATCGACTGGAGAAGTGGCTCTAAGGCAAAATTGTATAAAATACAAGAGAGTGGGTCACCTTGTTTGAGGTCTCGGCGCTTTGGAACCAACTGCTTAGAGAGCCAACCATTGATGTTGATACAAATGGAATTATCTCTAAACAAGGTAATAGTGCTGGCAACCAGGGTCTTTGGAAAACCAAAGTGTAACAACACTTGCTTGAGATAGTCAAGGTTGACACGATCATAGGCCTTTTCTTGGTCTAAAAGAATGCCAAGATCTTTGTCTGGTCGGCGATAGTTTGTTGCTGCATTTTCTATGATCATTTGGGTGAGCAATCCATGTTCAGCAATATATCTGCCAGGCATAAAGCCTAGCTGATGTCTGTTGATAAGTGTAGCAGCTACTGTCATAATCCTGTGGTTGATTATCCGAGTGAAGATCTTGTTATCTGTAGTCACTAACTGGATAGGACGATAGTTCTCTGCCCGCGTTAGATCGCCTTTCTTAGGCAAAAGAGTCATAAGTGATAGCAGCCATGATCTTGGGAATAAAGAATGAGCTAAGGCATCATTGTATACTTGCAGAACCAGCTGCCTTAAACAAGGAACACGAAGTAGAATACCTAGAATTTCGTATGGCAAACCATCGCTACCAGGACTACTCTGACGAGGTGAGTGTCTAGTTGCTTTCGATACCTCCAGCCAAGTGATAGGACTTTCAAGGGTATATGCTTGCTCTTTAGTAAGTCGTTGGCTGTTGGTACGTTGTAAAAGCGTATTGACATCAGAGGATTGGATCTTGTCAGGACGATATAGCGCCTTATAGAAGGCAACCATCACCTTTGTTTTCCCTTCTGTATTAGTAACCAATCGTCTAGAATTGGGATCAAAGAGCTTTGGTATTGTTCGCTGTGTAGACCTATCTTGTGTAAGTTTTTTGAGAAGACCAGGAGATCGCCCACCTTTTTCTCGCCAAAATTTGCCTGCTTTGAGATGTTCTATTTCGGCAGATTCATCCTGCAAAATAGTAATCATTTTTTCAACCTTTGGCAAAAGAGATGATAAAATAGATGTATTTTTATGATCTCGTAAAATTTTGTTGCGTTTGGATTGAAGCTTTTTCAGAGCTTTGGATCGCCAGTTGTTACGCTCGATTTGGAAGGATCGAGCAAAAACTTTGACTTGTTCTTTCAATTCATCTCAAATAGTTTGAACTGAAGGGCAATCAGGATCCAAACGGTTGATGTTATCCATGTATTGCTCAATATGTGCTGTCAAACCTTTTCTATATGCAGATAGTCGAGCAAGTTTAGGATTACCTTTCCAAGGACCAGGTCCAGCTGGAGTGTGTACCAGTTGATAGTTGATAGAAAGCAAGGCATGGTCAGTCCAACTGTAGTTGACAAAATTTTGAGTCATAGAAATTACATTGTCAGCATGAGGTAGAGTGCAAAATATATAGTCAATATGTGTGCGACTACCAGTGGTACTGACAAATGTATGAAGAGGATCACTTTGAAAACAATCTTGGAATGAAGTAAGAAGTAGATCATTCCAGCACGTATCAATGTTGGATTTACGGTAAATGTCATAGTTGAAATCGCCAGCAATAATAATAGGCAAAGACGTTGACCGTAAATGTGACATTAATGGTTGATTGGAAGATAACGTGCGAAAGAATGTGGATCGACTACTACGATAAGCAGGAGCATAAATATTGAGGATATACATAAAAGGAATGGAGGGTTCAGAGGCATGAGCGATAGACGCTAAGAGAAAGCGGCCATTGGTAGAATTGATGGTGGGATGTGCTGTGATTTTGTAGTGAGATTTTAAGGAAACAATGCCACAGTGTTCTGTCCAAAGACTAGATTTAGTCTGGAACTTGAGATTGAGCTGTTTCTGTATATTAAGTGTAGATGCGTGTGTTTCTTGTAAGCATAGAATGTCATATTTAGTTGAACGTAGAAAGCGGATGAATAAGGACTGTTTGTAAGGATCTGAAGTTTTCGTAAGGCCACGACAATTAAGGGTGGCAATTTGCATAGAGCCTTTAGGCATAGATTATCTTATTGAAAGTCAGGAGAGATACCTGTTGATCCACCTGTATTATGATTAGGCACCACTCTATGTCTCTCACCGTCATGATTAAATTTAATCTTTTTACGCTCCTGGATAAACCTTTCTAAGTCCAAAGCCTCTTGGGTTGGATTATTGCTTGGAATATTTTGAAGATATTCATCATCATCCTCTCCATCGGAGTCAATGATTTCTACTTCACTATCTCCTTGCTCTTTCATTTCATGATCCATCAATTCATGCTCGACTACTGTAATATCGTTTGAAAGTGTTTGAA